ATCTTTTAGTTGTTGAAATGTATCTCCTCACTGCACAAACATCAATTCTGTGGGTCACTGAGGAAAAGGCATGGCATCAACAAAATACAGTTTGCCTGAGACTTCTCCCATGTTAGCATGGCTTATAATATAGCCAAACAGCCCATTGTGGTTTGGCGTGTCACATCACAGAAAAGAGCAGATGTCCAGTGTGGATTTCGCTGGTGTAAACTGAAATATTCCTGCATTGTGGCTTCCCTGGGATCCCTTTACACGAAGAGCCACACTTAATCACTGTGCTACTGTACAAGCAAGTGACAGACTGACAGACCGACAGTAGGAGGTGCCCTTTCTAACAGACCACCTGAAAGAGAAGAGATGACAATCATGAAGGCCAGTGAGCCAAAGAATCCAGCTCCATAGAAAGCCCAAATGCTGATAGACACAAACAAAAATAGGACAGAAAATCATGCACATGGATATCCACAGGAGAGTATTAAGGTTACGAAAGGCATTGTTGACCGATCATACCTCTATTTCTATTGGCAGCCCCTCACAGGTTTCCTTTTGCAAACGAACCTCAGTGAGTTTCTACAGCATCATTCTGTATTTTTTTATACCGTTCTACCCCAAAATAGATCCATTATCAGCAGCAGCTCAATACTCCCCCCCTCCCCCCGTTACCTAACAAATTGCTGCTGTGCAAATGCTTATCAAATATCCACTGGACATCTGACAAGCCTCCAAACTAACCCCGGTCTCTTACACACACACACACACACACACACACACACACACACACACACACACACAAACACACAAGACCACAAAACATTCACGACTAAATTTCACCTGCTCTTTACAGTTCTTTCCAACTCTTTTTCATGAAACCAGATTGGGACAAATCTTGCCACTGTATTGGTTGTGCTCTGCTCCAGCCAAAGAAACCAAAAATGGGGTTTTGTTCTGCTGCCCAGAGAAGCATCAAGATCTAACAAGGAAACCTCAGACTTGGAATACAGTGAGGGAATGGAATGACCACACACACTCACATTTACTGTATTTCTGCAGAAGAGTGGATGCACTCAAAGGTCTCTGTGTGGTCCAGGATATGGATGATTTGTCTATGTCAGGAACTACGATGAGTTACACAGAAGGGGAAGAAAATGAGACGTCAGAGTACGACTGTGCGCAAAGTCAAAAGGGGAAGATATAGAGTTAAAGGGAAAGAATGAGATCATGACACAGTACGAGTCTGTGTGAGTGTGTAAGAGAGAGAGAGAGCAGCATTGGCTGGAGACTCTGACTTTGACCCACACAGGCTGCCAGTAGGAAGGCAGCTGACATATTGGCCGGTCTCCAAGCGAACTCAACGCCTCGGCAACGTGCTGCCTGACTCGTACACAGCAGCTTCGTGGAAAAAGGTTACCAGGCGCGTCGGTTTTACTGAGTCAACAGCAGCCACTGGTGGACAGCCTCATACATTCATTCATAAAATGTGTGCACAGACGCGGTGAACATTAAGTATAGCAATTACAGGAAGGGAAATCTGCAAGCCCAAAAATCCAATGACACAGGGATGAATCTGCAACTGTGTCCCGCTTTAAGAATGCACATAGCAGGTATGCATACACTCTGTGCCTTCACCGGCTGGCTTTACATGTCTTGCAAATAAATGCACACATTCTCACTCCAGCTGAAATAACAGTGTCTCCAAACAGCCAGCAGGACATCCTCCGCTATAGCAGTCATTAAATGCAGAACAGGACAGAACAACCTCCACCGGGGCAGCTGGAGCCCCAGACCATATCAATTAAATGCCTCAGTACTTCGGGGTTAAAGGACGGGCCAGATCAAACAGTGAGTCTGCAGCAAGCACAACGTCCTGTGCTTCATTGGCCATAGAGTCCCAGAGAGGAGAACCGAGTGTCATGTAACCGATGTGGTCAGAGGAGGTGGTGTCTGGTCAAAGCTGGACAAATGAGCTAGTAAAAGTAGGAGGGAAAAGACGTCAAACCTGCACTGAGAGACGCAGGCAAGTGACTGTCGCAGAGAAGTTCCCGTTAAGTAATACCTCAAAGATTTTCCATGTTTGCTTAAAGTAAAAATGTGGTGTCTCATCTCCACTGGAAGAAATCTCCACAGACGGGAAATGAGAAATCAATGATTCATGTAGGCAAACCATTACCTAATTTCGACTGTAAAAGGTAATGTGCAAGAAAAGAACGCATGATGGCCTGTGCTTTTGGTCCCACCAGCAAAAAAGTGGAACAGCTGCTTAAAGCAATAAAATAACATAGCATTCGAATGGCAGTGTTGTCAGTAAGGCTTTTTAGGCTCCATTTTATGTAATTCTGCAGAGCTTGAAAATAGCAAACTTTCGTATTTTGGCGGTGGTTGAGGAACTGCATCACAAATTCAGATTTTTTTTTATATTTTTATTTGCTAAAGGTATATAAGGCAATGCAAATGTGAAATGTTTCTCGCGGGGCTTTCCGGATTCACACAAAATGCAATTAGCACTCTCTAGCGCCATTATCAGCTCTAAAGTGTTTCACGTCATGTTTTTCCCTCTAAGACTACGTTTATTATCAACTTCTTGTCCATAAATGTAGTCACTTGTTTGGAACATTTATTCAGCATTCTCTTTTTTATCACCAAAATTTTAGAACTTAGAGAAACTTACGAGGCTCAATAGAAGATACCCATGTTTTCTTTTATGTGATAGCTGAGCCTCAACATGTGAGAAGGCAAATGAAGAGACATGTCCATCCAGAGGTGGAGGCAGTTTGACATCATCTCAGGGAATATAAAGAGGTGCAGTGAAATGAGCTAAATATGACCCACTACGGCCTTTTCCTAAACAGTTAACTTCCTTGGAAAATGTCCTAAAGTTGAAGATGGTGGGAGAAATTTAAGGGACCTTAAGAGCAATCCAGCCACATGCTAGATGCAGTGTGTGTGTTACAATGGAAAAATAAAAAAAATCAATATAACATTAATAGTTGTCAAAAAAAAAGAAATAAAAGCCACAGTGGAAGTATGGAAGACATATGTTGTTATAAAGTGCTCCCTCTGACCCTCATTTCCTCATTAATCTTTATAAATGTAGAGGACCAGATAATGTATACACAGTTAATTGTGCGATATAATCATTGCTCTGTGTTAATTAGGAATGTTCCTTTTTAATTTGAAAGAAAACATTTTTTATGTTTACTTTTTTTTTTAAATACTAAAACTCCTTTTCTTAGAATCCAACCGGTTCTTGTAACTGCTACTTAGATCTTCACTTTATTGTGCTAGAAACTTAATGGAGCACAAAAAAGAGAGAATTCAACCACACCCATGTTCTAGTTTGAGATCCAACTCCGGCTTGCCAGGAACATAAAGATTTATGCATGTCATATGTTTTCACAAGCGTATTGAGGTCAACAAATGCTTGCAATCTGCTTGGCCCCTGATTTTTGCAGCTTGCAGCTATATTTCTATTATTGATAGTTGTAATTAGTTTTTAAAAGTCATCTATTGGTGAATTAACAAAGAGGCTAGTGATAAGTTAATAATTTGTGCTGTCATAATGCTCTCCTTATGAATGCAGTTGGTACATCTCCTCACTTTGATGTCGACACTGGCACCATTGTCTGATCACGTACACAATACTAGCGTGACAGCCTTACTCTCTCACCCCCAGCATCACACTACTAACTCTCCATTGCCGCATCTATTCTTTTTGTGCCGGCAGAATCGGGGTTTGAGCATTTTCACTGCATTTGCAGATGTCTGTATTTTTTTTTTTTACATGGATAAAACACAACACCTTTCTTGGTTGGATCAGATTATGAGGTGGGGATGTCACGAGTCAGCTGCCAGCCGAGCAGCCTGGCAGCATCAGAGGGGGGCGATGACGTCACCAAAATGAGGCAGGTGGTGCTCCGAGACAATGTCAGTCTCTCCATGCAAATAACTGCTACGGCACGTTTCTATAGATTGTAGTTTTTGTGATAATGCAAAAGAAACGTGAATGTGGACGTTTTACAATTTGACATGGTTCACTCACTTTTTACGGTAGCTGCACCTCAGGGGTTTTGAGCATGGGGCCTCCTTCCAGGCCATGCATATATTCTGTCCTATATGCAAAGTCCCGTCTGCATCTCATCCGCCCCCGTGCAGACATTAGTCATCAAAAACCTCTTTATTCGTGTTAGATTTCAGAGGCGCGAGGCAGGGAGTGTGACTAGCAGCGTGACAAAACCAAGTGGGATGGCTGAAGGAACAGAGGGGGGGGTTGAATCAACAGAACTGAATTAGGGGTGTTGGTGCGGCACAAAGACGAGAGTGGCAACTGCGCCTCTCTGCAGCTGTGGGCCTACGTGAGCATCGGCAGGAACGCTCTCCAACCCTCCCTAACCCACTCGATTGCTCTCTCTCATCTCTCCCATTCCCCCTCCCCTTCTCGTTTGCACTTTCAAATAGACTTTTGAGGTCCCCTCCAACCCCTCCCTCTTTTGCTCAAATCCTTCTCGCACTGTTCTCTCATTATCTCGGTCATAACTCCCTCACTTCTCTCCCACACCACGTTGCCAAATAGTGTGGAATTGGACAGGGAGAGATGTGTTGTGTCGGGCCAGCCAGTGGATATCTGAGCAGAGTGAATGTGGAAGAAAAGGAGGCAAAGATCTTGTTTCCCACATGCACACACAAGACAATCCGGCCTGAAATGACCCACAAAGGATACGCATGTGCGGCCGTCACTGACTTAACCCATCTTTACCCTCGTGTGTTAGCATGCATGCCACCGCACTCACTCACGTGACAACTCCGAATCTTAGAAGTGGAGGCAAACACAGGGCTTTAAGGCCAAGGTCAGAGGTGATACTCACAAGACTGAGCAAAATGAGAAGTGGGAGGAGGAACACCAGAGAAGGGAGGAGAGATGATGAGAGGACGGAATGAATACAATGAAAGGTTAAGAGATAAATCAAGGACAAAATGCCATCTAAAACGAGTTTATACATTGTAGTACATGTGTTAAAAATGGAGATGTGATGTCAGGAGAGAGCCAATCATAATAGAAAGATAAAGGGACGAGCTGAATAGGCCGATTGTCCTTGTGCTTTTGAGCAGGTGCATTTTTTGGCAGTGGATGGGACTAAAGGGCCTATAATGTCATCCGCACAGACTAAAGAGCAGTGCTGACCTCTACTGGTCCAATAAGGGTGCGTAAAAACTAAACAAAGAGCATGAATATTCAAATTCTGAGTGTTGGACAAGAACATGCCAAGCTTTTGGCAGACAAAGACTGAACACTACAAAAAATAAAGAAAAGGCAATGTGTTGGGAATTTATTGAACTGCCATCTCACAGTGAAAGTAAAAATCTGAATGCACTTTTGTGAACAAGAAAAATCAGTGTCTACTTAAGAGAATTCTTCCGCCGTTTTTGTAACAAACAGTCATTGTTACTCTCATATAAAATCATATTGATATTTGCATTTTGAAAAATAAAAAATATAAGTACAGTGCAGCATTTTGATTGTAAAGTCTTGTTAAAAATTTTAAGAATAAAAAAAAACAATTTGCCTTGAGAAAGCTCACTTCATTTTAAGAAAAATACTAAAGAAAATCAAGAACAATACATTATTCAACGCGTAGTCTAAGAACATTCCTGTTTGAGAGTAATAGAACATTTTCATTGAAATAAGAATTTAATCCAAAATTACTTTTTTTAAAGGATTTTTGTTACTGTGTAGTAACTTTGTGTTTGTAAGGAGACCATTTTAAGTTTTCAGATTAACTTTTGTTGCCAGGTGTTTGACATAGAACCACTCATAAAAAAAGAATAAAAAAAATAAAAAACATTCAGACTGATATTAACATCTATTGGAAAATAAATCCCTTTCTTATTCAAGAGAAACCTAAAAACAGATTTGTGGTTCGAATACAGAAGCTTTCTGCCTCGATTTTTTTCACAAGTTGGAAAAAAATATGCATCTTCTCAAGCAATGCATTTAAACCTAATATCCACTTTACAGATAAAACATTTTGACATGATTGTTTTTTTTTTCAGTCCAGTGTGTATTGATTTTACAATAACAAAGTTTGAAAATCTTAAAATGTCAATTGTGTGCTGTGGTTACATTATGATCATTTCATGTGACTCACTTTAGGCTAATTTCCTTGAGGCAGGGAAGAAAAAATCTTATCAGGTATCAAGAAACAAGTCTAGATCAGAGGAAGGCATAAGGAAGGGCATTTTCAGCAGCATCATATTCAGTTCCACGGGGTTTGCCACCTCTGAAGAATTTGTGGAAGTGTAGTTTGCCCGGAGCAGAGACGTACCACATGACAACACCGGTGGGGTTCACTGAGACAACAAAATCACTGGAGTCTTTCAGTGTGGCGGTCTTCTCACTGAAGACATCAAAGATCTACAAAAAAAACAAAAAGAAAATAAAGGACATTCTCTGCAGCGAAGTGCAAGATTAATTGATTGATTTTATTATTCATTTATTCGCAATGGACTAATAATTCAGCCACTGCTTTTGAAATAACTCATTGATACAGATATTAACACTATGATTAATAAAAATTTAGCTGCAAGCAGTTAAATGACTGAAGAATGGAGCCGAACTGTCAAAAAGCCATCGCCTGGCGGCGAGCAGGAACAGGTGGACGGGGAGGGTCCTGGACGGCCTCTGTGCACCCAAGAATCTAATGAGTGTGGTGGTAATGGTGGGCAGAGACCCAACTTTCTTCAGCTCTCATCTCTGGCAGAACACAGCCTATGTCCCAAAAGAGGCTGGGAAGATGAGTCCAAATTGGCAGTTCTCTGGGCTTCAATAACAGCTGGATAGCCCTGCCACTGCAAGCTGATTGATGCATTTTGTAGCAGAAACTCCTAAAGCCAATGTGGGACACCTGAGGTGAAGAAGTCGAAAGGCTGAAGGAAGTCCCAGAGACTTTAGTTAGCTTATGGGACCCAGGAGTAGTCAAGTAAGCTCACGAGTTTGGTTCAATAGCCTCTCTGGCTAACTCCATACTGGGGGGATGGAATGAAGAGTCCAGACAGGAGCTGAACTTCAGATAAAAATGGAGCAACGGGGCTTCCGTCCCTTGTCATCAAGTTCTGAACAAACTCTTTACCAGTGCACAGATACAGGAGGATGGTTGGACAGTTTTCTCCATTAGTATTTGTATGTTTTGTGGTCTTTGACTTGGCTTATAAGCCATTTCCCTCAAGGTGTCATGCTGGACCAACTTTAGAAGGATTAGTCATCTGGCCCTTCATTTACAACCAATCAGTCCCAGTGCAACCAGGCACTGCTTGGTTTGCATTGCCAACAATAATTCAGACTTCCAATGCCTGCAGAACTCCACCACAGATACACTTCATTGTGCATTTCTAGTTTTGACTGTATAATTTTGTCTTATCTATTTATCTTATTTTTCTGCAGTTTTGGTTCTGGTAGCTTGATTAAAATGGAGACTATGATAGGCATTTCGGGAGGATGCAAACACATGTGAATAGAGACAAACAGTGGATGGAAACTATACCTTTCCGTCATGGAGACGCACTAACAATCAAAGAGGGGAACTAAAGATCTCCTTAACCGAAGCTAGGGTCAAGAGCTGTGAGGGACTAGCAGAGTTGCCTTTCTTCCATATTTATATTTTTACCCTTAGATCAGTGCTATAGATCAGTTCAGTATCCTTTGCCAAAAATATAGCTAAATTCTGCATTTCAGTTCTGCTCCTCCAGGGAGAGGACGATGTAATTAATAAGTGTAGAAACTGTCCCGAAGAAATTTAAATGTATACCTTGTAGCTGCCTGTGGGGTATTTCAGCTTGCGGAGAGAAGTGGTGTAGCGGTAGGGCATGTCGTTACGGCGGCTGAAGAATACCAGCGCACTGGCATTGTTTGACAAGGGCCGCCAGTAAACCTCAATACCACTCTTCTCCTTTTTAAAAAAACAAAAACAAAACAACAACCAGAACATGAGAAACACAAAAGTGGGACCACTTATATCAATTTCAACATTTTCATCTTAATCTAAGACAAAAAGAACCAAGATCCACTCAGAGGTGCCTCACCTTAACGATGCGCTGGCCCTGGATGCCCAGGACGTCCTGGTTGATGCTGATGGCCATTTTGTTCTGCAGGATGTTTCGGGCACCACTGCTGATAGTGCGCAAGTCATTGGACATGAAGAGAGGAGCGGCCATGATTGACCACAGGGCCATCTGAGCACGGGACTGGTCCATGCTGAGGCCAAAGTCACCGACAACCAGCTGGGGAGGGCAAAATTGAACAAAAAAAATCAAAGATTACAGAAAAAAAACAACAAAACACGCACATATTATACCTCAAGGTATTAAATATAAGCTTTTCAAAAGTTGTGATTTTCATGTGGCTTCCAGTATTACTTTGTATCCAACTCCTGTAAATATCAGAATAACAATTCATAGGTGAAATGAAAATCTACAGTTATTATGTCAGAGGGACAAACCATATCAGGGTCGTTCCATCTTCCGGGTCCTGCTGCAGGTGCCAGGACTTCCTGGTTTTCAAAAAACCAGTCCACAATTCTGAGCACACTGTCCCAGGAGTCCTGAATGTCACCATAGTTACGCCACAGGTTGCAAATCTGACCGAGCTGACTGTAATTTACCTGAAAACAGGAATCATGTTTACACTGTAAGTATTGAATATTTTCATGAAAAAAAGATGGGGGAGATTTTCAGGTGAATATTGAATTTGCCGATGATACCTTTGGTGGGAGACCACCCTGGTAGGCAGGCCAGCTGCAGGAGTAGCCAATTGGGCGGCCTGTGGCATTTAAAGCTTTTGACATGAGAGGGTACCCTGAAAACAGATTGATACGAGTTAAACAAACTCAGCTTAGCTACCCTTTAGAAATCCACAAAGGAAAACCTCCAGTATTCTGACCTTGCTCTTGTTCTGTGGCATTAGAGTAACAGCCATCGTATTTCAACATATCCACCTCCCAGTCAGCGAACGTCTGTGCATCTATTTGGATCTTGTCCAGCGGGGTGCCGGGGTACCCACCGCAGGTGTGTGTCCCCATGTCCCCATAGATGCCCAGTTTGAGACCCCTGTCATGCATGTAACGTGCCAGCTTGTGGATTCCCCCTGGAAACCTGAGTGTTTAGTCACAAGTCAAAATGTTGTAGTTCTTTAGATACTTCAACATTACTACAAGTTTTTTCTTATATTGTCAAATGCTATCAGTATTATATATATATATATTTATACACGCAACTTTTTCATTAAACTAGCTAATTAGTTCATCTTATGATTGAACTACCTGGTTTTTAATCTGATAGCGAACATGAGTCACTGGTGAGAAAGTTGCTGATATAGTGTTTTGTAGGTCTTATGACTAAAGCTGTATACCACCATCCACTCTGCAAACATTTTCTGGGCTTGCTCGGTGAAGATTCACAGCTTTCTGTTTGCACAGAGGAACCAAAACTTCGACAGAAAGTGTACACAAGCGCACGCACCGCCCACACTGTACCTCTTTGGGTCAGGCTGCAGTCGGCCCTGCGCATCTCTCTGCATGGAGGCCCAGCAGTCATCTATGTTCACGTACACATAGCCAAGTTCCTTCCAGCCATCCTCAAACAGTCTGTCTGCCATGTCGATGAACAGATTCTCACTGTCAGAAGGAAAGCAGGGGTTGACAAATATCAGAATAACATTCATCATATGTGAGAATGTAATTTGGATTTAAGAGAACAGTGTTTGCAATAATGGTGACTTGCCTGATACAATTCTTGGGGTCGTGCTCACAGTCAATATCACAGCGGTATCGTTCCCAGGCCAGCCAGCCCATGGGAGGAGTCCTCATCAATCCATTGTCAAGGGCAAAAGTGGCCACAGAGAGCAGACAGGCAACAGCTAGCACAGGAAGATGCATTTCTGCAATGAAAATAAGTGACTGTATCAGTGAATGTTGGACAACACTGGACAGAGTTACCAAGGGAGAGATCCTGCACAGCAAGTTGCTGCATCACACCCCAACCGTTTATGCTTTTCATTCCATCAATAACAGGTGCTCTAACCTGCCCAGTACAACAGAACGGGCGTGACTAAACTGTAGGTTGAAGCAACCTGTCAGGTGACCGCTCCCTTTGACCCGTTCACTTCTGTCAGCTGGCTAATTCAGAACTTCTACCTGTACACAACATAGATTTAACTAAATACATGTGCAAAAACGATACAACAACCAGTGACTTCTTTCAGTCACTTCCTTTCACTGAGTTGAAGTTTTCGCGTCATTCATAAAAGCTCATTTAGCTAACTAAGCAATCTCCAAATTTTGAAAATAAAGTTAAAACACAATTTTTAAAATGATGAAAAACATTCACTTACTGAACTGTAAAGAGGGCTCAACATACGATCGGGCGTATCATGAATCCGTCCTCCACTGCAGGGACTTGGTTGTGTGTGGTTTATAGCTCTTTCTCTCAGTAAACACATTCAACAGACAGGCTCCCATGATAAGGAAGTAGTGGTCACGTGATGGGGTGTCAGCTGACACAAAGGTAGGAAGCTGGAAAGAGGCGGACACAGAGTTTTTTTTTTTTAAATAACTTTATATCTGGGGCTTTTAAACAGCGTATTTAAATAAAATACAACTAAATGCAGAAAAATGGTTTAAAAAACGTAAACTGATTTGTATTTATAACAAGTGCAGATAGTTTTTCACCTTGCCTGTTAAATTAATCCAAATTCAGTATCAAAGGGAGAAATTTCGAAAAAGTTCACTCAAAACGATCGATCACGATATACAGACTGATGTATGTTGATCTTATTAAGATGAGCTGTCACCTCTTGAATAAACCAGACTCTAGAGAGATTGCTATATTTTAATTATTTATCATTTGGTTGATTTAAAAAAAATCCCCTGTGGTTACTACTATTAAATTGCATGCAAAGTATATTATGTATAACAATTAAGAGAGAGAGAGGAAAAGCAGTCTACTTCACACATCACGACAGCGTATATTATTTTTCACAGACTCTGTTCACTAATGAGTTAAATGTGACATCAAACCAGGAAGATGAGAGGAGGAGCTTACTAGTTTGTTGAGTTTTGCACTGGGGAACATGGCGAACACAGATCTGGGTAAGGTTATAACATGTGTTGCAATGGTTATTTACAGGCTGGAAAGCTAAAAATAAGGTTTTGAAACATCATATTTAAATATATCAATCCACGTTTATGTCATGAGTATACATGTTTCAGTTGAAATGGAACTACAGCTATATTCACATCATAAAGCAGCTGCAAACATAAAAATAGTAAAATCAGAGAATAATTCATTTATGCAGGGCGTAAGCTGCCCTGCCAGAGGTTTAAGGGTTCTGAGATGGTCTATTGAACAGCTTGTTGTTCTTTCATATCTAAGACAGACTTCCTGGTTTTAAGTTTCAGCACAGAGACACTGGGACTGCTCCAAAAGAGGCAGTAGTTTGCAGTGTGTGTGAAAAAGAAAGTGAACCGGAGCAATGAGTCATCACATTATTAACCAGAAATACGATCGTGAATACTGGTGAATGTAGTGGAAATAGAGTTTTGTTTTAAGGACTTGATATGCATATGAATGTTCTGATGTGTTGCCAGTCGGCTTCATTCTCAGTACAAGAGTCATCTGATAAATATCCGTCAGATTATCTGTTTTGGCCTCAATAATTACTCTTTTTTATGCAATGTTTAATCTGACTTTGTGCCTGCAGGTCCTTCCTGTGTGGTGAGGACGCTCCTCGGAAGTGCAGCTGCTGGCTTCGTGTTTGGAGAAGCTTCACTGTTTGCAGCTGAGCCCACAGTGACCGAGGATGTGGCCCTGCTGAATGCTGCTACTTTGGCTGCTGGCCATGCTGGTTCCACGGGGGTCGCCGTGGTGACGGCGTGCCTGGTGTTCACCTCAGCACTCCTGTCTCTTGGATCTGGCTTCCTCCTCGCTGCCGTGGTGATGAAACTTTTGACAAATGCAGGAGTGAGGCTGCCGTGGTTAGTGGAAGCCACGACGGGGGCTTCTGTTGTTGTGGGGGCGGTTATCACAGGAGTCCTGGTGGGCGTCCTCCCACCATGGATCTACATTGCAGCTCAAGGTGCTCTGGTCCTCTATGTTTACTCGTACTCCAATGTCAACGACATGACCTCAGCTCTGGCGATTATCTTCACCACTCTGTATCTCTGTGTTGTGTACGGACGGATGGGTGCCATAGTTGGATTCTTTTGTATTGGATTGAGCATCGCTGTCCTCCTTGCCCTTCGAAGAACCCTTACACAGAGACTGACACCAAGACCTAAGTCTACATCCGGGTGCAGACTACTAGAGAGAATATTTTTCTACTCTGTCTTTGTGGGGATCCTAGGCTTTTGTGTCGGATTGGGATCAGGTGGGGCTGGAGATGAGACAAAAGCAGATGTGACTCTGATGCTGCGGTCAGTCGTCTGGGTGGCATTCCTGTCTGCAGGGCTCCTCGGAGCTGGCCTGGGAACAGTGGCTATGGTTGGACTGGGGCCAGATCCAGCTGGGAAAATGTCTGTGGGAGCGGGCGTATTAACAACAGTGGCTCTGAGAGCCGTTCTGCTGTGGAGCTCCTCTCTGGGGCCCAGAGGCTGCACAGGGGCGGCATTGGGGGCGGCAGCAGCTGCAGGCGTGTCACTCGGCGCCGCAAGCGTTGCAGCAAAACAAACATTTGGGTCAAGGAATTCAACTTTTGCAGCTTTAGGATCGGTTGCCGTCGGTGTGTGCGTGGCCCTGAAAGGTGTTGCTCTGAGAGACGCTCTGCTGACAACCTCCGAACTTCTCACAGTCACACTGATTGCGGTGGGGGCATTTGTTCTGGGTGCACCGAAAAGCCCATTCCACACTCAGGTGAACCTACAAGCGGGCCTTCTCAGGGGGACGGAGCTAATTAAAGGAATTGGCATGGAGACAGTCACCGCAGCAGCGGCGCCTATCGGAGCGGGGGCTCTGGGGGCCGCCGCGTTAGGCACCGCAGCTCTGGGCACGCTGGGGACGGCAGGAGTTCTGCTAGCTATGGTCCTGACTGTGGGAAGCGCCCTGACTGGCATGATAGGAAAATCACCCACAACTGAGGCACACAGAGACTGACGTTAAGTTCAACCTGAAGAAATTTGGATGATGAATTCCTTTGAATCGTGTGTAAAAACAAATGTGCTTCTGATTAAACTTGTGTCATAAGCATGTACTGTTTTGGCTACCACTGTGAAATAAAAAAAAAGAGAAACAATGACTCCTCACTCCTCCTTTTTTTTCTTTTTTTTAAGTTCATCACTCCACTGCATCTCCCAAGACATGACTCCCTGACTATTTACTTTGGATTCATCATAACAACAGTAACAGAGGATCCACTGTTGACAAAAGGGAGGGGTGGTGTTGGGAGGAGACAGCAGAAGTGGTTATAATCAGAGCAAAGATGAGCATCTTATACCTGATTCTGCTTTGGTTCTCTCATTGTTATTTAAAGTAATGTAGATTTTCACATGTGGCAGTGCACCCTTATAGGGGTCCCTCTGCTTACAGGACGCCATGTTACCCTCAAATGGATTTCTACTTGTGGTTCCTGTCTGGGATGACAGTTGACAGAAGTTTATTTGCAAGAAAAAGTCTTTTTTTCATTCTGTGCTTTGAGCAGGGGGGGGAATGGAACAGTTTTTAAGGTGTTTTGAAAACGGGAAAGGAAAGGGAATTCTTCCAAAATTCCTTGGAATTACCATGCCATGGAATTGATCTCAATTCACCAAAAAAGCGGTTTGATTATGTGAGTATCCACATAGGTGCCACTGCCATGGGCTAAATCAAATGGATTTTGTGTCTTTTTATTACACCCACCAACATTTATCAGCATGTCTCTGAATCGGATGACTACGACGGACACGGAGCAGTCTGCGGAGTACTCCGTGGAGTATTCGGTGCGGATCACCTCTGACTCGGTTCGTGACCCGGGTCGGAGCCGGGATGTGGCCGTGCTGCGGTCCGGCCGCGCGCGCTGGCTGCCGCGCGCCGCGCGCCTGACTTTTACGCCGGACTCGCTGGAGAAACTTTACCAGAACTACTTCCGACGGCAGAGAGAGGAGAACCTGCTGGTGCTGCTGGTGTTCGCGGCCCTGTTCAACAGCTTCATCATCATCATGTGCGCGGTCGTGTACACCGACGACAAACTGGCCATGCTGGTGGTGGCCGCGGTGGGGCTGGCCGCGGACGTGGCCCTGCACCTGCTGTGCCGGTTCCAAAAGCTCCCCGCGTCCCCGGTGGCGCGGGGAGCCGTGCCCTACGTGCTGTGGCTGATGGTCACCGTCCACGTCCTCTGTTACATGGGCCTGAATTACCAGCGCTTCTCCGAGGCCAGCGACTCCGTGGGCTGGCAGGCTTTCTTCAGCTTCTCCAGTTTCCTGACCCTGCCGCTGGACCTGGTGCCCCTCGTCCTGCTCACGGCCCTGTCCTGTGGGGTACACACCTTGGTTTTGGGTGTCACACTGGCTCAAAGGTTTAATGATAATCTGCAGGGGCCCATGCTTGCGAGAAAGGTAAGATAGAGAAAAAGTGGTTCATATACCTTGAGATGTGGTTTTCTGTAAGATTTTATGGAAATAAAACATCATTGGAGAAATATCAGGCAAAACAAAACACAGTGTAGAAACACAAAATATAGTTACATCTAACACTGAACCAATAAATTATGGCATCAGAATTCCATCTGCTCTGAGAACATGTAGAATTGCTAGTTTATTTGGTGATTCCATCTTTTTTTAAACCTACATTTAAATGCAACAATAGCCAGCCCATCCTGCACTGGGCTATGCAAACACAGGTTAGAACATATCTGCCCAGAGAGAAACACTCCAGCTTTTCTCCTCTCCACAGCTCCTGGCCAATGTGATGCTGTACTTTTGTGCAGCTATAGTGGGTGTGATGTCATACTACATGGCGGACAGGAAATACAGGACAGCGTTTTTGGAAGCTCGTCAGTCGCTACAGGTCAAATTGACTCTGGAAGAGCAGAGTACCCAGCAGGTAACACACACACACACATGTGTATCCATGATTATGAAAGACATTAGAATAACTAATAATTTTAAAGCCTTAATTTTATTCACTTCTTACCACCTGAGCCAAAACTTAATCTTAAAATGCCCTTAAAAAAACGTAAAACTTTGATTGAAAAGATCTCCATGATATGTTCTTCATATGAAGCACATATCCACTGAAGAGAGAAAGGAGATTTCCACATGCACATTTTGCTTATTCAGATCATGTTGTGGGCAAACACACACATGCTCACCACCACAAACACACAAGAACTAAGAGGTTTAACACCCTGTGCTGCCTAATTACATTGTGTTTTGTTCCGCTGTTGACTAATAGGTTGATTAGAGAGACAGTTGTTTTCACCAGAACAGCCGCCGTCTGGGACCTGAAAAGATAAAACCGCCTCCGTTCACAGTCAACCAAGACATGAATGCGGATGTTCTGGTTGACGAGGTTTCGTTGACAATTAAGGAGATTGATTGTTTTGGATTTATTTGTACAATTTGTAAATTTTCTAATCAGCTACTAGATTGATTTTTGTTTTCTGCCTTTTTTAAAACATCTATCTGGATTTAAGTCAAATATAATATAAGTCACAAACATACGAAAAAGGGACAGAAAAGACCTGAGAGACCCCTCAACAAAGAAGCTGACAAAAGCTGGACCTCTGCAACACATCACTCATTGAACGATTTGACATTATCATAAGCATAAGTTTTACTCCTATTTTTCATATCTAAACATGACAAATACTCTTCTCTGGCCCCCTCAAACAGGAGGAACTATTACTGTCCATCTTGCCCAAACACATCGCTGATGAAATGCTGCAGGGCATGAAGAACCAGGCCAATGAGAACGACGTTCAGCAGCAGCAGCAGTTTAACACCATGTACATGTACCGCCATGAAAACGTCAGGTCAGGATCCACATTCATCCCCTTTTCAGAGCTTTCTGCACCAGTAGGTGTTAAAGTCATAAATGCATGAAGGTTTTAACAGCTTGTTCCATGTGTTTGTGTTGTAGCATCCTCTTTGCTGACATCGTGGGTTTCACCCAGTTATCCTCAGCCTGTAGCGCCCAAGAGCTCGTAAAGCTGCTCAATGAACTGTTTGCCAGCTTCGATAAACTGGCCGCAGTGAGTATCAGCTGAGTGATTTTTTTTTTTACATGTAATATTATTGACTGATTATTCCTTATCTTTTTTTGTTGTTGTTGGAGTCACTTTTACTGGTTGAGGTGGCTGAACAAGCATGCCCCCATTTCTGTGTTTTGCAGTCAAATTTCTAATTTAAGAATTCTGACATCTAATTCCTAATCCTGATGTCTGTTAGATTTAAAGTAGAATATGTTTGGGATACTCTGCTGTGACCACAGGCCTGAAGGGTAGAGAAACCATCTGCCTCCTTAAACAATTGAAGCAGTGCACAAATCAAGGTCAACGTTCCCGTCTGGGGAGGCAGTTTAGAAGTATACACAGGTTTTGCAGGACTTTTGCCCATCTAAAATGTCTCTTTTGTTTAAGAAGAAATTTTCTCATCTTAGCTGTACATCACTGAGTTGTTTGCAAGATATGGACACACCAATATGGTACAAAAACAATACATCTGAAAATTAGCCAAAAATAGAAAAGCAGAGTGTGAAAATGGCTTTACAGCGCTGTTTAATGTGAGTAACATAATTATTTTTTAGGTTTTTGCTGGTATGGAACTGAAAAGGATCATATGTTTTTGTTTCTTACATTTTTAATTGCTTTTAAACTCTTTTTTACACTGTGATATTTTTAATGAAATGTTATGCAGGTCAGATTTTCAGTGATTTGCAGATCATTAATTCCATTCTCAGTCTAAGTCACAAAATTTTGGAAACATAGATGTAAACAAAATTTGAACATATCACCATGTTTTACAGCAACATCACCAGCTGAGGATCAAGATTCTTGGAGACTGTTACTATTGCATCTGTGGCCTCCCTGACTTCAGAGAGGATCATGCTGCTTGCTCCATTATGATGGGCCTTGCGATGGTAGAAGCTATCTCGTAAGTGGGGACTTTCCTAATTCACAAAATCATAATGGAAAAAAGACCTGACACAGTAAGAAAAAATCAAACAAACTGTTTGGAAATAATAAATGGCGATATAATACAGGTGTTCAGAGGAATCACAATATGACACAATAATGAAAGATCTTAAATGATAATGCATTCTTTGTTAAGCTTTTTGAAAAGTAGAAACAGTTTGACTGTTGAAATCAAATCAAGATAGAGATGAATCTCTCTGAATTTGTCTTTTGGCTCAGATATGTACGGGAAAAGACCAAAACTGAGGTGGACATGCGCGTCGGAGTTCATACAGGCACCGTGCTGGGAGGAGTGCTCGGCCAGAAGCGCTGGCAGTTTGATGTTTGGTCCACAGATGTCACTGTGGCCAATAAAATGGAATCTGGAGGAATTCCAGGGTAGGAAAATAATCCCTTTCCACAAGTCTGTTGTTGGGACCAAATTTTAATTTGCATTTTATTTAAAACGATTTTTGCTCCACGCAGGAGAGTGCATATTTCCCAAAGCACCAAGGACAGCCTGCATGGGGAATATGAACTGGAACCGGGAAATGGCGGAGAGAGGTGTGAGTACCTGCTGGAGAAAGGCATCGACACTTACTTGGTTTTGGTGCCCAAACCAGCAGGTAATGGGCTAAACGGAAATGTGAGTGGATTTAGCTTCATAAAAGGCAAAAGGCAGCTCTGACTGAATTATTTGCCATATGAAAAAAGTTTCCCTGTCATTGTTTGACACAGTCCATTTTCTCCCTCAGACACCAGCTACACTGACCAACAGAAATTCTAAACAGTTGATTCAAACAACAGCAACCAATGGGAACAGTGTCTCACACCTGCCCACCCCAAATAACTCTAAAAAGGAGGTAAGTGAGAAATTAAATACATGCAAAGGAAAAGGGTGGAAGGGAAAGCTGGCTCTCAGTAGCACCTAAGAATAATTTTTTCCCCCATAAATCCTGATGCTACAGTTTTTCGATAAATTGTTACATTAGTTTGCCTATTCTTATAATTGAGTGTATTTTTTAATCCGTGTGATTTATTAGGGTTTTTTTTTTAATTATACGTCAAAAAAGGCTGGAATATCTTATCAGCTAACTAACCCATTATTTTAAACATAATTGACCTCTATTTTGTTTCCGCTAACTTTAGAAGCATAAAAGGGTTGAGGAACAAGCGATCAACAGACGGCTGCAGCAGGAGCTGTTGGACAGAGAGTCTCAGCAAATGTAAGACAAGACCAATAAAAGATTAAAGGCTCAAATGCAGATCACTGTACCAATTTAGTTAAGCAATGAACGGTAATTGTGAGTGAGAGTTTATTTATCTTTAGAAATAAGAAGAGATTGGTTCGCCAGTACGGATGAACAGACTCATTAATTAGTCCTTATCTTGTTTCTCCTGTTTGTATATGTGTCGCTATTATTTTTCCTTCCTCGCCACACTGACGGGATGCTTTTGAAATAGAATGAAGGGTCATAAAATCAACCCCATATCCCTTCGTTTTGTGGACGGGAAGTTGGAGGAGCACTTCTCTTCAGAGAAGGAGAGGCGAAGCGGGGCGGCCTTCTGCTGCTGCATCATAGTGCTCTTTTTCATCACATTAATGGAGGTTTTCATAGACCCATTGTGAGTTAAGCATAATTCTATCACCCATTTGAGAAAAATCAATACGATTTACAAATCGTCTCTGCCATCATTGAGTTCATTAAAGTGCCAGTTGTTGCTGTTAGTGTGAGATTCTGTATAACAAATGGTGTTCTTTTTCCAGATTGGTTGTGAACTATGTGACTCTCGCAGTAGGGCAGACGCTGTTGCTCATCCTGACGTTTTGCTCCCTGGCTGCCATCTTCCCAAGGGTCAGAAAGAAGAGCAGTAAACTCTGACTAATTTATTTTTTGGATTTCTTTGTTTATTTTTTTTACACAGACATTTTGACTTAACACGCTTCTCTTCTGTCCGCTTAATAATGAGTAAATGTAATTTATGAATACTTTAGAAAACAAAACATTTTTGTGTCCATTTTCTTCCCTCCAGATGTTCTCTAAAAGGCTAGTCTCTTTCTCAATGTGGATTGATCGCACCCGGTGGGCAAGAAACATATGGGCCATGGCAGCCATCTTTGTTTTAACCATGGCTGTGATCGCGGACATGGTATGACTGCAAGGCGCTCTGCCAGCAAACTTTTTTCTTATGTTATGTAACTTTCTGTCTTATGTGGAATTGTTTATAGTCACTTTCTTAAAAAAATCAATTGGGACTTATTTATGTCATCGTTTCATCCAACCCTACTGTGTGTGCATCTTTCCATTAGTGTGTTTCCACTTTTGCTCATCAAACTAACACTGTCTTTTATGTGTCTGGCTACAAGCTCCCAGTGGGATCCATTAGATATCGGTCTTGCTGCCTGCTGGCTCATTTGTCAAAGCCCCAAGGGGGCAACCTGCTCCACATGCCGCTGCCTTTGAGCTCTGATGTGAATAGAGAATGACAGTGAGATGAGCATTCGTGGCACTGGCTTGGCTCTCAAGTAGAAGTGACAATTTGAAAAAAAAAATCAAGATTACATTTTCTCATTGTCACAGTTCCTATTAACTAACATCAAAAACAGGCTTTTCTTGCCAGATGTTGGCAGCTGATGCAACTTTTTAACCCTATGCCCATGCCTATGCCCATGGCATTTTAAAGCCATGACGATTGGGTCTCATAAAGATTATTTATTCTTGTGCTGTGTTTTGTGACAGAGATGCAGCTTTTTTTGAGGAAACCAGTAGCACGTAAAGCCTCCATTACTTTCAATAGGAGTGGTAAATGTCAATTTGAATTTTAAGCCCTTTTTAATCACATCCTCTGAACACTCTTAAACTAAATTGACAAGTTCCAGACCACTGAATTGTTGGGACAAAGAAAATTGCAGCACACTCATGCAAGTACTGTCAAAGTTAATTACATGAGGATTAGAGGATTTTTTCATTATAAAATCTATTTGGATAAACCAACACAATTCCACATATAATTTAATGCATCTACATAAAGCAATCGCATTACAAGTAGCCTACTTATGACAGTGATCGCGTATCATGCTGCTAATATAGTTTGAAAGATTCATCCTTGCACAGAGAACAAATATTTTTGTTTTTATTTTGTTTTGTTTTGACAAAAAGTGAAGACCTGTTGATGAGGAGGGGTGGTGATTGCCAATGCTAGCTAGTATAGCATTGTGCATATTAAAATCATGCTAACTTAACGTTTTAAATGTACACAAAGTACATTCTGATTACTGAAATACTTATTTCAAAATTTACTCAAACCAAAATGACCCCAGACTCAACTTCTTCTGTAAAAAGTTAAGGAATATTGAAATTAGTATGCACTGCAAGTTCACCGCCGAATGACCCTCTGGACATGTCTTGACATGTAAATTAAACCAATCCCAGACACCAATCTTTTGTGCCTAATATCTAAGTGGCTATTCATTATCAGAGAGATCTGCAGCACACTGATTTGAAGGAGTGAGAGCTAATGACTTCATAATGATCTATAGGACAGTTTGACTTGGTGTTTTATGAGAAAAGCTGACATGTTTTGAACTGAGGTCTCTTTGAGCTAGAAAAAGTTACTTAGGAGACTGCACCAAACAATACTCAGTGCTACTGCATAACAAGGCTTTTCCATTTAAATGGCTGTATGTATATTTTTGTTAGTCTATGACATTATAAAAGCTTTGGTTTAAAAAAAGCCAACTTTTATTTTATCTGAGCTGGCCAACTCATGGCTGCAAGAGAGCCTCTGGTGAGATTCCCACATCGGGGCTTTCTGTGTTGAGTTTCCGCTATTTTCTCCCCATGTATGTATAGGTTTCTTCAATAACACAAAATGTTGTGTTTGAAGATCAGTGGTGATTCTAAATGGACCCCTGCTAGGAGTGTGTATGTGTCTGTAGTGACCCTGTGATGGACTAGTGACCCATCCAGTGGATAATGAGCACATCATTTAAACACAAAATGTGAAGCAACATTTTGTCTTGATTTCCAAATTCACATTACTTTCAAACTTGCAGTTGAGTTGTGTCCCACCGTCCCTTCGCATCTTCAACGGTACCTTCGGCCCCACGCTGGAGTCATTTGGTGACCGAAGCTGTGCAGAGAATCCAAAATATTACAGCTTTATGGCTGTGATGTCACTTATCGCAACGGCAATGCTGGTGCAGGTCAGTCATCTCATCAAGCTGGGCCTCATGGTGCTGGTCGTCACAGCAACTGGAGCAGTCAACATCTACAGCTGGAGGGAAATATATGATCTGTATGACTTCATACAGTTTGCCTCATACAGGTGAGAAATCTGCAAAGTTGAATACTTATAAAAGGCTGTCGGGGTCATTTCTGTTGCATTTTTTAAGGACAGAACATGCTGGTAGGGAGTGTTATCTCTAATGAAGCTTCTCTCCTTGTGTGCCCAGAACATCTATGGTGCCATCCAAATACCTCATGACTATGATGATTATCGTGATGATGATTAGCTTTTACATCTTTGCTCGCCATGTGAGTTTCTGTGCTTTGCTTACACAATGTTAAATATATCTATCTGACAGCCAGCTCATAAAAAGCTAACATCTAGAGATGACTGTGTGCCACATGTTTCTGTACTTTTCCACTATGTTATTTCTTTGACTCTTGGATGTGTGTAGTTGGAGCAACAGTCCAGGAAGCTGTTTCTGTGGAAGATTGGTGTCCATGACCAGAAGGAGAGAGTATTTGAGATGAGACGCTGGAACGAAGCATTGGTCATCAACATGCTGCCAGAGCACGTGGCCAAACACTTCCTGGGCACTAAAAAGAGAGATGAGGTACACATAAGTTTTGCTGAAAGTTTTGTTAAATTTCCATATACAAATACATGGAGGCACTTAGCCCTGAACAACAACACAAAAAACAGTAATAAATGTCTGGATGGGGAAGTATGAACAATTTTCTTCTTGCAAATTGAAGCTTTCCGGCCTTCGCCCTCTTTGTGGACAACAGTGCCATCTTGTGGTATCGCCCATTATAGATACTGGCAAAGAAGTCGGTAACCCCCCCCAAAAAATCCCCTTGAGTTAAAATAATGTTATTTGTCATTTGCAGGAGCTGTATAGCCAGTCTTATGATGAAATAGGTGTTATGTTTGCTTCCATCCCAAACTTTTCGGATTTCTACACTGAAGAGAGCATCAACAATGGAGGGATTGAATGTCTCAGGATCCTTAATGAGATCATCTCAGATTTTGACAGCGTGGGTCTCTTGCACTCTACAGTTGGTTGTCTACTTTAAGAACCAACGTTTGACATACATCAGAATATATTTGACCTCACAGATGTTTTTGTAACTCCTAGAAGTCAGATAAATCCATGTCCACTTTCTTCTCTAGTTGTTAGACAGAGACGACTTCCGATGTATCACGAAGATCAAGACAATAGGAAGCACCTACATGGCTGCCTCAGGACTCACGCCAGAAAGTAACACTAATGGATACAGCAAGGTGTAATCCTTTAACAGGATCTGTAACAATCTGTGTTTCTATATGAACAACCACACAGGTTACACTTACTTACTGTTATTTAACAGCCAGAGGACCATTCAGTGGCTGAGCGCTGGCAGCACCTGGCTGATCTGGCAGAGTTTGCCTTGGCCATGAAAGTCACTCTCGACAACCTCAACAAACAGTCTTTCAACAACTTCATGCTACGCATCGGTGGGTGTGGGTGTGCATGTGACTGTGCCTCAAGACTGTACATTTTGATCAATAAGCAGACCTGAATGTGTGTCCATGTCCGGTTGTTGATCTCTGAAGGTATGAATAAAGGAGCAGTTCTTGCTGGAGTGATCGGAGCTCGTAAACCTCACTATGACATCTGGGGCAACACAGTCAACGTAGCCAGCAGAATGGAATCGACTGGAGTGATGGGAAACATACAGGTTGACACACAGATTGAGCATATTTCTGTTTATATATATATATATATATATTCATATGCATGATCTTTTTTGCCCACAGGTGGTGGAGGATTGCTACGACATCCTGAAGGAGTATGGCTTCCGCTTCATTCGAAGAGGGCCAATTTTTGTCAAAGGCAAAGGGGAGCTGCTAACCTTTTTCATGAAAGGCAAAGACAAGCCAAATTGCAATGCAAATCCTGTCCCCACAACTCTTCCGCATCAAGTTGCTGCTGTCTCCTAACTTTTGTCATTACAATTCTTTTAATGCCAGTCCATCTTTCAAGCCTTACACTGTTGCTCACACAAATCCTATGAAAGTAGATCACCACATTAAGATACAACTATAAATAAATAGCCTTACAGTAAACTAAAAAGGATATCTAACTTATTTTGTAAATTTGTAAATAATTCAGTAATACGTCATTCAGCTCCACTGATAAAGTGTTTATTATTAACTTTTCAGTAGATTTCACAGGCAAGTTCTACAGGAATGCTTTTTATTTAATATAAAATTTGAATGAGCAAAGCTCCTCTCTTAGTTGAAGCCGTTCCAACAAAGAAGGGTGATACGGTCCAAGAGGAGACGTAACTTTTCAAAAGTGTTCATGCCAACACTAAAAAATATTCAGATTCTTAAGGAAAACATTAAGATAAGATTATTGATTCATATACATTTAGCAAGAGAGGAAATTCCATTCACATTCATTTTTTACATGACCGTTTATGTATATTTCTAGCTTGTAACAAACATGTAAAGTGCCTAACTTTATTGTTTCACCTTGTGCTCAGGTTTGTATAATAATGTAGACTAATCACATTGCATTTATACTGTATTAATAAAATATTTCTCCATCATACTTTTGTGATTGTTTAAAATGGCTTAGAAGTATTGTTTTTATTTGACCAATTCATGAACACAGTGCTGGATTTAAAATGTTAAGCTATGCATGTCAGTAAACTGATGTCTGTACACTGTAAGAGTAAAATGGTTTAATTTATTTATTTAGTCTGACATGGAATTGATCACAATCTGCTCCAATCTGCAATCAATAATCAATTCATTAAGACACTGGACATTCTCTTTGGCCCTTTGTTTAATTTTAATCTTATCAAAGATTGATTGAGTCTCTTGGGGCAGTTTCTGCTAGTTAGTCTCAGTCTTTAAAGATTCCTGTGGAGTTTACTCAAAATAAGTTTGCAGTAATGGGCAAAGAATTACATTAATGTACTAACAACAACAACAAAGACGCTTAAAAAATGTTTTCGTGACAGATGATCTAATCATATACTTAGGAATTTTTACATAATAATTATCAGACAGGTTAATGACATGGCTTAATTTTAGTTTGAAATAGTAATGCAAATTTGATTGATTTGTAGAAACTATTCAATCTAGCATTCTTATGGAAAGCAATGATTTGTCATAAGCTCCAACATATTTATTTGGAAAACTAAATATTTGAGGAATTGGGCCTATTGTTTTATTAGTTTCGGATTATTCTGTCATTGAGCATTGAAGTCAAGACAACAATGTCCACATACTAAATCTTATACTGAAAAATATTTATTTTTGTCCACATACTATTTTAGAGGATGTTCAGCTTCTGTGAGGTACTAACACTCACCACTGTGCTTGACCCACTTAAACATCAAGACAAAAATTATTGTTTGCCTGAAAGTAAACAATTTTCTCAAACTGGATTTGTTATATGATTTATGTCACTATATAGCTCAAGGTCTCCTTTTTCATTGATGTATCCAAGCTTGACTTTAGTGACAGGACTGGCATGGGGACTCCAGCCTTCGCTTGCAGTGTACACTTATGACCCTCGCATCATCCCGGACCTTGTATTTTGAACTGCACGCAAAACTGTTTATTCAGGGAAGGATACTATGATCTCAATAGAAATTTCCTACAAACTCAACCATTTTTTTAATGCAGTTTTGTTTGTGTTTTCTCTCTTTCACGTTGACCATATCTTTTCACCACTGTGACACTTTGTTGTTGTTTTTTACCTATTCCAAATTTGTTTTACTTTAGCTGAATTTATTAAATTAATTGATTTCTTGAGACAATATGCTTACCACGGTTGAATATATTCATTAAACTATTCAAATGATCGGTTTAATATTAATTTAACAGAAGTTTTTTAAAGTTGTTTAGAAAAATTACATGCACCACCCATAGATTTTAATTCTACCCGGAAGCCTGGTAGTGTAGGAATTTCCGGTTACGTCAGAGCGTCAGGACTCCATTAGAGTTGCAGCTGTTTTCAGAGAAACATCAACAAAACGGGATAACTGTCAGTACGCTTTAAGCCCGACAACGAGGCCTCAGATCTGGAAGCTTAACCCTAATTTCCCACCCGGAGCTCCGCCGGCTTCTAACCACGGCCGCTCTCGGTGAGGAAACTCTGGCCTCCGCTTCCTCCTCCTCCGACTCGGACACCGGCGGAGCGTCGCCGCCCCCGCGGAAGAAGCACCGAGCCTCGGCGGCGGAGGGAGCAGGAGAGCCCGGGGCTTCAGCAGTTGTAACAGGCCTATCTGGAGTTGTCTTAGGACTTGCACCTCACTCTCAAACTACATCAGCCATCCATTTTAACAGAAGTATTGTCAACAATCTTAGCAGCAACATGCAGTCAAACGGGGCAGGACAGGGACAAGAATCTTCAGATCTTCCTTGCCTAAACAGCGCACAAAACGGGGAGTCATCTTCGACTGGTGGAACCCATTCCAACGGGCTTCTGTCCAGCACAGACAACGGTAACGGTGTCGGTACCAGTAATGGGTCCGCAGTCGGACCCTGTTCGGGGACTTCGGCTGCTTCGGCGGCTTCGAGCTCGGAGGTTGGCTCGCTGAAAAAGAAGAAACGACTATCGCAGGCGGAGGAAGATGTCATACGATTAATAGGACAACATCTCAACGGACTGGGGCTGAAGTAAGTTATACAATATGTCAGTTAATGAAAAACTTCCATAAACATCTTATATTACGGTTGAACAAATTAAATGACATCTATATTAAAGTGGATTTCTGTGAAAGTGCTATATTGCCGCTAGTAAATGCGCTATTAGAGCGCTTGACAGACACAAACATGGGGGGATGGGGTAGTAAGTTAGCCTGTCAGCTAGGCAGTTGGTAAAATGAAGGGGTCCATCTTGCACAATAACAGTTAGCTTCATAGCTAACAGCACTAGCCTGCGCTGTGGTGTTGTCCTGACATTAAACGTTAATGCAGATGGAAAATACATTCCAGCATTTACTTGTTGAAGAAATACGCTTTTAAATGACAAAACCTGTTATGACATTAGCGCTTTATTGCTAACAAAAGAGATGGATTTCGAACAGAATAAAAGGCATTACATCATCCAGCGTTACTAACGCTTATTCACACAAAACAAGCTTCATTAGCTTGTTTATGGTTTGCAATTATTTAAAGTCAATGCTATGAGAACGAAGAACCATGCTGGGGCGTCATAATGAAGTACCTAAGCAGGATTATCGAGTTTGTGGTGAACGTTTTCTTTTGCGGTTGAAGGGCTGTTGCGCAAAAAACATTGCGGAGAAAATGTAAGGTTAATGTAAAGGGTTGTCATAGTCTATTTTTGATCAGGCGATAGGTGGCATACGTCGCTTTTTTGTTAGCTTGCAAATAAAAGCTATTTTACCTGCAAAGCTATTTCAGAGGTACTGGAATGAGCTTGGGTTGCCTAAAAGCACTGCGATTACAGGGTCTGTTGGTGAAAACTGTCCCGATTATGGTGCTGCTCAGTTCATCAAATTAATAGCATTGTCTTGCTTTCGAGTGAAAAGTATGACTTCTCTGTGAGATTAAATGCTTCATTTTGTCACTGTGTCACTGTGTCATAGCAATTTGTCAACAGCCGGTCTCAACCTGCATCTGTAAGATCACGTCTTTATTTAAGGACAGCACTCAGCTACCGGGGGGCAACATTTGTTCCTGAAATGAAGCAGAATCACTTGGTTTCATGGCGCATGAGGAATGCGCTCTCTACCAGCTGTTTTAGATGGAAACGCCGTGCTTGAATCTAATTATAGCATGGTGGGGCTTTCAGATATGTATGTGTACTCATCTTCTTCTTCAACGTGGCTGTGGTTGTCGCTGTTGTATAGCCTTGTGTCTGTTGATCCGTGATATCCAGCTGAGAAGGTAAAGCAGCCATTACAAGGCATGATAAAAGACAGCCTGCCATTACTGTTTACAATGAGGGTGTAAGAAGGGGGTGGGGGTAAGGGGGGGTTGTTACATGGCATTGCCTGCTATGAAACAGTCCCTGTGTTTCAGCTGGAGAAATGCTCGTGGTTTCTATTGGTGTAGCAATCAGCTGGATGAGAGGCTCAACACAGAGCTGCTGCGCCACTTCATTGATACCTGAGGATGATGTCATCATGCTGAAGGTGTCAGCCCCCCCATCACAGAATCATTTTCATTATCTGGCGCACACATCTCAGTGGGCGCATTTTTTGGCGCTGGCAGTGCTTAAGCAGAAGAGATAGTGTTTGGACAGATGGCTATGGTTCATGGTTGACAGGCTGTGAGGGTGATGTCAACTGCAGCGAAAGCTGTGGTCATGTAAATGTACCTCCTACTATGTCCAAATAATGCTTAGATTTGTGGCACAACTGCCCTTGGTTGGTACCCTCCAGATCCAGCTGCCCACAAACTTTCAGTGCCTCTTGTCAGCCATTAACATTGATACTGTCCTCAACATGATTTTCACACATCAGCCACTCACCTTTTAGTTACCCTGCGAGTACAAGACCATAACATGGAGAAACACCCAGAATGGTCTGTATAATGTACCCTGAAATGACACTTTGTTGTATCAATGGCCGGCTTTTTCAACATCCTGCTGACTGTGCTCACAGTTCTGATTACGTGCTAAATGCTGACGGTTGAAATGCCGCCTTCATGCCTAATTTCTAAGTCATCCTCTGTTTGCCTTCCTTTATCATGTGTTGATACATCAGGATAACTTTGTCTGCCTCTCTTCCACCCTCTGCCTGTGTGTCTGCAGTCAGACGGTGGACCTGCTGATGCAGGAATCGGGCTGCAGACTGGAACACCCGTCAGCTACCAAGTTCCGCAACCATGTCATGGAAGGGGAGTGGGACAAGGTTGGTTTGGCATTTGAGAGCGTAGGCAAAGCCCATGAAGCAGTCTACCTGTGGAAAAAAGTTGCATAGATTGGTACTCTTATGTCCCACATACTAGGCAAGACATCTAAAGATTTCAGACAAGTACCTGTAGTGTGGTGGGGTTTTTTTTGTTTGTCTGTTTTTTTACCTGAACAGTTAGTTCATTTCTTCACATTGAAATGTCAAGGCCTGTAACCCATAATGGGGTTATTAATCATCAGAATCAGATCAGAATCAGAAATACTTTAATGATCCCAGAGGGAAATTATTTAATTATTTACCACATACATATTTCAAATTATTTCAATATGTTTTTTCATTTAAGCACCTGCTCTATTCAGCATCAGCATGTTGATCATGTGGAATACAGGCCCACATTCCATTCAATGTGCTGTGTATTATCACATTTGAATTCTTTTGTGTAGTTTTGTTTAAACAATTAGACCATATATCACTGGTCTTTATTGTGTTACTCTATTCTAAGATTTTAGAGTTTAAGCTTATTAAACAGCACAATGTGTATTAAGATGAATCATCAGGAATGATAAACCTAAGTCAGAACTGAAGGCTGGAAAATGAGCTGGAGCCTTGAGCCAAATGGTTGTAAATTTTCTGGATGTGGGCGGAAGGCCTGTTCTCTGGGCAGAACTGGAGTAAACCAGACACTTGTTCAGCTTTTGTTTTGGTTCTTAAAATCTTATCGACCTAATAGAAGTTTTTGTGTTAAAGCTTTGATTTTTCTTTTGATCGAAGGGTATAATAAGCTACACTACCATAGCCACATTTACAGTGAGCTTAATATTTCCATCACTGTCCACATTGGTCTTTTTTTCTCTCCTCTACATGCCTGGAAACTGCCGAGCTAACAATTCCTCTCTCTGTCTCTATCCTCCATCACTCTCTCTTTGTTTTGATCCAGGCTGAGAATGATCTCAATGAGCTGAGAGCACTGATGCATTCTCCTAACGCTATTGTGGTAAGCTCCCTTCGCCCGAACCTGAACTTGGCCCAAACAGTCATTTAGCAGACACATCTGGATGTTCCAGAATGACGCCATTGCAAAGCAGGCCCTGTTGTTTAACACTGAAGGCTAAAATGTTCTGGAAGAGCTCTCAGAAACTGACAGAATCCAATTTAGAGAGAGAATGTGTTTGAAATGAGGGTGTTTTTTGTTTTTTCTTTTGTTCATTTAGTTTTAAATTGGGTCAGACTGGTAAACTCATAAAGTTGTTATTTTTATACTGATTTCATGTGTGGATTCATATTTTTATTTAAATCCACATACTGTTCTGGTTACAAATAATCATAGTATTTTTTTCCAGTGCTGGATCAGAAATAAACTGAACTTGGCCTAATAAACCGTAGCTATTACATTAATTTGCAGAAAAGATCAGCTCCACAAAAGCTCACAGATATGAGTCAAGGACCTGCCACACTTTTGTCATTAATACAAGTTGGGTTGATGGGAAAATGCATGTACCTGTGTGTTTTAACTTCCCACTGCAATTACTGTATTCATCTCATGCTCCGGTTTTAGGGTTTAATCATGTCCTTTAGGTGGGATCGGTTCAATCAGATGGTATAAAGCTGAAAAAATGACAGATTTATGTGTGCCCGTGCACTTAATTTGCAAACATGAATGGGTGAATGCTTTATTGTACGTGTGGTAGTCACAGCTGCGTTTGCTCCAGATGTCGGGGCTGTTCTGGGAACTTGAAATAAGACTAAGAACAATATTTCCTCCCCGCTCGTGTCCTGCCTCTTCCTCTCAGCGCATGAAGTTCCTGCTGCTGCAGCAGAAGTACCTGGAGTATCTGGAGGACGGCAAAGTCTTGGAGGCTTTGCAGGTGCTCCGGGGAGAGCTGACGCCACTCAAATACAACACAGATCGCATCCATGTTCTCAGCGGGTAGGTTTTTAAAAAAAAACAAAAAACCTGCACCTGTTTCACAACAGTCATCATTAGTCACCGCACCTACACAAGACGCACACCTTCAGCTAGCTTGTGAGGTAGCTCCAGGAGCTCCAGTGGTGTTTCAGCTTATGCTGAGCTGACATGAGACAGAGATCATCCTCTGATTTGTCGCCCCATACGGTAAATGCATCGTTTGCTCTTTACCAAGAACAGGATGAGGTCGGTTACTCAGCTTTAAAATGCTCAAAGTTAGAGTTTAAATTAAGTTACTAATGATATCAATTCAACTTACACAACGGATGCCTCTCTCTACACAAGTAGTCCAATATCTAATATAAAGTGTGAGTCATATCATCGGAGCATTCAGGATTCATTCTGGCTGTTGATGTGGATGGTTTGTTTGAACATCTTAGATTAGTTGTTTTTTTCGTTTTCACATGGTCTACTTTGACTTCTCTCTTTGTATCCAGTCTGGCCCTCGACACACAGTTTTACAGGTTCATCATGTTTCAGTGGCACCCTCCGAAAAACGCGTGCCCTCATTTTGTTCCCTTGGTCATAAGTAAGCGTCGCTCCTCTCTCTGACTTCCTGTCCAGCTCAGTTTACTATGTCTACTTAAAGGGGTTTGTGTCAAAAATAGACCAGGCTCGTATTTTCGGTGGTTCACAGTGAAGAGCTTTTGGAGCGTCTTTGGCAGAGTCACAACAATTTCTTGAAATGCGGCAGTTGCCTCCAGCAGCCATAAAAGTACCGACACTACTGGAACCCCTGGAAAAGGCTTTGCTAAATGCTTGTTCCTCCATTTAAGCAAATTAAGTTGTGGGAATGGGTCAGCCGCTCTGCTTAAGCTCCTTATGAGTCTAAAGGCCGGAATAAACAGTCAGGAATCAGGAAGTGATGAATGGGTCCGTCATGTCTCACATCAATTTGTCAGCTCCTTCCAGATGTTCTCCTGATTCTGGCATGTGATTCCAATTATCTGTGGGATTCCTGCTCTTTTGTTCCTGTTGTGGTAATATGGCAATGTTTGTTGCGATTTCTTTACATTGTGCACTGTTTTGCCTCACATTGTGTCCTTGTGCCTCCCCGCAGGTACCTGATGTGTAGCCATGCTGAGGACCTGCGGGCGAAGGCAGAGTGGGAGGGCAAAGGCACAGCCTCACGCTCCCGGCTGCTGGATAAATTACAGAGTGAGGAAGCCTTTTTAGAAAATGACCCGGTAGAGATGGCAGGCATGGGCTGACACTTCAGCTCGGCGACGTGCACGCCTCATGCGCTGAGGTAACCCGTGTGCCGCTTTCGTTCCCATGCTGCAGCGTACCTGCCGCCCTCTGTGATGCTGCCCCCCCGGCGACTGCACACCCTGCTGCGGCAAGCCGTGGAGCTGCAGAGGGACCGCTGCCTTTACCATAACACCAAGCTGGACAACAACCTGGACTCCGTCTCCCTTCTCCTCGACCATGTCTGCAGCAGGTTGGTGCTTTTCATACGCATTTTCAAATCCATGTGCATTAACATACGTTTTCTTCTTTGTTGAGGGTCGGAACTTTTTTTCTTTACTCCTCTTCATTGTATTTTCTGTATTTATGCTCGGTTGTACCGCTTTATTCAGATATGGGCAATATACTGCAATAAGATTTACAGAGATGAACTGCACCATAAATATGTTAAGCCTGTGTCCATTTTCCCGTCACAGGAAACAGTTTCCCTGTTACACCCAGCAGATTCTGACGGAACATTGTAATGAAGTGTGGTTCTGCAAGTTCTCAAATGACGGCACCAAGCTAGCCACTGGCTCCAAAGACACTACTGTCATAATTTGGCAAGTGGACCCGGTGAGTGTGGAAATATACTTTTGTCTGGTGTTATTAAGCATAGAAAAGGCTTGAATTGAGTTCTTAATGTCAAAGAGTTGGAACAATATGTGAGAAAAGCATAATGTGCACAGCCTGTCTTTACACAGCAGGGTTTAACACGCCTGTATGCCTTAAGTTTGAACATTGTCTTGGTAATGATTAAAGAAGATTAGATGATTGTGAATGTTGGCTTTAAATAAGTCATTTCCGGCATCTGAGCATTAAGATTTTTTGAACAGATTGCTGTTCATGGTAGGCAACCATTATGTTGCATTTTGAAGCTCCTCTCATGTAGATCATTAAGTATCAGCTAACAAGCTGTCTAATTTTTTTTAACAAAGTCTGTTTTTCAGTTAAAGCTTTCTCCCACAGTCCCTTTGAGACACGGCAAAACAATTTGTCACAAAGTCTCCATTTAATTATACCTTTACAGTTCTTTGGAATGCTCTTGAATTTTTTTCTTTCAATGTCATATAACCCCTTTGCACCCAATTTGCTCCTGACTATTGGAGCAGATCGTATGGTAAAAAAAAATAAAGAGGAGGTATTTATTCATCTGTTGTCTCGGTAGGAGAGCCACCAGCTGAAGCTGCTGCGGACCCTGGAGGGCCACGCATACGGAGTCTCCTACCTAGCTTGGAGTCCTGATGACACCTACTTGATTGCGTGTGGACCTGACGACTGCTCTGAGCTCTGGCTCTGGAATGTTCAGGTAGCTCCTGTATGAAGCAGCGCTTCCATGTGTCCTCAAAGGAACACAGCTGTGGAGAGAAGTGTGATGTGTTACTTTAATCGAGTTTTGTGAAGAAGTGGGAAAAGAAAATGCACTGTAGTACTTGGACTATAATTTTGAACTTTGTCTTGAATGAACAGTCTTGAACTCAAACACGGAACATTTGGTTTAGTCAGCATTCGCTAAGCCAATCGCAGCTGTTATATGGTAACAGGGATTAGGTATGTAGGAGGACTCGTGCAGCTGATATGTTGCTCATGCCTATCAAGATGACTTGACTGTTTAAATGAAGCTGTAAGGCATATTTAAGGAAAGCTGTCTGGGATATGACTGACAGCACGCTGTTACAGTGACAAACTAAAGCCCACCACGCTGTGCTGTGCAGCTCTAATAAAGGTCTGTGGATACTTTGTAGCGCTGTGTGTACCCAGTGACCTCTTCTCTTCAACCGCCCCCTCCCCTCCCCTCTCCTTTCCTATTACTCATCCCTCCCCCACCCTCACTTAATGTGTCTTTTTGCTCTCTCCCTTCCCCCATTTTCGCGACCTCCTCCTCTTCTTCTGCTGCCTCCATCCATGTTTTTCTTGGCCAGACGGGGGAGCTGCGGACCAAAATGTCCCAGTCCCATGAAGACAGTTTGACCAGTGTGGCGTGGAACCCTGACGGCAAACGCTTTGTCACCGGAGGACAGAGGGGGCAGTTTTATCAGTGTGTAAGTGAATCAGGGAAATTAATATATTTCATTATTTGGATGGTGTATGTTTTTTTGTTGTTGTTTCCCTTCAGTATGCTTTTACCTGTCCTGTTGCTGGTGTGTTTTGAATGCCGGAATGTTTGCTGGGTAAGCAGGTCAAACTGAAATGACATTGAGTTATAGACTGCTCTCTAGTTATTGTTGGCTCAGCAATCATGTGGTTGACATGGGAGGATATTTTAAGCAGGTGAACATGATATATGTCTATATATATATATATATATATACATAAACCTGTAAATGCCTTCAGAGCGGATGTGATTTCTTTATTAACCGTGGTGGCAATGCTATGCTTTGTCTGTGTTCTCATTTTCCTGTCAAGAATGAGGGATGAGGGGTCTGCTGTCTGTGTTGTCAGGACCTGGACGGTAACTTGTTAGACTCCTGGGAGGGCGTAAGAGTGCAGTGCCTGTGGTGCCTGGGCGATGGCAGGACTGTGCTGGCCTCTGACACCCACCAGCGTATTCGGGGGTACAACTTTGAGGACCTCACCGACAGAAACATGTAGGTGTCAAGACTCCCTGCTGATGAACGTCGTAACTCGTGGTTACAGTAATGACCTGCAACCTTTTTCTCATTAATCTATAAGTCCTCGAGCTGTAAGGACAGATGTTAGAAATGTTTGTTATTTGACAGGAAAAACTGTAGTAAAAATGACACTGGGACTTAACAGGTTGTGTTTTCTTTTGCAGAGTTCAAGAGGACCACCCTATCATGTCTTTTACTGTTTCAAAGAACGGTAGATTAGCTTTGTTAAATGTAGCAACTCAGGTAAGCCTCTGATTTTTGCCATTATCAGAACTATCTATTCAGAGGCAAAGGCATCATTTGAGAGACCGCATATGGGATCGACCACCCCTCTGTGACTGCTTTCAGGGAGTGCACCTGTGGGATCTTCAAGACCGGGTGCTGGTGAGGAAGTACCAGGGTGTGACCCAGGGCTTCTACACCATCCACTCCTGCTTCGGAGGACACAACGAAGATTTCATTGCCAGTGGCAGCGAAGGTAAGGCGCTTACTGATAGATTGATAGGTATTTATGTCACAGTTTTTTTTTAAGGTGATAAGTTGTAAATTGTGATGAATGTGATCAAGTTTATGCAAGAATTGCCTCATATTCTTCATTTCTTATTCATCTATTTTCATTTCTGTGGCTTTGTTCGTGCTTTCCCACAGACCACAAAGTGTACATCTGGCACAGACGTGGTGAACTTCCCATCGCCGAGCTCACGGGCCACACGCGCACCGTTAACTGTGTGAGCTGGAACCCGGCCATCCCAGGCCTCATGGCGTCTGCCTCAGACGACGGCACAGTGCGCGTCTGGGGTCCAGCCCCCTTTCTCGACTCACAGGAGGCAGATGGGCTCAACGGTAATTCCCCTGGTCAAAGCAGAAACGTCCTGCTCTGTACTCGTCTTCATACCAGTTCAGCTGTTTTGATAAGAACACACAGAAATGTGTGCTGACGATGCCTCTGGATCAAATCATTTAAAAACTGTAGTTTTTCCTCCATTCATGCATTTCTCTGATCTTTTTTGTGTTTTTTTTTCCCTCAGAAAACTGCAGTAACATGGACAGTTGATGGTCACCTATGGAGCAGATTACTTCTCTCTTTCACAACAAACCAAGAACCCCACAGTTTAACAAAATGTAAATGTGCAAACAAAATCCAAAACCATCAGAGAGCAAGTGAAGAATAAAGAAAACAAAATTCCACCAACATAAAAGAGAAAACACAAGAAATATTGGTCTCCTGGCTGGCTTTGACAAATGTTGGACACGATGATGAGAGACGCCCTGGAAATTTAAGTCCTCATCCAAAAATCTGATCCCAACTCGGAGGCCTGGAAAACCAGTCAGAGCCCAGCGGAGCCCTCCTCCGGCCAGCGGTCATGGCTGTTCTCCTCTTTCAACTTGTCCTCCCCCGTTTTGCTGCATGGTCACCGGCGATGTCAGCTCCTCGTCAGTCTGGAAGGAAACCCCGCGTCGCCCTTGAGCCTGGAGCACATGAAGCCCCCGTGACGTCTCCTGGCAGACAGCGCAGAGCAGGCGTCTGATTGGACCACCCGCCTGTTTGTCTCTTACATCATGGGTCCGGTGTCTCCATGGACATGGGTGGGGTGTTGTTGGGGGTGGATGGTGCATAGGTGGATATAGCAACTCTTCTGTGTGTATGTTTTCTTCTGCTCCTCTTTCTTGCTATATTCTTCATCTGATCGTTTGGACAAAGGCTGAAAATCCTCCATGAAAACTTTGACTGACCAGCTGACAAAGAACAGAAAAAAAAATGGCTATGCTAAATGTTTGAATTTTTTTTTATGATAGTCACAGCGTTTATTGTCATTTAAGAGGTGAAATTTAGCTCAACTAGTGCCCATGGAAAGCTTTAGTGTGAAGATTCCACTTTCTGTTTTTCAACATTAGGAAAAAAAAACTTTTTATTCCTTAATTTAACTTCTAACAAGGACAGTTGCTGTAATATTTCCCTATGACAGCTTCTCCCCACGCTCAGCAACCTTCATTGAGCTAGCTGCCGCACCACTCCATCACATCGGCCCCTAGAGGAGGACAGAGGGACTCGTAGGTCGCATGTCAGCTGTGAGGGGGGTCACATGGTCAGAGAGCTGTGGTTTCCACCTTCAAGACATGTTCATGACCCTCCTCGGAAAAGACGCTTTCAGATGCGAAAAGAGCTCAAGTGCGACTTTGGTCACAAGCCGGCGTCTGCTGTCCCACCTCTGTGTGAGTGTGAGCGGTCGAGAGTGACTCAGAGCGATTATGCATGCACACAATAGTGAGTGAGTTGACATTATTGGGTGCAGATTTAATTGGCGTGTGTTTTTGTAATGTGTTCAATTCGCACCAGCAGAAGATTCCCGCCCTCCCCTCCTATTCCCCCTACTCCCATAATAAAATTGTAAAGAGGATTTTAAACCAGTTCTGAGTTATCCAAAGCCCCATAGGGACCTCTATCTGTGGAACAAAGAATACTTGAGAGCCATTTTGTAAAAACTAACATTTTTTGTTTTGTTTTTTTTCTTTTTAATCCGGGGGCTTTCATTTTTACCTTTAGAATATTTTTGGTCCTTAACCATGCGGCATTCAAACAGCACTGAGTTATCGACATTAGGTTTATTAGGCAAAGAGAAGGAAATATACAAAAACGCTATTCGAGTGAGGCATGTTATAGAGGAAAAGCTGTATAGTGTTGGATTACTAGAAAGGGGGTCACTTCACAAGAGAATTTGATGATTGTAATTATTGGACAGGTTGTTAATATGGCCCTAAATAGAAGAGGCACCGATAACCAGAACCACGCACAGTTGTTGTCGACATCCTAAAAACCCACACAAACTGCCTTCCTTTTCATACACTTGCACACAAACCCTCAGTATGTTTGACACCCTCACTGCACTTTGAGTGGTCTCCCTACTCTCTTGCACATGCAGCGGTGGCACAAATCCATGAAGTTCGTAACCTTATGGTCGCCACGCTCGCCGCCATCCTTATGGCTTTAAAAAAAAAAGGTCACATTGGAAAAGACTTTAAACTCAACCGGAGAATGCTAAAGGGATTTATTCTCTATGCACCCACAGGAAGTGACTGACCTTCTAGACAATATGACACTCACATTTGAAGGCGTAGCAGCCGCATCTTGAGAGCACCACTCTTGGAGCTTAGAGAGAATTCAGCATTAACGGCCCATTTTGCTCTCCAGCCAAGTTTATTCAGTGGTCTTTGCACCATTCAGAGCTTTCCTCCTCCCTTTTTCAGGGTATGTAATGACAATTTGCTACAGACTGATACAGTAAAATGTTAAAAAACTGGTTTTCTGTCTGTTTTTATTGAGCTTTTTTGTTACTTTAAATTTTTGTTCACATTATATCATTTTTGGTTGATCTCTTTCCCTGTATGATCATATTAAAATATAACCAGACTTTTGGAGTCCTCCTTTTTTTTCTTTTTTTTTTGTAAATGTTAATAACCCCTACTTTTCTTTGAATATATATATATACATGTGTGTGTATGTATGTATTTTTATATAAATATATATATATATATATACATACATACACACAATGTTTTTTGTTTTCTTTTGGTTTGTATTCATTTATGTTTTATCTACCGCCATTATCACAACTGAATATGCACAGTAACACCCATGGCGTGAAGAGTCTTAGAAAGTGTGTTACCTACAATCAAATCAGGTTCCAACTGTCCACCCCTCGCCTTTAAAGAGTTTCCGTCATGTTTTGTGTAAAAACAGAAGACCAATTCCTGCTTGGTGTGCCGTTGTAGGTTGGCAGTTTTGCCACTCTGGCCAGTATCAAACCCAAATCCTTCGAGACACTCGGCGGTGTCTCCTGTAGGTTATATATGTCATGGTCCGATATTCACACTTTGGAAATTTTGCTCAGCTCCTGTAACCACGGAACGGACTCCTCTTTCATGCCGTACACTATTTCAAAAGAGTCTAGGCAATTCATGCACACTAAAAACCCAGAAAAAGAATAAAAACCCATCACTCCACTGCTGGTGGCAAATGCTATGTCTGTATGCAATCTGGTGTCTTCTCTATTCTGTCTTGAGTTTACCAAGAAAGTTGTTTCTGATTTAACTGTCTTATTTCTCTGAGGTGGTGGCAGGGACCGGGAGGGAGACACGAAGGGCTTACTGTAGCATCTCTAAGCTCCTTGGGCTAGGGCGGGAAGGGGTGATGTGTGGGTTTGCGTTCAATGTCTTATTTACAAAAGTGATTGTACTGTTTTGTATTGTTGTGTAGGAAAAGTGTTATGTATGCATATTTTCAATAAAGCATTCAGGGTTTTGAAAAAAACAACAACTAATGGCCCATGGGATTTTGATGGGGCAGGAGATTACTATAAAGGCCCATGTTTAGACACCCATCAGATACCCAGAAAAGGTCCAATTGTCCAGTTGAATTGCTTACATGGCAAAGCATAACTCAAATTGCCCAATTAGGAAACACATGGCAGATTATTTTCCTTTCTTTCTTTTTAATCAAAACAAAATAATTTCTCTTTACATGGCTTGGAAGAGTTATCAAGGGTTCAGCCATTTGCAATGGACAAGTTTTCATCGATTAAAGCCACCAATGAAGTCTGGTTGTTTGAATAGGTCATATTATTAGCCATTTTGATACTAAGGTTGCCATTTTTGGTTGTAAAAGTGACAAATGTAATGGGTGTTTTGCTGTGGTCATGTGCTTTTGAAAATAGAACATGTAAAAACTGCAGATCATATCATTTGCTTAATACCTTCAAAATGGTTTGCAAACAGTAGATGAAAGAGGAGAACATTTTTCTTACATTGCTGGTGTTTGACAGATGAGGGATTTGTTGTAAAAAGTATTGGTATGTAATAAAAAGACTGAAAGGGGCCATTTTATGAAATCCAATCGAAGCTGCTTGTGAAATAGAACGTAAATGATAAAAAAAAAAAGAAGTTTTTATGCAAAAAAAAGTTCCTTCAAAAAGAAAAGTCCAGTCTCGTATATATCTACATTAAATTGGATTATTAATTATTTCACTATCTTAATCACCTATGTCAAAACCATTACCAGTCATTATTCAGTATGTGTTTTGGCCTAAATTTAATTTAGATTGAAATCTGCTGCATCAAGCCAATGGCGCCATCTTGTGGATCTTTCCACACAACAGAGAGAGGCCTTTAAAGACGGGCCCAGTAAGGGAATATGTCCAAATTTTTTATTTCTTATATTGAAAATGTTTTGATGTCAAGTCCCTGTTCATGTATGTATATATTGTTGCAAGCACAACAGTATATACACAGTTGGATAAAATGCCTACAAAAAAATTTATGACAGCAAATATCTTTTAAAGGTCTTTTCTATGTTCATAGCATGCAAACATTTGTTTTCTATTTCTTTCCGGATAGGCAATCATTGGATAATTTCTTCCTGATTAAACACTCTGTAGCCGCAACACTAAATGCAAACCCATAAGATATTGCAATTGATCAAGGAAGCACACAAAAGATGAACAAGTTTATTTTGATAACTACAGAATCCACCAGAAGTCATAATTGGTGTGCATTTCCAGGGGATTAAAAAAGTGTAAATCTGTAAAAATGGCTGTATCTTTATTAATAATTTCCTCATTGTTTTGAATGTTTCATGCTTAATGCAGTTACTGTTTAGAATACCTCCACAAAGAATCCTTTGAAATCCAACAGAAGCAACAGAGAGCAGGTTTGAAGCTCAGCCTGTCTCCACAGTCCTCAGTTTGTTTAGCTTCATCTGGAAGGGGAGGGGCGTCCGCGCTGACGTCACCACGCCCCGCCCCTTTCCATTCTCCAGCCCTTGCTCCGCAGACCCACCGCTCCGTCGTCCCTCACAGCCGAAAACGGAGCACCGCCGAGGACCCTGAGCGACCGCCGACCGAGCTCCCGCGGCAGGCATGGCGGCGCCGCTAGCCCACTTTGACGAGGACTGGCAGGACTTTAACGAGTTCAAGCCGTCCTCCGAGTCGGCCGACCAGCTGGACCAGCTGAACTCAAATGTGGGCGACGCGTCGGGCCTAGACGATTTGTCCGACCTGGACAACAGTTTCTCCGGCGAGGTCTGCAGCTTCAGGTCGATGGAGGACCTCGTCCACGACTTCGACGAGAAGCTGACAGTCTGTTTCCGAAACTACAACACCGCCACGGAAAACATTGCGCCCGTAAAACCCATCACGGAGGACAACTTCCTGAAAGACGACGAGTAAGTGGGGAATTTTGGGCGAGTTTTATTCACGCTGACTTTTAATCTCTGGGATTGTTAGCCACTTTAGCCCGGCAAGCTAACCCCCTGCGGCCGAGTCGCGAGCTTCAATCTGTGCTGTGCAAACTTTACCCGCTTAGCAGAAAAGTACGTTCAATTTCTGTTTCATCACAACAAACTGTGTTCAACTGCCATTCCACGCACTGGTAAATGATAGCTATCATGTTGTTAGTAAAAGACAAGTTTGAAACATGCCAATGGGTGTTTATAGATGCCACGTTACAGCAGCTTGACGTGTGATATGTGGATTTAAGATGTTAGATCTGTGATCATACTAGCACGATCATTTTTATTATAACTACACTTACCATATGAAATCACATGCATTCTAATCGTGATTCATTTATGACCTTGTTATTTAAAGAGTGCACTGTTGATGTCTTTTGTTTAGTCTTTTTTTTAATTTTTTTTTATTACCAGCCATTTTTATCTCAGCTGGAGGCCTTTCTTTAAAAACCCAGAGCCAGTCACTCACATGACAGCAGTCGGTCTCATCTCTCCCACAGCCAGCACGCCTGTCACTTTGACTGCAGACACGGCGGGATGATTCACACTCTTCTTGGCCTTTGCATTCATTACTCTGATGCTGCTCCACCCGATCACGTCTCATGTGCAAGATACAGCTGTGTGTCCACACACACTGACGGTCGGCCTCACTTCAGTTCTGGAATTGTGTACGTGTGGTGAACTCAGCGGAGCGGGGGGCAATGTGAAGAGACTGAAAAAGATGCAGAGTCTTGGGTTGGGCGCATAGAGTTAAATAGTTAAATCCTCAGTGGGATGGCTGGTCAGAGTGTGTGTGGGGGGTGTTCAGGCTAACAAAAGAGAGAATAAAGTCATTGGACTTCAGCCTGACAAAGGCGTGTTGGTGCAGTGCTGGCGCAGAGCGTGGAGGAGCTGAGACCAGTCCTCCTTTTTAAGATGCAAATGCGCCAAGTGATACCGGAGCTGGTGTCATGGTTTGGCATGAGCTCACGTGCCTGGGACACGGTCGGTCAGCGCTCTGGGCACAAAAACAGCGCTCCCTGCCAGCCTTTGGCCTAATTAGAGCAACCCAGCAGCTCGCCAAGCAGTGCGTGAAGACTTCAGGGGGAGCGGGCGTGTTACATAAACATTTCTCTGTGCGTGTGTGTGTGTGTCTGGGGGAGAGGTGGTGTGGCGGGTCAGAGCCACCGTGGCACATGGGTGCACAGCAGCCGTCCTGTCGCTGCGAGCACCCCCACAGCCAAGAGAGAGCCAAGTGACCGGCCGCCAGCTGACTTGAATCAGATCCTGAACAGAACTGATTCCCAGCATTAAAATCATGGAACGCCTGCAGGGCTGCATGGAACTGAGTTTAAAACAAAATTTCAATGAATTTTCACGTCACCTTAGATAAAGTGTCCGACCAATTTTCCGTTTCAATGAGCGGCATCAGGGAGCTTCTGTGTCATTCCCGGGGAGACGGTGCTCTGACTAACAAATTAACTGCATAGACTTGAACTTTTTTAAACCTTGAGGTAGGTTTAAACCCGGGCCTGTTATGTTCAGCAGTTTCACGCCGCCCAGTGTTCATCAGATTGTTGGTGTTACGAGAGCACTGAATGGAAAGCGCATTTGCCAGGTGACGGTCAGAAAGTCCCCTGACCTCGCGGTGTTGTCTGATGCAGAAGTTGCAGAAACATTGCGCAGCGACAAAGGGGTGGGGGGGCGAGCGGGACGCCGAACCGCCAGCTAATGCTGCGTCACAGCAAAAAGAGAAGCTGACAGTTTGCCTTATCTCGCTTCTCACAGCTAATTCTCCTCTAATTTCCTTCCAGGGTGTGGAATGCGTTGACGAATAACTATGGCAACGTGATGCCCGTGGACTGGAAGACTTCCTACACCCGATCGCTACACCTGCCTTCCCTCAACCTCACCGACCACGAGGTACCGCGGTTTCACACCGGTGGGGAAAACGTTGCTCCCCGGGCTGCTGCGGCCCCTCTTTTGTCTGACCCTCTGCCCTGTCCTCCCTCCCCGTGCGGCAGAAGCTGGATAACCAGTCGCTGGACCTGTCGGACGACGACGAGGAGCTGAGGGAACAGTTGGACATGCACTCCATCATCGTTCCCTGCATCAGCGAGGAGCCTCTTTTCACAGCTGAGCAGGTAACCCCGTCACACGCTGAAGCTCCTCAGACCGCTTTAAATGTCGGCCTCTGCTCCCTAAGCTCAGACCTGACTGGCTGTTTGGGGTTTAGGTCATAGAGGAAATAGAGGAGATGATGCAGGACTCTCCGGACCCGGACGATGATGAGAGTCCCTCCCAGTCCGACCTGTCCATGCTTTCTCAGGACCTCCAGGCTCTGAAACGCTCCGGCTCCAGCACCAGCTACGAGGAGCGTGAGTCAGCAGCAGAAACCTGATTTAGAATTTCCTCACGTGTGATTCTGTGCTGCTCGGTCTGTGTGTTTTCACAGCCGTGAAACGGACTGTAACGATGGAACAAAACGCAATGCCCACGCAGGCACGGTGACGTGCTTATGTAATGCCCAGCTAAAGGGACTGAACTTATGTAACCAGCAGCATACGTTTGACCTGAAAACAGGTCGGTAGTGTTCCGCATGACCCTCCTCTGCTGTTTGCAGGACTCCGCCAGCTGTCTGTGTCGGAGCTGACGGAGACGCTGGAGGAGGTGGAGGCAGCCATCCGCCGCTACAGCGAGGAGCTGATCCAGGTCCTGGCGCTGCGAGACGAGCTGGACTTCGAGAAGGAGGTGCTTTGACTCCCCCACAGTTGTTTTTAAGAACACCAGCTGTGTTTCTGTGGGTATGAGAACTGATCAGACACTCGGAGAGCTTGAAAAGAAAGAAAGAAAGAAACTCGCACATGTCTGATGTGCCGAGAACGGACAGCGGCGCTCCCAGCGCTGGGAGGGCCAGCGAGGGGTCAGCGGATGGCCAGCAGCTCTCGTGTCGCAGTTCTGACAGAATGTAAAAATAGGTTGCTCTGCGTTGTCACCATGAACCGCGAAGGCTGACTGGAGCTGTGCTGGCGTGCAGGTTAAGAACAGCTTCATCTCGCTGCTGATCGACGTGCAGAACCGGCAGAAGGAGCACCGCGAGCAGCTGCGCAAGAAGAAGAAAATCAGAAGCACCACCAGCGTGGGGCCCAACGGCCAGAGGACCGCCAGCACGCACATACCGGGCACGGTGAGTGGTGTGACCCACACACAGGCCGGACGCAGCCGCACGCTCTCAGCTTCTGGATAGAGATGCATGGCCAGAAAAGGGACTGTTAGAGGAGGAGTCAGTTTCCTGCTAGAAGCCAAAGCTCTTCTAAAGCCTTCCTGCCACTGTTAGAAACCTCCTCATCTCCAGAAACTCTGTGTTTTTTTTCCTCCTTCCTCTCGCTCCCTTTAGCTCCTCACTCTGGAGGGACTGTCCACTGTCATTCACAACGGCCTCCGTCACACTTTTGGCAGCACGGGCGGGGACAAACAGGTGCCCCTGCTCTTTCTTTGCACTGCAGACGCATTTCTGTGTCCCCGTCTTTTTGTTTCCACCGGCATGTTTGTGTCCGCCCGCTCTGCTGCCTCCTCTGTTATCTGTTTGAATTATGGATCATTTGAGTTGTTTTCCTCACCGCTGATGTCACCTTTTATCCTTGTTTTTTCTTCTTCTTTTCTTTTGGTTTCGGTGCTTGTCTTCTTCTTCTGTTTATTTTGAGCTGAGATGAAAATGTTGCTCTCACTTCATCAGGAGACATCTGCACTGACCAGAAACCAGCCCCTCAATGCATTTTTAGAGCTTTCGTCATTATACTGACATTTTGAAATGAATAATGGTATGTCTTTGTTGTCTGATTACATTTGATCTGACTTTTCTTTCAGTACCTGACCACAGTCATCCCTTATGAAAAGAAAGCAGGCTCTCCTCCTGTTGAAGACCTCCAGATCCTCACAAAGAGTGAGTTTTTATCAATAAGACAGAATCAGAGGTGGTAATCTGCCTTTTAGTGTGTGCACTACATTCGAACATTGTAAGACTTCTCTCTGCTTGGCAGTCCTGTATGCAATGAGGGATGACAGCGAGAAGGTGCCCGCCCTCCTAACAGATTACATCCTGAAAGGTAGGCGCTCAGCTTCTTCAGTCTTCAACTGAATCCTTCTCTGTTTACATTTCAAAGCACGCTGGCTTCTAATATCTCTCTGAACACGAGTTATGGGTGGATGCATTGTGAAAAGACCTGAATATAGAAGCAACATCACAGCCGGCACAAATCCAGTTGCAGAAAAATGCGCTTGTGTGTTTAGAATGAATAGAGTATCTTTCCTTTTGGCTTAAGTACAAAGGATTGAGTCTTTATATGGATAAAATTGCTGTTCAGCCATAACATCATAGCCACTGAAATGTAACGTGTAATGCTTCTCACCTTCTTGTTCTGGGGAAAGAAAACATCTCCAGAAACTCCAAAAGCAAATCTAACAACATCAGTTTATTTAGTGCTAAATTCAGAGGCTTCAGTGGATTTTCAGAGAAAGCGAAGAGAGAATACCGAAGATGAATACAATCCTGACAGTGACCCCTTCAGGGGTCTGAATGACCCCACCCCCCCTTTGGGGATGCTGTTATCAGAGAAAGCTGCTGCAGCACTGACTTGTTCAGGACTCTGTTGACGTCTGCCCTCCTTGTCTCTCACTGTGCTGCGCTGTCCTGTGGCAGCTCTGGTATGATGGCAGTGGACCCTGAGGTTTGTGAGGCTAACGCAGATCATTGACTCTTGAGCCCAAAGCCCCCTCCTCCTCTCTGCCTGCATCACATCATCTTTAACCCAAAGCAGCTCTGCCTCGCCGTAGTGCTTACTGTGCTGTCGTGGCTGTGGCCTCGCTACCCCCCCCCCCCCCTTCCCCCCACACACACACACACACACACACACGCTCCTGCCTATAATCTGCCTTCAGCGCCAGCTTGTGGTAGCAGCTGTTCACATGTTGGCTCCCCACCTGTAACAGACGTTTCCTCCTCTCTCACCGCTCTATCCCCGCTGTCCTCGCTCTCCCATAACTCGCTGTCCTCCTTCACCTGGGCTTCCAGACACGCTTTACACCCAGCTGTTGTGATCTTGTCTTTCAGTCCTTTGTCCCACGTAAAAACAGAAGAGGCCCCTTTTTCTGGAGCAGACCAGCAGAGGAGGGCTCCGGTGATTTGGGAAACGCAGACATGGAGTGGAAACGAATCCAAGCCTTCCTCCTTTTCTTCCTCAGTTGTGACGTCAGACTTTTTAAGAAATTTCCTTTTTCTATTTTGTACTCTTCCACTCTTTTTTTTCTTAATTTTTATCTCTAGAAATTACTCCTGGTCGAAGTAGGTGATTTTCATTCGTACTCGTTGACCTGTTTTTATGTTGGAGTGCTGCATCCTGTCCATTCTGACCGCATGAGGACGTCTGTGGATGCCACAAATCAGTGTTAGTCTGAGCGCTCAGCTGCAGCTCCAGGGCTCCTGGATGGTTAAGCATCAGGGAAACAGCAGGATGTTTGCCCCCCCCCCCTCTGTGGGCCTCAGTCCTGCTTGTCTGGAACAAAAATCCTGGCCGAATCTGTGAATCTCAAAGTGCTGGGCAGCGCTCTGGCACGGTGACAGACAGGATGCTTTCTGTTCTAAAAGCTGGCCTGCTACAGATCAAAGAGCAAACCCTTTAATTTAAACATCCAGAATCGTCGCATGTTGGTTTCGGGCACACCGCCTGATGCGAGCGTTCAGCCGAATGTTGAAGAAGAAATATTTTGTATACGATTGAGAGCAAATTGCACACGTTTTTAAGAGAAAAAAAAAGGGATTAAGCTATATGACTTCACAAAATGATGAACAAACACGTAAAGCGTATTTTTGGATAAAGATTTTTAAAGAAATTAGGGACTTTGTAATCATTTTGTAAAGGATGTCTTTCACCTCTGAGCCCTCAAATAGAGACTCCCCCCCCTGAAAGCTTCATCAGCTCCACGTTAGGCATTATTGTAGGAGTCTGCAGATACCTCAGTCTCCTTCAGTCCAGCAGAAAACCATTTGATTGTGTTGTTGTGTAGACCGTGTAGTTAAGTTTACGTCTGGCTCGTTTATCGTGTACGTGACCATACTTTGTGGGTGTTACCTGGCTTGTTGTGGACTTTGACATCATAGGGACAGTGCGTAGGGTGTTAGTGCATCCCAGTGACAGCATGGAGAGTCACTCCCCATCGTTCCTTATGGGGAACTTCTTAACCTCTTAACATCCCCTGGATTTGGAAGGCTTTATCTCCAACTCATGGAGACACGTGCCTCTGTTGGCTCGCTTTTCCATCCAAATGGGTACTTTTCCACTCAGACTGTGTGGATCAATACTGATGAGATTCAGCTAATAATAGGCCTGTGTCAAAGCAGCTGTGAGCCACTGGAGTGCCCTTTTTCCCAGCTCAGACCATAGATCATGGCATGCCCACTATGATCACCCTCTGGTCTAGCTCTCAGGTCCAGTCAGTGTTGGTACTCGTAGATCGTCCTGTGATTATCACCAAAAGTTTCCTCTATTTGTCTCTAGTCGGAAAGCAGGTACTTTTTTGTCTATTTTGTTTCTCAAGCACGGTTGCAATTTGGTGAGGATGACAAATGCAGACTCTGTGGACACTCCACATCCAGGTTGTGCTCTCCGTAGTGAGGGAGGGAGGGAGGCGTGGCTCGCTGCTTGTTGGCTCAGCTGAGGGTCTGAGTTTTGACAGGGAGATTGAAGGCGGGCCGCCGTGCTCATGGGGAGCGAGGAGGAAAGGGCTGTGATGAAGGCGGTGGACGTCGGGGGAGATTGCACAGAGGTCCATTTGTTCATTCTGAAAGGAAAGCTCCTAGTGCTATATTTTTTTTAAGTGTTTACCTGTGATGTTTTTATTTTTGACTTTTTATGGACTGCTTTTAAAGCATTTACAGCCCAGCATGTGCTGCATGCACTTTACTGCTGCAAACATATTTCTAATGATTATGCATTTGTTTTATTCATTTGTTGTTGTTTTTTCACACTAAAGGGACAATTGCATGCTGCAGTAAAGAAGGCAATGAATATGAATCAAATTTAGGGTTTGAACTGTTCCAGTGTATCAAAAAAGCCTGTTTCTAACAAAAAACCCATCCGCAAAAAAGTAGTTTGCGGCAAATCTTTTATGTCATTGGTTGTAATGAATTATGAATGAACGAGGTCGCTCGCTCTGCAGACATATCAGTAGAAACTTCTGCTTAGAGATTTATATTTGTACATGTACACCAACAAACCACAATGGGAAAAGAGGCTGCCTTTGTAAATGCCCGAATATATTTGTGCATTTAATAAACTCATTTTGTTCTAAATGCAATAGAAGACCCCAGTTTGAGGGGTTTATGTTTACCGTCTCATGTGGTACTGTTTTATTAATTTATTCTGTAAATCTTTTGTTACAATATTCTGGACTGTAATGGTACAAGTGTTTTGTGCCCACGTTAAATTGACAGTCATTTCAAATAATAAAGATTATGTATGTAAAGATGTGTGTGTTTGTCTCATATATAATGGCCTTGTTAAATTAACTGGCCTCGCAGAACGCCGAAGGGAAGCTTGTTCTCAGCCACGGTCTGGCTTTCTCTGTTTTTTTCCTCTGCTCTTCAGACAGGTGCAAGTTCATAAACGCATTTAGAGGTGTGGTTAGTGAACGTCTGCGAAACAGACCAGAAACGCCAGGCGTGGAGCGTTCGTAGGCCTTTTTCTGAGTGTGCCGTCTTCATGCCAGCCGTGCCCTCTCAGACTCCTCCCTCTTTCACCATCTTGTTTGAATACGGCCCAGGCCTTAATGTTCCTCCCCCGGCAGCTGTTCCTCACCGCTGTCAGGATACCGGCGCCTCCCTGCTCCTGAAGCCGGACCTCCAGGGCTGAGCGGGCCCGTCGGGACTCACAGGTTGGTGTCCGTGAACATGGTGTGCTCTTTCCTCACCGTGCTGAAGCCTTTGACGGTGTCCACAAACTCCTCGTCGTCCATGAACTGTGAAGAGGAGGAACGGCTCGGTAAAGGGGAGACCAGGCGGTTCAACGCCAGAGGGACTACCAGGGGTTTGAGTGGGTGCGGAGTTCCTTTTGGGTCTCTTACCATCCCGCTGTCGTGGCCTGAAATGTTGGGGTCCCACACGTCATCGTCCCCTCCGAGGGGCTTCCCGTCCATCACCTGGCTGACGCTGCGCCTCAGAACGCCCACGCTCAGTTCTCCCTGAGGGGGGGCCTCCTCAGCCGGCTCACATTTAGCCTCCACAACTTCCTTTAGGGACCACAAATATATGCATAGATCTATATATATAAATATATACAAACATTTGCTGAATGCTTACTGCAGAAAAAAACTGATGAGAAAAGTTTGATGAGTGGATGGGAGGCTGACTCTTACCTCTATCTTCATAGTGAAGCCCTTGAGGGTGACGCTGTTGGAGAAGCTGGTTGTGTCGGGCACCGTGTCAAACTGTGGGGCAGAGTGGGAAAATGTAACATGATATAGGGAGGGAAAGCAGATGAAAGACTGTGAGAAAACCTAGAATTTGATCATTTAGTGGAAACTGTAAATGCGGACTAAAATAACCTCGAGGAAGGTCAGTGAAACAAATTCTGAGGATATCAGGTCAAATTATGATGCATTGCAAAAGCTACCAGAAATTCTCAATTATTCATAAATTGACATATATATATATATATAAAAACCAAATGTCAAATGTTCAGACTGGCCCATTTGTGGCTTTCTGGGACATTTAAGTAGAACAGATCTATGGAAGTTCCTGTGACTAGAAGTAAAATACCTGCTGTGATGATGACCTAGTTTCTACACTTTGATTGCCAGTCAGAAAATCAGACAAAGATGAAGCACCTCTCACCAACACAGAGTTGCTGGGTGGGTAGACGGCCATGGGGCTCCTCTTCTGCATGGGGAGGGCCACCAGAGGAGGTCTCTCCCTGGTGAGGTGGGGCTTGTTCAGGACCTGGTGCAACAACAACAAAAACAAAACTCTTTCTATTTGTGTGCGATGCCACGTTTCTGCGATTTCACGTGCTTTCTTAACTCGGCGGGCTTCTCATCTCTGCCCACCTTGTGAAGCACGACGGCCAGCACGACGGCCAGCAGCAGCAGGGCCACGGCGGCCATCACCACGATGAACCACAGCTCCCGCACCACCTGCTGGCTTTTCAGGCTTCCTTCTGCTCGATCACCCCCTCCTCCTCCTCCGGGAGGAGAAGGGCTAGGTAGACCTGGAGAGAAGAATAGAATCCCAAACAATCTTAAAACCACAGCAAGGACTTAATAAAAAAAAAGACAACTCAGAGGCAGCAGAGCCAGAAAGAGAGACAGAAACTATCTGAATACGAGGTTTAAGAAGTCCAGCCACAGGGGCCTGTTGGTTTGTTAACAACTACGTTTTATGCGTTTGTCGCCCCATAACTAAGGTGCTTTATTGGAAAGTCTTCTTCAAAGACATCCCAAATCCACACACAGAGTGAAAGACGATCACATGTGCTGTGGAGGAGATAACATTGTAACGGGAGACATGCCGGCTTGCGTGGCCTCATTTTTATCTGGCTGTAACTGACTGGATGCTACAGCTCACACCACAGGCTCCTAAAATCATCCTTTCGGGGTGCGTGTGGTGGACAGCCTGAGGAAAGACGTGGAGGAGGCTCACCAGTGCTGGGGTCCGTGGTTCGGCCTGTGTTGGAGGTGCTGGCAGCCCCTCTCTGAGAGACGCATCGGCCGGAGGGGAAAAGGCCTGTCTGCTCTTTTAAGGATCCCACTTGTCAGTATTTTACTCCTGAAGCCTTCAATGGTGACCGGCTCCCGTCGACATTACCGAGTCCTGATGTGAAAAAGGGTCAGAGCGGCCTGTCATGTCTTAGGCCGCTCAAACCTCATGCCTGTTGGTTACTCGTCTCTCCAGGACTCCCATCAACCTTTGCCTTTCCTGAGCAGCGCCATGGTAACAGCCGGGTGTCGGGTTTCACTTTACCTGAAAGGTAGCAGCATATCACTCCCCTCATACTCCAGAGCCACTCGTCCTTTCAGACAAAGACACCGAGCCCCTCTGAGGCTACTCAGTTTGGCCTTTCGGTCATTCATTCTTTTCAGGTGAAACTTCCAGGAAGTAATCTAGTGCTCAAGGAGTTTCTAAGATGTAGGGACCAAATGAAAATGTACAGGGGGAAAAAACTATCCCAATCTTTTCTCAATTCAGTGGGTCTATGAGTGAAATCTTTAACAGTCTCCAACAATAGGAAACCAAATTTGAGCCTGTACTGTGTGTGAGAGGGATTCGGTGTGCTTCTGTGACCACACGATGGCGCCAGGCAGCTTCTTTTTGCAACTGCAGCTCTGTGGTGTCCAGCCCAATGAGTCAAAGGCAGCAGGGGGAAGTCATTACGCAAGCAAAGCTGCAGTGCTCCTTATCCTCAGTCCCCAGCTACAATTGCGCTGCAGTAAAGGAAACTGTTACACTAAGTCCATTTTCTCCATGTCATCCTCAAGTTACCACTAATGTGCACTTATTCATCTGCAGAGAGGAAAGAATGACACATAAGAGGCACTGCAGCAGATTTGGATACAGTTATTCATGGCCAGCAGAAGAGTTTTCAGCACGAGCAGCTTTGGGTGAAACTCTAGAATTGAATTTGGACCTTCTATAACGAAAGAAAAAAAAAAAAGATTGCTTTGTCATCTTTACTTTTTATCCTTCCTGAAACTTTCTAAAACAAGCACCGTCCCCCACTTGGCACAGAACAATGGGGCCTCCGATAGAATCTTAATATGACCCATTTTCCTACTTACTTCTTAAAGGATCCTTTCCGATGACCTTCATATATCCCGATGATGCGTTCAGAATTTTGCACCAATCTGTGAAACTGCTTTCCCACTCAGCTGCTCAAAAGAGCACAATTTCTATGTATTTGATGATATAGGGAGCCGGTCGCATTCAAACCACTGGAAAAGATAACACAAGCTAGGTTTCATATAGAACTTTTTAAGTCATCTCTCTATTTTCCTGTGGAAGTATAATCAGGCACTGCCTCCCTGGCAACGGAATAAATCCCTATAGATTAATCTTGGTTCATTAAAATGATGTAATTAGCTCTTTCCACCCCCGCTGAAAAGTGACTGAGGCGCCAAAAAGAAAAAGTTTACATCGCACCTCTCAGCACTTTATTTTTTTATGACTTTAGATTCCTTTCCGCGTTATTTTGAGCGATGGAGAAAAGCCACCCGCGCGTCTGGAAACGGACACTTCCCTGAACGTAGCGCAGGGCCTCTCCTCCACCTGCCTCATCCTCCCCTTTTGTGTGTGGACTCTGCGTTTGAGAGTTTGTCCCTTCAACAAAAAAAAAAAAGTCCAGGGTTAGAAGGAAACAAAAATGAGACGACTTAGCCCCACTGAGGTCAGCTGGTGGTTTTTCTGTGCTGAGTGTGACTTTCAAAGCACAAATATTTCAGCAGCTGCTTTTAGCTTTGTCAACTGTGGCTGTACTGAACATTTAAGTGATTATTTAGAAGGCCTGTAATCTGTAACTGCTGGTCCTCAGTCCATGTCATCACTGCTCTGTATCAACCCCACCCCCCCCCCTCTCATATTAACTCTCAGCTCATTTGATTTATTTTTACAGAGGAGCTATCCTCCATCTAATACCCTAATCAGCATGCATACCTTGCTGTGGTGATTCGGGACAATGCTCTTTTATTGAGGAAGTGATCTCACCCTTGAGTGCCAGAATCAGCCTTTTTTACAGCCCATCTCCTCTGGGCCCCATCTATCACCGGAGTGTCTGGGCAACACGGCCACTCGACACATACTAACTCATTTAAGGAGAGGGACATACGGGGATGTATCACTCAACATCACTAACTCGCTTAGCGGCGGCTGATGTGGTGAAAATTCTCCGGCTTGCTCCAAATTCCCAGGTGCACTCGCAGATTTAACCGCAGATAAATAAGGAGATTAGTTTGGTTGTGCTGACAGATGAGGAGGAATAAAGGACAAATGTGTTCACTTGGATTTTGATTTGTCTCTCTATCGATTCCCCCATCCCTAGTGTGCCAGGTTTGCCCCCCCCCCCCCCCCACCTCCAAACCCCCATGCTCAGAGTATTTGTACTTACCGGTTAGAATTGGGGAAAAGGAGCTCCAGCCCCTGTCGCTTCTCCTCTGGCTCATAAAGGAGAATTGCTTCTTTTAGCATTGCTTCACACCATTGCGGTTTGCGGGTCTTTTAAGGCCCCAGCGCAGCATTTCAGACGCTTTCAGAACTGGACCATTGCGGCACCTTCATCCTCTGCTTTTTTTTCAGTTGTTCTGTTGTAGATTTCCTGCTGTGTTTAGGATACTGCGTCCTGTTTCATGACGCCGCTCCAAACTAACTTTGGCTGTCAGACCGATGGCCTCGCATTTCCACTTTTAGGGAAACTGATGAGTCCAGGGTCACATCCCCTTACCTGTCAGCTGGTATGAGCTTTTGGGTTTGCACCAAATTCTGATCAGTGTGAGATGTTTTTCTGTGGTCTGTGACAGCTTGTCGTTACTCGGTGAGACCTCGGGGGGGAACGACTGGGCGCAGTCTAGTCTGTTTTCTATCTGTGAAAAATCAATTTTTTTGGTGTGACAGACTAAAAATAGTTTCTGAAATGCTTCATAGCTGTTCTTTGATTTATGTGAATTAACACTCGTTTACGCAAGATCTTTGCAGATGTCTTTTTCTCCTTTTCTGAATGCTCATGGCCAGCTCACAGTCAAATCCTCTGTTTTTATGGAGGTGCTCACTTCAGGGCATTTGATCACCAAGTCCTGGATCAGCTGGGATGTGTCTTCCTTTTTGTTTAGAGAGAAAGCAGAACACAGTGCACAATGTCATATGTAGTTAACACAATTTAAGACTTGGTTACGATCAGGTGATGTTGTTCTCTTTCTTTTTTTCTTCTAAACATGACTTTTTTTTTTTTTCATCGGAGATGATGGACCTATAGCAAATACATTTCCTTTTTTAAGGAAGCATATTTAATTGAGGATACACAATAGTTTGTTTTAAGGCAACAATGAAAGCTGATTACGTGTGACGCATATGCAAGATGTCCACATTTTCTACTGCTCTGGATATGATATAATATAATGGACATGCAAGCATCCGTATGCTATGGATATGCATTATAATAACAGCAAATAAAGGCTGCCAGGTGATGCCTTGTAGACTCGGAGGGTATTTTAGTTTTCTTCTATAAACTGCAAATGGCTTTCTGGTGAAGCATTACTGAAACACTGCAGTAAATGAGTGGAATGCCTCTGCCTCTATTAGCCCCAAAAGGAAACTGATGACCAGCTCTCTCCGAGGCCACTGTTAGACTTCATTATATTATAGCTGTTAATTATAAATCTCCATCCAACTGGGCTCTAATGGGCCTTAATTGGCCATAATAGGCCATACATGGAAATAACAGTCTATTGTCGAGGCTGTGCAGTGTAGACTGCAGCCATATACCAGCTGTTAATGAATTTGTTCGGGACCCCTCTCCACTTTATGGAAGGACACAGGGACTATACGGGCTTTGCATTGAGGGGATCGTCTTTATTGCCAAAAAATCCACCTGAGAATGAAACAGCACGGCACAGCTCATCCAAACAAAGCTTATTTGCATCTTTAAACACCTCTGTTGGCATAAGACAAGATGTATATACAGCAAATCCTAATTGGACAAATATTTAAACAGTCGTGTTGCTGCCACATCTTGAACCAGAATAGGCACGCCGCAGCCTGACGGTATCTTAACTTAGGTGAGGATCACGATTCCTCCTAAATTTAATCCCGTCGTTCAACACGTGCAACAAAAGACAAACTTCAGAGATTCTTCACACAACACACGCTAACAGATTAACACGGCGCCATCAGCGGCTCCCCCAAACGTTATGGCTAAAAGGAAAAGTAGTGCACAAATTTCATCCTACACATAGACTACTACCATAGAAAAGACATCAAGCGTCTCCCTAATCCAGGATATACAATATGGCAGCCTTTTTTTTCTTTTTCTTTTTAACATAGTCATATAAGTCCTCTACACAATTCTACGACATTATTGATCTTCAAGTACAGACTCCACTAATAATCAGGTTGTCTCTAATGTGGTGACATGATGTAGGTCTCAGTGCTGTAGCAGAGAAGCTAGTAAAAAATGTTTTTATGATATCAGATAAAAATCTTTAAAAAAAAAAAAAAGATCATCCACAGCAATTGTTCTTTGATACGTAAAAGAAAACAACAACAAAAAACAGTCATTTTAAATAAATATTACTTTTCTGTCAATCAGTTGCATCATGACATTTTGTACTCGTTCCCTGAAATAGTTTGCTGAAACCAGGCCGGTTGTTGTTGAACTATACGCTCACCCCCTCACTTCCCTTTAATCACGCCTGTGAAAACAGAGAGGAGATGGGCGTGTTTTTGGATACACAACAGAAGATGGAAGCAGAGTGACGTGAGCATCTCACGGGCCACATCGTTTCACTGTGGACCTTTGCTGGTATTATTCAATTATAGGAGTCATTTCTCTTTGGCAAGACTAACCGGACGCCTCTGAGGACACACTGACCTTCTCCATCCGAAAAGGACAAAGTACACTAAGTCAGACAAAGGTTCTCTAAATGCACACGAATGCAGATTTTACAGGCTTTCAAGATGAACAAAATAATCCACGAGGATCTTCAAGTATCAGGTGGTCTTGAGAAAAGAAACTATGTTTGGCATGTAACTGGAAACATCTGTGGAAGGCGACTCCTCTACCTTTACACCGTCCGTCCATTTTTCTTCACTCTTTAAAGCAGGTCAGCACGCGTATGCACATTTCACCGCTTAACCCCCCCCCCCCCCCCCCCCCCCCCCTTCTCCACACTCCTGATCAGGTGTTGAGGCTCTCTTAAAAAATGTTCCAGCCACTATGTTCCCAGCGATTGCAAATTCAAGACTGTTATAGTCCCACGCAAGCTGAAATGGACAAATACACAGAGCCAGACCCCAGCGTTTACCCGTGGTCCCGACCGCTACTCCTGCTCCCATCAGGCCTTGGCCTCTAGCAGTTCCAGGAACAGTTTGTGCATAGGCACACGGCCGTCCTGTTTGATGCTGCAGAAGTGCTGCACGGCACGAGCGGCCGTCTGGCGCAGAAGAGGGAGGGTCATGATCATCTTGCCTGCGCGGCGGGGATCCTCAGGGTGGTGCGTGGCCTCGTAGTCCTGGAGGGCCCCGTGGAGGACATCCTGAAGTCTCTGAACAGCCTCCGAGTCCTCAATTTGCATCGAATCTGAAGGGAAAAAAGACGAAATTGTGAATTTAAAGGCGTGTCGTTCAGACAAGCGGGACTAGTCTCTGTGAAAAACATCTTTGACACCTGAATTGACAAGGGCGATGGCCTTCAGCACAACAAACTCCTCCTTCTCCAGGCCCATGCTTTTGTATTTCTTCACCAGCTGCAGGATGGCATTGTTGAGGTCCAGCAGACCTGCCAGTTTGGACTGCTCCTCATCCATGACGTAGTCTTCGGCGTAAACCAGCTTGTCCTCCAATGCTAACGAGCGGAACACCACTCGGAGGATCAAAATCTCCATCCAGCCGCTCTGCAACAGACTCATCTGGTCTGCAAGAGACAGCGAGGGGAAGCCTGGAGAGGGAAAAGGACAAGGAGGCGTAATTGGAGGATTTCCAAAAAAAGGGCTTTTGGTATACTGAAACATTTGGAGTTGCAGTGGGTGGATGAATGGATTAGTGTGGAACACTGACTTTAAATTAATCAGACAGAGAGAGTAATAACAGCTCCCATTAAGCTATATCATTAGATTTAAAGTAGGGAGAAATTAGGAAATGTTGCTTTTTATAAAAGCAAGTGCAGTTATTCTTCTGCCCTCTTTTCAGAATCCAATTCTGTTAGAGGGGGACATTTTTCCCTTAGTTTTGTCTGAAGCTTTGCCGAGTTTAGAAGGAGCAGAAATATTCTGCCCTTTCTGGTTGACATTTTCTTCCACTTATATTAAGAGCCGCCGTCATGGAGAATGTGCCTGTAGAAGAAGGTATTTACTTATGAGATGACCACACAGCAAAGGGCATATTAAAAGACAGAAGGAGCGAATTGCTGCTAAATTGAATTACTCTCTGTTTGACACGCCTACTTTGATTGACAATTACACCCCACAGGAGTGTGATTAAACCCGCTAACTGCCCCCGCATAAAGCGGCGTACACACTCTCACACACACGTTTACTGTAATTAAACGGGTGGTTTTACAGAGCTGGGGGATGGGGGGGAGGTGTTTGTATTTTTGACAGCATTGGTGATTGTTATCAGGAGCCAGCGCTCTTTACAATCACCACGGCGACGCCACTGGCACCCATTTCTCCACTATCGCCCCTTGATTGATTGGAAGTGCTGTCAGTGCACAATTTCATTGGTCGATAGGGATCAGTATTCCGGCGCAGGGCCATCGAGCAGGGAAAAAAAGACCTGGTTTGATGAAACCTCCAGCAATTCAGTAATAGATATTTTAGATAGACTAATATTTGTTGAAGCTATATGAAATAGAAATTGATATAAACTTTTAAACAAGCAAAGCACGGCTCACTGTAGGCAGAGAAAAAAAAACAACCATCTACAGCACAGTGTCCAAAAGCACCTGAAGTGACAAATGGACACTTTTCTTACTCTTTATGACCCTCTCCTCTGTTTACTGGTGTTCATTTCAGCCACAGATCATTTATGCCAAAAGGATGCTCCACACTGGAAGCTGAAGATACTCGGCTCCACTTTATATCGCGTCAAGCTTTCAGTAGCACTGCTGTCGGATAAAGCGCACTCGTGTTCGACAGCCAGCTTGCATCACAGACTGGAAAAAAGGCCAAAAACAAAGAGGGCAGTTGGTCTTTAGCCAGCTCATCTGCCAGTCTGGCCTTCAGACTTCAGACCACGTCACTGTCAATCTGCCTGATAAGAGCAGGCACATAGAAGGGGGAGCAGGCAGGACAGTAGCCCCGGCACACTCACCTCCCCAAAGGCAAAGAACTCAGATGGCCTGGGACACTTTGCCCTGTACCCCGGTTCTCCCAGCAATGGAGGCTGCGTGTTCTGCCACTCATCCAGAGCTGATGTGACACGGCCATTACGCTGCTAGGAAGGGCCAGCCTTTTTTTTTTCTTTTACAAATAGCCATCTTAATTGAGTGTACATCTCTTCTCCATCCCTTTTATTCTTTGTTTCCTTCGCTCTCATCTTATCAAACTGTGACTCAAACAATTCCACAGTCCAGCATTTTCTTTCAGTCCTCAGCCCTGTGACGGTGTCATCTCATTTAGCCGATCACTACGAATCATTTCATGTTCTCTACATCAGCCTCTCTTTTCTTTCCATACAAATCTTCTGTATTTTTTAAAAGGGTTGATTTACATCCAAAGAATGAAGGTAAAACCCTTTTTTTTTTACTGTAATGTGGATGGTGTTTCTTGTTATATTAATTGCTATAAAAGATACATTTGACAAAAAAACCTGTTCATTTTTAGGCATGAAAATTACAGTTATATTTGGACATAAAGTGGTTTGGCTTGTTAAAAAAAAAAAAACACGTTTTGATAATGCTAGGATTTCCAAAAAGATGAGCCGGTAGGGAGGCCAAGCTCCTCTGGATCAGTCCCACTGAGCTCAGAGCTTTACAGATATATAAAATGACGGGAAGATTTATGCCGATATCAGGATCAAAGCTTTGCAGCTAAAAACAAACTAGATTTTCTAACAGAAACCTGACTGATTCATCTTTCAGTTATTAGTTAAATATATTAGATACATGCTACTCATTAAGCTAAGTTAACTAGCAAAAAGATGGAATACATTTAGCCTATCTATATCCCTGAATAAATGACTTCCCCCCTAACGTTTAACTAATAATGCTAATTATTTTTTCAATTAGGTAAAATTTAGAGTTGGGTTTTGTTAAAACTGGGTTTGGCCAGGTCCTAAAGATATCTTCTTCAGATTCTGAGAACAAAACCTGTTACCTAAAAAATATTTTTTTGAAACACAACTTAAGAGTTCTTTACAACTTGGGTGACAAGTTGGAATGAAGCAAGAATGAGATGAGTCAGCTCTTGATGGTTTGCAGAAAAGCAGATCCAATTTTTGGGAATTTGACTCCGAGCTGTCCAGTATCTGAATACTGCTTTTACAGATTAAGCAACATTGGTGGCTTTTGTTTCATCCTTTTAGGGGAAAAGTCTCTTCCTCAGACAAAGTTGAAGTTTTATGATGAAGGTTTAGGAATTAAATGTTTGGGTATTTTCAGTGTGAGGCTGCTCCACAAACCTACTACACTGATAGTCACAGCCAGAGTGCAGGGAAGTAGATGGTGACAGCTAACTGACTGCTGAGTATTTAGATGAGACGTCAAAGCGCCTACAGGAACTGAAAAAGCCTGATAATGACCAGAAATGAATGATCATATTTGTAATGGTCAGTTGAAAACTCCAACTGAGTGAAGTTTTGGAAGACATTTACAAGGTGGTCTCTTCCATCCATGTACATTAGTAATGACAGGGAGGGGAAAGCTGATTTGCATATCTGTTATTAGACGCTTTAATAAATGTTCTCAGTAGAAATGGTTTGGAGTGGGTAGTGTCCTACCTTATTCGAATTCAGCCTTCAGCAACCTAAAGTCAGTTTAATTATACAGAGAGCTTGAGTGAAAGCAGCCTGTGGTTGTGTCGTTCTTCATTGAAAGCATCGAACAGTATCTCAGACCAATCAGGAACTCAGCAGCCCATATCAAAGTTTTTGTGAATTTTTCCAGTCCAGAATACCATCAGTTTGCCACAGCATGCCTGACGCATGTGGTTACAGTTTGTGTATTTTTGGAGAAATTTCAGAAGTTTGAGTAAAATGTGTTTGACGTCTGCATGAAAAATGTCCCTTTTTTTCCTCCTCTTCCTCCCTCAGGTGGGTATCTGCTGTGTGTGCAGCCGCTGCTCTTCTCCCCAAACAAAACCCTCCACTGGCAAAGGGCTAGAAATATACACCCATCAGTCGGACTCCATCTGTCTCACACGCTTGACAGTAAAGAGCCAAAAGTGGGGGGAAATAGAAAGACGGTAGCAGCCTGGGGTGGTAAGACGTAAAGGGATGTGTTTGGGGAGGGGGGTTCTTACAAAACAGACCTATGGAAACGCTGAGGAGGGACATTGGGAAGTTAAATTGTTGCCTCATGACCGCTTTGTCGGTAGAAATATAGACTAATGCAGGAGGGAGAAACAAGCCCACGCACACCTGCTGTGTTTGTTTTGTAAGCGCTTCAGAGACAAGACATCAACAGAAAAGTCCCAGGTGTGTCCCTGGCCATGTTTTGGGTGTGGATAACATAGCCGATAAAGCAGTCAAAGGAAAAGAGATATGAAGGAGGGATGGAGGGGAATTTAGAGGAGGCAGTAAAACTAAGCCTTTATTCCAGATGCTTCTCCTATAAGGCTGTGCCAACTCTTAACTGAAGATTTAGAATGATTGCACTGCTGTACGATATTCCAACCATCACGCTTTCTTTGGCAGTGCTACTGTGCCAAGTTTAGGTACTTAGAGTGGTAATATTCTACAGATATATCCAGGATTTGACGTGGGCCCCTCACCCACGTCAAAGCTACAAACATTTAATAACTATCTGTGATAGGAGTTTCAGTACAAACAGAACATTTTTAATGCTATTTTGGAAAGGTTTAAATAATACTAATAATAATAATGCAAAACACCCCCAAAGAGCAGGGATTTTATCTGAATAACGATTCTTTTTTTATTTCTGGATTTAGCAGAAATACAAACAGAGCAAACCTCTGCTCAACATGATGCCAACTATGGACATAACGTGCACGGCTATTTTAAACCCTGCTGTCAGAGTGCACTTCCCAGTCATTTTTCAAACCTTTCATTTGAATAAGAAGCAAAAATATAAAAACCTGGGTGGAAAACCCTTCAGTTATCTGTCAGAGGACAAACTCAGCGTGCTCCAGGGGTCAGGAGCATTTCTGTTACTCTGACAGTTGGAAATAAATTAAAACTTATGGCCACTGGTCATCTTGCTGGAGCGGAAGCGTGCTTTGTTCATCAAGGGCATGGTTTTCTATTTAGAGCGAGTGTATGTACACACGCATGTGGAAAATGACTGAGAACTAGCATACAGCCAAGCCAACGCTTCCTCCCTCCTTTGAGCTGTCAGTGAGTGTCTTGGCAACCACAAGTCAGAACAATCCCTCCTCTGATCTGATTAGAGACTTAGTGGACCTTATGTGTGCGTGGTGGCTTGTGTGAGTGAACAGCTGAGAGCCTGAGACTGGGAGACTCAGCCTGAATCATACCAGGGATGTGTTTGGCCCAGCCGATGTTGACCACCAGCTCTCTGTCAGCCAGGTCACACAGCGTGGTCAGAGCCTTGATGTCACTCTCTGGAACTGTGGGGTCCGGCATGGCAAAGATTCCCTCAGGCTCGGCCACCAGCAGCAGCGATACCACCTTGTTTTCCACTGACCCGCCTACAGAGACTAAGAAAGACATTATTACAAGACGTGAAAAAAGGAAAAGCAAGACAAAGAGACATACGAAGCACAACCGGTCGAAGCTTCAGTTCTGCATGACGCACTGAAACAAAGTGGATCTACACAAATCTACAGTCTGCGGGCCAAACACCCCCCGGCCATCATCCTGGTGCACAGAAAGAGAATCTGAGCTGTTCGCACAACCACTGACGTCAGCGTTAGACGAGAGTTTACTTTGTCACAACAGTTTGTCGAAATAAAGAAAGCTCTGACAAGGCAACTGTGGGCACGAGCAGCATTTAGACACCTCAGTAAGAACAGCCACGGTCACTAAGATGGCTGCCACTGAGGTAGAAAGGCCTTTTTGGGTGCTAGAGCCCTAACCACATGCTCTGAGCGGTTACCTGCAACTTAGAGCCACTTCACATTAAACATCTTGACGCTAAACTGTGCCAGTAGCATATTAATAATGTGCAGCGTAGTTCTTTATATCTGTTTACTTTGTTTCTGTTCTTTCTCTTTCTATTGATTTTCCATGTCTATGTGCCCACACACTGATTCACTCTAAGGTATGTCGAGGCCCTTTTTCTCCCAAACCAGAAAGAATGTAAGATATAGGCTAGTAAACTCCAAAACTTCAACATTCACAAAAATCAAACCTTTTACACCCACAATTAAGATAGAAAGAAGAATGAGTACCTCGCTGTGATTTGTATACTTACATGATTTCTTGTGTGGCAAAATGCTCTGCGGGTGCAGGTATGGGCTGTTCTCAGCATCTATCCTCCTCTTGTACTTTTGTCGGCCACCTCGAACCCGGTCCAGTCGCACACCTGTGTCAATAAATACACAGAATAATAACTAAGATAAGTTAAATGTGCACAGCCAAGCATTTAGTGAAATTATTGGGTAAATGTAAATCAATAATTAAAATAAAAGGTTAAAGAAAACGTCATGGGGTTGTTATCAGGTTATATAGAGCCAATAAATGTGAGCAAATGTCTTCAGATATGTACATTATCTGGTCTGGAGTCAGCTTATTACCATGATATTTCTCAATGGCAAATGGCATTGAAAAGACTTTCAAACAAGTGTTAAACCCAGTAAACCATCAGCGCATTGCCCAGTCCTCAACCCCCCCCCCCCCCCCCCCCCCCCCCCCCGCCAAGGAGACTGTGGACAGGAAAAGTCCAAAGCTGGCCAGGCAGTACACATCCTGTAACTCAACACCGACTTCACAGCAGCCTGTGACAAATGCTCATCTTAACAAGCTATGGGGCAACCTTGTCACCATGACGATGGGGATTTCAGGGCGTGTGTGCAAAGTGGACAGTTAGATGAGGAGGGGCTGATAGCAGTCGTGAAGGAGAAACATAATGAATGTCAACCACCATCTGCAGAGAAAATCTTTATTCAGGGAGTGTGAATGTGACTCAGGAAGCTCTCAGTAGTGGTGTTGGGTTACTTGGCCTGCACGGTGTAAATAGCAATAGTGGCCCTGAATAGATCCATAACGGCATCTGTAGGAAACATGCAGAGGGTATTACTTCTCCTCAACACCTCACAGTAATACTCCCTCCCTTTGAACCTGCTGCTCTTATTCAGACTGCTGCAGACATGTATGGAGCGCACGCACCTGTATCAAGAACAATAAATGACACTGTGTCTTCTTAATCAGCCATGGAAAATGTGTTGAGAGGTTTTATCAGTTCCGCGCCACTGGTTCGTAAAGCTATTTTGCCTCATTTTATAGGTATGCAATTACTATAACATATAATTTAATATAACCATATAGAGTTTCTGCTTTCCAGGTTAATGTCCCATGAGCAGACGCGGATTAAATGGAGAAGACGATTGTGTCAAACACAGTGAAGAGTCACTGTCCTGCAGGTTAGGGTTGTTCTTTATTCTTTTTCTTCCATTTTCGTTCTGTTTTTATATGTTTGATTCTCCATCTGTTTATCTATAGCCAAATCCCAATCTTCATACCTGCAGACTCACAGACTTTGAAGCGCGCTCCCACCAGCTGTGTGAGGGCCAAGGGCTGTCCTACTGTGAAATCAACAAAGGCACAAAGGCTCTGGTGTGGGCTTTATAATGCCAACACACTCCACTGCCAAACTATGGATGTAAATACTGTCGTTCTGCTTCTGTGTAATGTGCAAAAAAACATAAGGGCTGTCATGATAGCAGATTTTCTTAGTGGGGCAAAAAGAATGGACAAGAACAAAATCATTGTAAGAAACTGGAAACTCGTGGAAAACATAAAATGAATATGCCCGGTCACCTTTTCTTATATGTTTTTTGTCCATAACAATAGGCAATATTGGTCTCCTCAGGGCTTATGTCACTTATCATAGATAAGCCTGGAAACCATTTGTTTCTTGGATAAGGCAATGTGTTGACAGACACTGACAACTTTATTCGCGGCCAACGTTTGTTTGCAGAGCACATTTGTTTCTATTAAAATGTGACAGACCTCAAGATCCGAACAAGGGGTAAAGTTTCACAGTGGAATGTGCTGACAACCAAAAGGCCAAGAATAGCTTTGGTGGATAACAAAACAGGCACAAACACCTCCTCTTGTTCTTCTGAACCGCCCATGGTCTACTCAGAGGCCAACTTATTTTTTGACTGTTTCATTGCTATGGCATCTTTGGAGGGTGTCTGGATTTTCACATGAGAGGCTTTACAAGTTCGAAGGGTGCATGCAGCATCCCGGCGCCATCATCCACACATCCAGTTTAGCCTGTTCTGAAGCTTCCCCACCTTCATCACATACACCACGATGAGTGAACCATAAACAATCCCAGGATTCTAAGATACTGTGATAAAAGTATTTATGGAAGCCTCCACCAACATCCTAGCTGCATTACACTCCCAGGAAATGGTTTGTTATCGACTAATAAAGATCATCTGGGACGTTGGCAGCATGATGAGTCGTACACAGTTCCTGGTGGTGATGCTTATTTTAGAACCCAGATGAAAACATCCTACTTTACACACCGGAGACGTCGTGGTTTCAAGACAAAACAAAGAAAAGAAAAGAAAAAAGGAAAGTACCTGGAAATAGCATGGGCACAATATGGCTCTCATTTCTTATGGAATAATGCCGTAAAAATACAGATTCAGAATTTCATCTGTAGCATAAAATTAATTTTATAAATACTGCGCACATTTTGTTAACATGCATTTCCTCACCACCCCGAGAGGCCACAGAAACTGTGGAAATGGCCACTAAACAGGGCTTAATGAAATCCTGCCTGGGGTCTATATGTCTTTTAGCTCTGTATTTAATGTGGCTCTGACTCTCCCCATTAAACCTCACAGCTCCCTCTGCCTTAGTTTACTGCGGCCTCTCCGGGGAAGAGGGGCGTTACGAGACACGATGAAGCGCGTTACGAGGGCGCTTACGACAGGAGTTACGAGGGGCAGTTCGCATTTCACGGAGGTCCAGGAATCCCACAAGGCATCTGGAGGAATTTACGAGGAAGGAGGGAAAGCGAGGGGGGGCGGGGTTGAGAGGGGAGGGCGGACTCGGATGCTGGTGATGCCCTTACCCTATTAAATGCAGCTAATTTAGAAAAAAGACACACACACACACGCACACACACAGACTCAGGAGAACATGCAGAGACGTGATGCAGACTGACACATTTAAACACACTCATTTACGCAAACTTGTTCATAACTCAGGACGAGCACAGCTGCCGTGCGTTTAGAGATAAGTAGTTGGCATTAAGGGATCATCCAAGTTCACCACAATCTGGATCGTGTTGTCTTAGATTTGGATCTCACTGGACCGTCGTGGTGACTCTCTGAGATGAAAGATTTGACTTGGCAAAATGTCAGAGAATAAAGACAACAGTGTGTGCTTGATGTTGGTCCACATAAAGGTTTACAACTGCAGCAAAGTCACAAATTCAACAGAAATCGTCTCTTTTAAAAGTCGTGCCGTGCTTCATTTGTAACTTAAAGGTTTTATCGCAACGATCAGCGAAGTCGTGAACATCTGGGGTTCTGTAATATAAACTTTAAACTCCTACCATGCATGTGACAAAATACAGGCTTACACACTTGTGTTGCTGCAGAACTTTCAGTGATTGCTTATTCAATGTTTCCCATAATCCCTGAACATATGGAAGCTCAGTCTCAACTGACAGACGGTGTGTTCACGAACATGTTAAGCACAGTGTGCCTCTGAAGAGCAGCTTTTTTATCAGAGAAGATAGTCCAACAGTGGTCATAATATTGTTCAAATTTGATGTGAAATACACTACAATAGTAACCAAAGAAATAGAAGATTAGCTTGTCATACAAGAATTAAGAACACCCTGTAAAAATGTGTAAGTAAAGCTGGCCCAAAGTTTTAAAAAACCTAACAATTAACAAACAAAAGTTAAATAATGGAGTTCGGTAAATATGTCCTGTGACTTTTTCCTCCACCAGCCCATCTGCTTCCACACATGGAAGACATTGATTGATGAAGTCTTTCAATTGTAATGTTCCAGCTTAGGATCTGTCTGTAAGATATCAAATTTGACACTAAAGCACGATTCCAGATCAGGCAGCAGTCTAACAATGCTTTGAGAGGATGTTAGGGCTTATGGTTCTGCTGCTTTCTAAGAGCCATTCAAATTACGACTTTCTCTCTGGCAGGACCACAACAGCGTCAGCCCTGTAAAAACAAATGTTTGTGCCCGACAGACTGAATGAGTAATGGCCCTTTTCAACTGGCACTTTGCAGTTTTCATAACTTACTTTCGCTCTGGTTTACTGCTCTCCTGTCTGGTTTGTAGACATTGATGTGACAGCTACTGAATTACTGTGTGGTTGGATTACCTAAACTGGCCGTAAGCCTGTCCTCACTTCATTAACTTTTTCACACATAACATGATGCTCAATTCAGGGAAGAAATAAATGCATAGCCTATGCAGCCACTAAACACACTTTTTTTAAAAAACAATCAGCTTTCCCTCAGTATTGTCTTCTCTAATCTTTACACAAAATGTAACAAGTGGCCTGTACAGTAGGAGGTTGCTAATGTTTTCCTTCTGAGTCACTTCTAAATGTGGACAATAATACGTCACCGGGCACAGACTAGTATCACCTGACCGCTGACACGGGCTATCACTGGCATGTGCAACATGTCATTTCAAATATTTAAGAATACGGTCAAACATTTTTATTGTAGAAATGCGGTACGTATACGTTTGGATGTGACTGAATCCTATCAAATACAGAGTGTAAAGGCAACTGCACTTGCTGGAGAGGAGTAATTCACTAAAGAGTTCTCATTTTTCCTTCAGCTGACAGCTGCTTCTATTGCCACAGTGGGCTGATATCACGCCACCGCAAACTGGCACATCTCCAGAAACTAATTTGGAGGAACAAGAATGAAGCAAAGATTGACACAAGTGAATATATAGTACCCCTGCGATGCCTTGTTTGGTCCTGTGGCTACACGCCACGCGGTTTTACACACACACACACACACACACACACCATGAGCGGCTTCATTTTTTACTGTCAGAAGTGTTAGATTTCACTGAAGTTCACACAGCTATAGTTTGAGCTGTTGGGGGTTTATTGGATGAAACAGCCCTTTTCACACTATAGGTTTTAAGCTGGGAGGAATGCATGTTTGCTACTGTGTAAGGACAGCAGCAGAATGGTGAGCAGTGAAAATCAATGATGATGCTAACACAATATTTGCCTCTGGACTTACTATCAAAGAACTCAGACAATAGTTGCTGTTGCCACTAAAGAGGTTCTACTACCTAAGCTCGCCGTGTGTAAACCTTCAATGATCGGGCCCTCTCTGTTTAGCTTGTATGCATTTCCTAATGGGAACAGCAGGGGCACAGCCAGGATGTGAAAAGGGCTATTAAGAGAACTGTAGGTCTGAATTATTTCTGATTCCTAGAAGGATTGTGTTGGCCTTCACTCTTCATGCCCACAGCTTAAAGGGTGAGATTTGAACTTCTACCAGGTTTACCACTTGATCAAACCTAGAAAAACAACTCAGACAAGGTTTGGTCCAAGAACTCAGATGGATTTTCAGTGTGCTGCTGACCTTCTCTCAACATGCCCACTGCTAGACATTTCACAAATCGACAGGCCTGGCAAGATTTCCTCCTTCTCTTGGTGATTTCACATTCATTGGATGCTGGGCAGCTGTATTCAATGTTACCTTAGGGGAGGAGAAAACAAGAGTAAAAATCCATGTAAAACCTTGGGGAACAATTCATTAACAAGGTGAGATTATTTTCTACCACTTTTTCTACTAGCTTGCAAAGATTCTTATACTTATTCATGATAAATCATATAGTTTACAGCAACCTGTGTGGTAAAACAAATTCAAAGAAATATCTCACAATAACATGAACTAAGCCATCCAGACGTTTCAGCTCATATGTCAACCCTAAAATAAATATAACCTCTAATGATCTTTGTCAACATTCATCACAAATGTGTGTCACAGATTAATAAATGATTATCTATGTTATCTAGAAGCAGCTGAGTGATTTTGGAAGGTAATGGAAATAGAATCCAAGACAGAAACTGATAAAAAAGAGCATGTTTGCTATAATCTAACTTTCCAAAGCTGCTGGTTAAGTCTGATGGCATTCTGCCTGCTGTAGGGGCTCTCAGCTGCTGCCTCCATCAGTTACAAACAGGAAGTATCTCATGAACCAGTTATCAGCTCTCCCTGTCCGATCTGAGTGTGGCTCAAACTTGCCCTTTGAACCCACTTACAGCAGCCAACCTCTTCAGATGTTAACAAGACGAAGCCCACCAGGTCTCCAACCTGTTGCAGTGCCTAGTACAATCCCTTTATAACACCCCCATAGCCTGCTGTCTGTCTTCAGCTTTAAGGGCAAAAGTCCAAGTGAATGTGCTGAGGAAAAAGCTACCTGTCACTTTAAAACCTAAACTCCAGCATGTTGACTGTATACATGATGTGATTTATATCAGCTGTTTGCAAACAGATTTTTATTTAAAACCCTTCTGTAATCTTGAAGGCAGGAAGCCAAAACTATGGACTAGATGATCTGGGCTTGTTTATACCTAAACAAACGCTGTGGGTAAAACTCCCCCTGCACCATGCTACGTGTAAAACAGGTTTATAAGACGCAGATATTTATAATCAGTTATGCACAATAAACTATAAAACGCTGCATCTTCCTGTATGTGGTTTTAGTTGTGTTTTTATCTCCTCTTACCCTGGATGGTCCTCTTGAAGAAGGCTTTGCAGGCCTCACATGAGGCCACACCGTAGTGGTAACCCGAGGCCACATCCCCACACACCAGGCACAGCCGTTTGGCCACAGAGCCCAGCATGAACTCACACTTTACTTGGCTTTCCTCCTCCTCAAACCTCCTGGATAGAAAGGAGAGCGAAGGAACGTGCTCAAATATTATTAATAGCTATAACCACTTGAAAAAAGATTAAACGAAGACATACAATGTGATTGATATCCACCTGTTTGTTCCCCCGTTAGCGGCCATCCCTGCTGTTTGGCCATGGAGGACCACTGAGTCCAGCCCATTGCTAAGATGGAGACTCTTGGCGAGGGGACCGTAACTGGAGTTTGTGTCTGAAGAAGAGCTCCCTGGACTGGGTTGGGCTGGGCTGACGTTGCCCTGAGAGCTGGGACTGGGGCTAGAGGGCTCACACTTTATAGAGGAGGGACAGGTGGGGTCCAAACCCCTCACCGACATCCTGTCCAGAAGCCTGCAGAAAACAGAGAAAATGAAAATATTTCACATATAAAAAGGATTTGCAACAGAGCCACTCTGCTGTCACCGTCATGGTCTTCAGTGTCAGTTTTCAAAAGCTTCTCCAACGTCTTTTTCATCTGAGTCTCGACATCCTTTGAGTGCTTTCTTAAACCATCCATCCTGGCATTGTCGACACCAGCCGTTTGAAATCTCCCACATATGCAAAGCTGATGTCCATTACACTTCTTTGTTTTCAAGGGAGGTGATTGCTTAAGCAAACTTAAGCAAAATATCCAGACCAGCGATAATCTGCCCCATTAGTTTTTTTTTTTTCAACTCTCTGCTCATCACTTCTAACCGGTCAAAAACCTCAGCAGCAAGCAACTGTTAAAAGCTGATTACAAAACAGGAAGCTGAGGGGTGTTTTTTTAAATGGTTTTACAAATAAAAGATGTCCATTTTAGACCTGTTTGTAAGGTAGGGGTTTACCTAAATCATCAGAATTTAAAATGTGAGAAAGCAGCTTTTTTGTTTATATAAATATCAAATAAAAATTCAAATCTATGCCAGAAAATCTAAGATTTTTATAAACGGTCAAAGTTCTTAATGTAACTTTTGGATACAATTTTCAATTCCTTTTTATTTCCATTTTTCAATTATTCTGCTGATTATTTTGTTATATGAGGCACTAAAAGACAACTGAACTTTGTTGTTTATGAATTGTGTCGTTAGTTGAATAAATCATATATCCATTGTTCTGGAAATATATATAGATTTATTTTTTTATGTTTGAGTGTGTCATGGCTCTATTATTAGATAAAGAAGTGACCACAGCAGACTCTCTGTCACCATGCTGAAGCGAGAAAAAACATCTGAAACCAGATAAAGTAGGCTCCTGAGCATGTGATCTGCACTTATGCACACACACACAGCAACACATTTTGAAAAGGCGCACACACACTCCCATTGTGGCGTCAGTCTTTCATGCGTGGATGTAAAAATAAGAAGCTTGGACGGTTTCCCACTTCCCTACATACAGAACACTTCAGATTCCTGTGATCAGGAGCACGCGGCAGCTCCCTGCATGCACGCTTACAGACACATTTTACAGCATGTGTCTTCATAAACACCCTCACACATGCTTGTGTGTCGCCAGACCAAGTTAAAAGAAAAAAAAAATCCTCGTTCTGTCCCAGTCGTCCGCACGCAATGAAACTCGCACACAATATCCACCCAGCTGTGCATCTCTACAGCTCGGGTCTTGGCTCGTGGGAGGTGGAAGTCTAAGTCGACCTGTTTCCTGCCATGTAAATCAGTTTGCCCATCATAAGTTATTTGGTAGGCAAAAACACTGGCTGCGTTTAACTTCCCACTGAGTAAACCATGACGCTTCTGACCCCCCTCAAAAGCCACAAACATGGACATGTAAATGCTAAGTAAAAAAACAAAAAAATCCAAACAGCGTCTTTCATGAACTGGGCACTGACAATGGAACGATTTCTAAATTCTAAGTCATCCCTTTTGCATGAATTAACTTTGGCTTGTGAGTTAATTTATACCCTGCATGTATACACACCACATTCAACTTTTAGTTCTTTCTTAGAGCAGATATCTGCATGAAAAAGGTTCAACCTCTTGACAAGAGAGAAGAGATTTGAACCTTTGGAGCTTTTGAACTTCTGCCCGAGTCCCGGTAATCAGTCAGTAAATTTGTGATCTGCCTTCAGGTGGCTCCTCTGAACACTCATAAAAAGAGGGGTTTGGACACGGTAAATGCCCAATTTATTTCAAAGTAGCTCTGTTTAAACTTCAAGCCATCTTTTGTTGCACATTTAACAGCTTTGTACGATCCAAAACAACATTAATGAGAATGGTGAGAGTGGATGAAAATTCTAAGACTGCCAGCTACAAAATCAAATCATTTCACTTCAAAGTGCTAAGATAAAAAAGGACCTTATTTGAACTTTATGCAAAAGTAATTAAATCCTGAGTTAAATTTAAAATCTGCAGCATGAAATACTAAACTTTCTTTCTGTGAGTAAAAACATCTGAAGACAAAATGTTTTACCCATTCATCCTTCCGACGGTCTCCCATTAACCTGCGTGAGTTCCAGTTAAAGACTTTGATCCCATTTTCTCTATCACTCGTTTCCTGCATATATAAACTCTTCAATCCACTTTGAAGACTATAAAAACAGCACTGTGAATAGACTCCAGCTTCCTTTTAAAGTGACACAACGGTAGCCTCATTGGCTATCCATCACAGGTGTCCATATTGCTGTGTCAAGTCCCTGACAGGCACAGAGTGAGATATACTTTGCTCTCTCGCACTGTAATGCATCACAGGGAGGAGGCGGCAGAGGAGGGGTTGGACGCTGGCATTTTGCTTTCATAATGAAATGGCATTAGAGTGCGGTGATCAGACGGGAAGTGCTATTCAACTAAATCGCATAAAAGCCCATCAAAGGATGGTCCTACAGTCCAGCGCAAGGTAGATAAATCAGTGTGTGTGTGTTTCAATGGGGTACAAAAGTTATCGCGCCTTTTGTGCCAAAGTATCCAAAACAACTCTAACTGCACCTCCGCAACAAAGGAGAAAATGCAGTGTGAAACGACGAGAAGACAAAAAGAGGGGAGGGAAAAGGGAGGCAGGAGGAAATCAGAAGAGAGGCAGACAGATAGAGGGAGTGTGAAAAAGCTGGAGAGGAACAGAAAGAAAAGGGGCAATCCTGTGGCTCATTAACCCCGGAGGGCTGAAAGAAAGAAGAGAGGGCAACACTTTCTTTCCAACGAGCGGAGTCATAACGCAGACAATGACCTGAAGGCTGAGGAGGAGATGGGAGAGAGAAAGGGAAGAAAAGACAAAAATAAGGTGTAAGCTGACGAAAATAAAGGAAGAAAAAATGAAGAAAAAGAAAATCTGCTCAATTTCAGATGACAGACCCACTTCAAAAGTGCCACAAATTCTGCACAAGGCCTTGTGACCGGTTTTTCTGCAAACTCAATATCTTAATTTACGTCAGAGGATGTAGCGTGTTTTTTTTTTCCTACAAACGAGCCAGAGATGATCAGGGATCACCGACACCCTCTCCCAGCCATAAGAGCCTTTGAGACTGGAGCTCAGGCTCACGGGCTCTGGGGACTTGGGCAGCGCGCTATACATGGGGATCATGTGCAGCCTTCAACGTCCTCTATCCAATTCTTTATTGCCCTGCTCGTGTCATAAGTAATCAGCCAACCTGTGCGTCCACATGTCTGCCCATCTTCCTCTGGTTGTCTTCTAATTGTCTTTATCTTTCGCTGCTGGGGAAGGTTAAATTCAACCTTGAAATCCTTCATAATCTCAATGAGATTTGTTGTGTTCTCAGTGCAGTCTGATTGTACCGCAAGTAAGAGAAGTACAACAGTGGTGATAATAAAGATGGTCCCCCTCCCGCCCCATGATTACAGCAAAACAGGCAATCAAAAACCTACTCTGGAGGCAATCAAACAGCTGCTTCACACATCTTTTCGGAGAATTTCAGATTAACCTTGTTTAGCCTGCCTTGAAAAAATAAAGTCAATCAAGTCACACCAGGGCTAGTTTGTCCATTACAATAACACCGTCTGACCAATTAAATGAAAAGAATGAAGACAAAATAAAAAGAAGGTTAAATATCTAATGTGTCTTCAGATGCTCAGCTGTACCTTTATCATACATGCCCCTTCCAAAAAAGAAATTGGATACCTTCCTCAATACATAAATCAGTCGGGTCTTTTCCATGAACTTTCCGCTCATCTTCCCTATGGGCAAGGTCACAGCACTCTCCAGAATTCGCTTGAGCTAACTTTAAGTTCTAGTCTAACTCTCTATACATCAATTCAAGATCTTGATTAAAGGAAATCCCTGGATGGCAATGACGGTCGTGGTCCAGGAGATCCAACAACAAATCGGAGAGAGACAAGTTTCCTGCATTTAGCATATTTCAGGATTACCAAATGGCTAACAAAGCATGTATTAACTAGTAATGTAATGATACGTTTTGCAGCTATTTCTATCCAGTGATAGATAACTAAAATATGCTTAAAACATTTGGTCCCTGATCCATGACAAGAAGGATGCTTCAAAATAGCCCTAAAGCAAATAGTTTATACTACGTGGCAGTATTGTTAAATACACGTTTCCTTGTCATTAAGGCGTTTTGTGATACGTCCATAAACATTAGAGACATTCATTTGTCACAGCACATTACGTCCGTTAGACTAAGTCACTGGTTATCGACGTTAGCCTCCTTCGGTGACTATAGTTTTTGAGAGAGAAAAAAATGAAGACTTAATGTGTTTTAGAAAGTACTTACTCTGTGTCAGAGTGATAGCTGAAACACTCTGGGAGGTAGAGGTCAACTAAATCCATATGCGCTCCGCCACCATACCCTGTAGAGTAGAAAAGGTTCTGTTTCTTTCCCGTCCGCCTCCTTCGCTTGATAACTTCTGTTCTACTTCTCGGCGGCTATTTGAAACGGCACCTTCTCTCTGCGCTTTCTTGTCTTGTGCCGCCAAACTTTATGTGTCCATCTACTGCCCTCTGCTTTGCTGTATCACACTCCCAGCTCCGCTCATTGTCCCTGCGTGTGTCTTCCTGTCACTCACACCTCTCACCCACCGCCCCCGGCTGCCTTTGAAGTCCGCACTGTTGTGACTACAAGCTGCGTGTGACAAGGGTCTCTAAGCGAGGCAACCGGCCGTCTCCCGAACAGCCGACCGTACCATTTGAGTGGCCTCCCACCTGCCCCCCGCGCGCTGCACGGAGCTCGCAGCTGATTGGCTGTCCGTTAGGCCAATCGGAGCCAGAGCCGCTGAAGCAGGTGGCTGTGTCAGGAGAGGATGTGGGGTATTTCGAGAGTTGAGAGCAGTTAGATACAGCACCATATGGAAGTGTGGATCCCTTATCAATTACAGGATAAACCGTCTTCCCACTGAATGCGTGCTTTTAAGGAATCGAAAATTAGTTTAGATTTGCAAGAACCTAATGTCTCAGGATGTATCATTCAAAATCACTGAGTGTGTCACATACTTTGGCAGTTTCTAAAGAGGAAAACAAACACGCACAAGCTCCATAATCTGTATAAATCGATTTCCGCACGCACAGTCATCATTCATTGAAGATTAAATTGAGATTTTTTTTCTGGACTGAATTCAGATATCAAGCATTCTCTGATGTAGAAAGAACAACTCATGTTTTATTCTCGGGATGAAAATGACAACCCTATACTGTGAACAGCAGCTTCCCACACTGACACTATAAGAACAAACCCATGGGCAGCCACACGCTGATCCATCAATGCACAATCTACTAAAGGCTAACTGTCCCACCTGCTTAAGCAGTGCCGTTAGCTGAGATAATCAGCCTTGGCTTTTTGCCTTATGTGATGTTTTCACTCACAAAGAACACGTGCAAATGAAATGACAAGCAGGGGAAGTAGTGTCCAGCTCACAAAAACGCTAGCAGGTACACAATGTGTGACAGGAACAAAACAGCTCAGGGAGAACAAGCTAGATTTATATAATTAAATCTAACATCAATCTTTATGTGTGAAATAGCAGATATCTCCATGGGTCCCCATATCCTTTTTATCTTTTTATTATAGTATGTACTATATTGAATATTCTAGTCATTTTTATTTTATTTTATAGTGTGAAACATTAATATGAATTTGCATTTTGATTTTTGAATATATATTTTTTTCAGGAGACCAAACATTCACTTCTGAGAGATTCAGCATCTTTAGGATTCTCTTTTTATACCCAGCCATGCCACTGCCCTGTTACAGTGTGTAATCAATTATCAAGGTCCTGATGAACATCATGAAATCAGAACTATGCCTTTATATCAAATCCTGCCGAGCAAATGTAAATGTAGGGTTGCAGAATTTTGTACAGTGCAAAACAACATTGTTCCAGTTATACCGGACACAATAGGTTTCCTCTTGAGTCTGCAGGGATACAGGAACAGAGTGTTTTCCCCATCTGTGTAGAGCACAGGTGTGAAACTCACATGACACTTTTTTAGAACAGCAAAATCCCACTCTGAGATTTCAAAGGCAGGAAGAAGCATTAAACAGTCAAATTCAATTCAATCCAGTTATAAGAATTTTACTGAAAAAGTTATGACCCCATTTGCAACCATTACCAAAACCATCATTTCTGTTAAATGTTGATCAGTCCTGATGGTCAACGTAAAGGTTTTTCCAAGTAATTCCACAGGACAGATGAGCTTCAGCTCTAAGATGCTAGTGGATTTATCTCAAATGAACTTCTTACTTAAGATCCCTCCACAACATTTCTGTTGGATTGAGGTCAAGACTTTGACTTGGCCTTCCATATTACCTTCTTTTGTCATTTGTTGGTAAATAAAAATATGTATGTTTGTGTAATTGAAATTATGATAATTTTTGCTGGTATAGTAAACAAAAATATATGGTGCCCTAAATCCATTACAATTCAGTGGTTTAATTTAGAGTTCATGTTGGGAAAGAAATGTGCGTATGCAGGGCTGATGGTTTGTTTTTTTTCACTATGATGAACTCTCTGGAGCAGATCCATAAAACTTGATCCAAACCATGAAACTACCACTGGCATGTCTTAAAATGCAATGATTTAAAAGTTATGTTTTTTTGTTGTTGTACATGCATCCTCATTAGTACTGACCTGATGATAGTTCATATGATAAAGCAGCTTGGCCCTAACTTTGGGATCTCACACAGTACAGTACATCATTTCTGGTCTTTGACTATGTAGATTTTTTCCAACACTCTTGTGGGACATAGCAATGCCCTCCAATTCTGTCCATTTATACTCAGTGGGTCTGTTAATTGGTCAGCATTATCTTTACACACTCTAATTTATAAGAGCATAATAACACAATCCAAGGCACTTAAAAATCTCGATGTTGCCAAAGCACTGGTAAAAACAAAAAGTTGTTCAAACAGCTGTAAAAAGTACTTCTCATTCAATCTTCTCTGATCATCATGATGCCGTGCTCTGTTGTGCTTAACTCCGCTAAACCGAATGAAATCACCTGTGCTAATCTGTTGCTTAGATAAAAGCCAGACAGCAGACTGCATGGAGTGAACTTTATCTCATTATGCACCACATGGAAACTCCCAACCAACGGAAACCGTCATTATGTCCTTTGTGCGCTGCATGTGCACACAGGGACCAATAAACCAATGAATTCTGGCTGGAAGCAAATCCAAAGAGAGATCATGAGAAAGATAGGCAAGCATTTGATGAATGAAAGTACATCATCCAAATGTGGTCATATCAAAAGTAATACACTTCAGGCATTTCATAAAAAAAATCCTGCTCCAAATTACGATGGTCATGGAGATAAATTTAGTACAATTTATGTTGCCATTAAAATGAAATAGCTCATATCCCATAAGTGGCTTCATCCATACAGCCACCATCAATTCGATCATCTGCTCTTTGGAGTGAAACTTAAAAGTTAAGAGTGAAATAAAGATGACTAAATTCAATATTTTGGCAATAAATGCATCTTTCACACATAAATTGTAGTCACACTTTTTCTCTTCATGTACAAACGCCTGTAGGTCAAATTGAACAGTAAAAGGAAACAACCAGAAAAGTAACCAACACAAAAAGATCCATGCTGTGGTTAGGTGGGATAATTCACACAGATACAGTCAGCAAACTCCTGCTTGTTTATTTTCCAAATCCGTGTTTGAGAATCGCAGATTAAGAGAACTCCTGGCGTGTTTGGAAACTGTTAAAACTGGGCTGAAAATGCTGTCAATTTACTTCTTCGTAGCAGATTCAGATAATTCCAGCATGAAGTTGGAAGCTGGAAGCTCATGTGGCCACATACATTTAATCTTTGATTCATCTTTAATATATCTTTGAATGGGCTCACTCATTGAACCACATTTCATAATTTGCTGTCAGCACAGACATAAATAAATAAGAATAAATAGGAATCAACCATTTCTTTTAATGAATTAAAGTAATTTTAGTCAGCTGATTATATGTTGCTCATGTAATGTGCCAACTGGTATCTGTATATATACTGAATGACGTGCAACCCACACTAGACTATTTTTTAGAACATACCACAGAAGATGATGCATATGGCAGTTTGCAAATAGCTCTCTCACTGCAGTTTAACACAAGAGAGATACAACTTTACTGTTTAAGTACATATGTTGCTGTATGTCATGATTTCTTAAAAAAAAATAAAGATTAGTTTAACCTTTCCATATTATGGATGTGAAAATCGAACTCAAGGGAGTAACAGCATTTACAAAAATAAAAATAAGGAGAGCAGGTTTCAACATTTTGTGGTATACATGTAATTTCCTAACAAGAGAGAATAAATACTACTGAACAACAAGGAGAGCAGACAAAAAGACATCAGCTTGAACTGATGCAAAAGCCAGAGCAGCTCTTTGAAACATCCAAACAAGCTGAGTGAGGCGAATGAAACCAAACACGCATGGCTGCATTTAAATGTCAAAAACATTTTTTCCACTGCTGAGCTTAAATGAAAGACAGAAGCTCAATAGTAGCTGTGGAGGGATGGTGCCTGTAACAACGCACCACACTGCCAGCCGCTGACCCCACACACCAGAGAAGGATGTTTCTGTCTGTAAAACTGTAAAAGTACAGCTTATGCAGGCTGCATGAGTGTGGGTTCAGTCTTTTCTTCTCCTCCCTGAACTCACAGCCACCAAATCTCAGCTTGAAGCGACATCTGTCGCGTTGACTTCCAAAACCAGACAGTCACTCAGCAGTTCCTGCCCCCATCACACACACAATTAGAATCAGCCTCAGAACCAGCAAGTGGTAATCTGCTTAGTTTATATGTGACCCTTAGCCATCCATCAATTACTGAGACAGAGGGAAACACCACTGACAGAGTGTGCAAACACTCATGTCATGCTGCGCCAACACTCACCTCTCAGACACCCAAATACTTCAGAAAAGGGGGATGACACATGGAAGAGGGAGGAACAACAGAAAAATCATTGTACAATTAAAGAATGACTTCTCATGTAAGAATAGTGAATGTCTTTTTTTGCCTTTCGATTACTTAATATAGATGAATGGGAGGGAAAGGATCCATGAAAAAGTGACAGATGAGCAGTTGGAATACGATCAGTTTCGTATTGATCTGCGGTGCACGGTACAGGGGTCAGAGGTCACACACACACACACACTTCCAAGGGAGAAACCGTAGTAACCCACAGGGAGAAGCTTAATGTGACATAACCATAGAAATGTTTGCTAGAGCTACTGGGACCTCCTGCCGCACCTTCTCGAGGGGGGGGGGGGGGTCATCAAATGCTTTTCACTTATCTGGAGATCCAACAGTCCCACTGCGGAGGAAACGTATATATGCACAGGAAGGCTTTCAGGCAGACAGGATTTCATTGGGACTAATTTAAGCCCATTTTATGAACATTTGAGACAAAAAGCACTGAAAAAAGCAGCTCAGTTGCAGCTTTGCAGATTGTTTTACGCGTGCAAATAACTTGACTGGAATGCCCCCTTGTGGAAGTATTTCTTTGACAGGCACATCAAACGCAGTTGCTTTGAAACTGAGGACTGGCGATACAGTGGTAGAAGTGCCATTGTTCTCCCTCGTCATCAGGCCATCTTGTCTTCTGGCAGGAGCCCATCTGGAGGGCCTTAGGGTGATTAGTCTATGTAACCAAGCCTCTCCTAACAACATAATATGGATTAAGACAGCAAATACCTTTCATATTCTCAGCAGAACTATTGGATTAAGCGGTCATCAGCTGGTCACCCTCTGTTTCTGCATGTTCTACAAAGCACTATGGATAAAAAAGAAAACAAGGCCACCTCTTTTCTAAATATCTTGATAGATGTGGTCTCTGGAAGTCTTTTGTGGTAAACAGGAAGCTCAAACTAAAGCAGCAACCCTGCATTTTCTCTGTGTAAACTCATTCAGTTCTGTATGTTTGGATTTCATTGCTTAGTTCTTTTTTAAAATGCTCTAATTCTCCTCCATCTGCGATTTCTACCATTTTCCCAGGAGTTTTCCTTATCCGACTCGGGACTCTAAAGATAGAGCTGTTGATAGCTGGATATTGTGCAGACTGTAAAGCTCTTAGAGGGAAGTGTAAGTACATTTACTTTAATAATGGACTTATCTCCTTAACACTCACGGGGCAAAGGAAGAATCTACTTAAGGGGCCGATCCAAATTTGTCACTCTGACCCTGTTTGAAGAGCTCTCGACTGGATGGTGGTCCAACAGGAGGGAGCTAAAGGGTTATGGGTTGTAATCTTTAGATTATGGAGTATCGCTCTGAATCTGTTTGGAGAGACTTATGCTGGGTTAGACGATTGATGCTTAACAATGCCCCCCCCCAAAAAAAAGATCTTATCACAGGGAATTGTAAAAATTGGCAAACTATACATTGCTGGCGATCCTTCAAATTCAAACAATGCCAACCATTATCAAACATTACCACATTGCATATTTCCTAACTGGTGTTCACGGTAAAGCTGTGGTTTCCCACCTTTTTAAAATGATTTTTGTTGCCTTTAGGAGAAAATGTGTGTTGCACAGTAAGTGTTAACGGGATTTAGCGATGCAGTTTTACCTACACCATCTTCTTTGTTCTATGTTTCTTTGTGCCGTCTCTGTCAAAGAAAACATTAGAAAAGAAATCATTAGCAAATTCTGCATATGGGGACCCTGAACCGTTCTAAAAAACAGCTTTGTTGTGTTTCTTTTACCTAAATGTCATATATTCCATTTTGTTTCATTATGCGATTTTTTTCTGTTTTTGTTGTTAGAATGAGATTAATCTTATCACACTATAATAAATGGCCTTTTCACATATCTACCCCCACCACGTTTCACATATGCACCTGGTTCCCAGACATGTCCCGGGAGCCTTGGATGCGGGTCCAATACACACTGAATCCTGGGAGTCAGCACCACTCACACCCAGTGCTGATGTCAGGAACTATTAGAAACACTTTCACATGCCCGCAGTCACACCGAGTAACAACGTGCAGTCCATCTCATCATATCATTTTTATCTCCACAGGTGGCAAATTTTACCCTCCGGCTCAGTGTCAGCATGTCTACACTAAACAAATCAACACACAACGCAACAAGACAAAAGAGCTTTCCTGTCATGTTTTTTCCTTAAATACAGTTTACCGCAGCGTTACCTATTCACCCTCTGGCTTTATCTCCATCTACCCATCCATCTAGACACCCCTCTAACTCGGGCTAACACCTTCTGTCAGCAGCTCCACAGGTGAGCCAGCCTCATCTCACGACACCGTCTCACTCCACAGAGGGCGGAAGGCAGAATTCAGCCCGTACTCCTCTGCCTCCTCCTCTCACATCCTTTCCATAAATATGTGCGTCCTTTCCCTCTCTTAGTGACTCCCTCCTGTCCTTAATCATTTCATCACACAGATGCTTTGAGGTGCACCTCTGGGACATTTCAGCTCTCCGGCAAGATGTAACACCCTTCCTCCCTCCCTCCTCACATCCCCTGCCCTTTCTCAAGGCTTCAGGGAGGTCTTCCAGTGACCCCACCTCCTGGTCATCCCTCACCCCAGTTTGCCTCCTCAGCGCAGACCTCTTTTTCCTGGCCGCGGCTCCTGGTGCACCAGTCAAAATGTAATTTTCTGCAAGATTACACATGATAATGACTCGCTTTGGAGGGTTGCCATAAATGATGACTTCCAATTATACATGCATAACTATCGATCTGTCAACAGAAGCGATGAGGAAGAGGAGAGAGAGAGAGAGGAGGCGGCACGGGGCTGGACATATGTACAGTGATATTTCCTGACATCTCTAGATACTGCACGCACAAAAACACACAAAGAATGAGTGGATGCAGCTGCACAATCACCCGAATGGTTAGCAATTTGTTGAACTGCCCACAAAGTCCGAGATAAGAAAGTATTGATGGGAGCCAATAAGAAGCCGGGGAGATGAGTTCACCTGGGAACAGAGTAGACCTTCACCTGGAGGCACACACACACACACGCCTCTATAACATCGCAATGGACTGTTTCTAAGCTGTTAGGAGCAAAAACACATCACTCCATTCGCCGCAGCTGTGCCTGCTCGTCGTCCAGCGGCCGCTCAGTACTCACTGTCAGTTTCATCCACTGGCCGTCCGGTCCGTCGCTCGCCGGCTGCAGTCAGTCAGTCAGTCAGTCAGTCTCAAGGACAAACGCTTCAGCTCTCCTCGCCTCTGGTCTCTGTAGCCCAGCGATGCAGCAGCGCACACACAAATTCATAAACACACACACACACACACACACACACCCACATTGCCCTCTCCCTCTTTCTCTCCTCTCAGCATCTCACTCTGATCCGCTGCTGAGTTTACCTGCCTGGCTCACAGGGGAGTCCTGAGAGAGTGTTCCAGACCGAAAGTATGTGTGAGGGAATGGGTGTGTGTGGGGCTTTTTTAAAATGTTTTATTTTATTGTTGGGGGTGGAGGGGTGTAGCCAGTATTCCCCTTGTATGCAGGGGGAGGTGGTGAGCTGAAGGAAGGGTAGAGGACACACAGCACTCCTGTATTCCCATAGACACACCGGAGGTTTTCTATTGCAGCATCACAAAAGAAAGGGGGAGAAGCAGGGAGACAATGCACGCATCATATTTCTGCGATGTTGAGTCAGCATGCGAATGCGATGCATGTGGTGATGGGGCTGTGGATATTTTAGGGGCGGGATTTTACAAGCGGGTTGTGTCCAGTTGAGCAGCAAAAGGGGCTTCTCAGCAACAACTACGCTGGGAAGTTCTCCCGCTGTCAATTTAGAGGAAGGATGTTCAGATCAGAGTGAACTGCTGTGGTAAAGCACTATATTTTACTATGTTCAATAAATATCTGTCATCAGCAGTCAGACTGTGAGCCAATAACATGGTTAAAATGACACCTCATCGTCCAACATCCTAATGCATTAGGAATGTTACAGATGGAACATTCCAACAGTAAAGAGTAAGAATCAGTAGTCTTTTAAAGCCACCATACAGCCCACTGTGAACGGCTCTTAAGCTATTAGAAGAAAAAAACTAAACACTGAGCAACAAGTTCTCAATAATATGCTCATACTGGCACACAGCAGAGGCTGAATCAGGGTGTTTGCTTAGAAAGCGGGTGGGAAAACTTGTTGGGGAAAGAATGATTTGAGATAAAATGAGCAACCCTGAGTGGAAACCCTTTTAAAGGCCGCTCATGAACTCAAACTGGCATAAAAGAACATTGAAACTGTTTGATGAATAATAAAAATTAGATGAAGAAAAAGGTCATTTGAACCCCTATATGAACCAGGAAAGAAGAATTTACCTGAAAGGGCGGTAAAACCATATCGTAATGACTCCTTTTAATAGAAGTTATTTCAGTTAAACTTCAGCTAACATTTCATTAAATTACACATGGCTTTCAGGGGTTAAAAAACAAACACAAACTAATTGCGAGGGAAACAATATTGTTACAGTACATCACTCAAGTGTACCCTTGCAGTAATAATCAATGGCTGACAATTTACTGACAAAGCTGTACTCATTCAAGTCTCATAACATCGATTTAAGGAGAAAAGCAAAAAAAAAAAAAAACAAAGAAATAAAAAAATCTACTTGATGCATCTTTAGTTTGATGTGTCACACATGTTTTAGTTTGTTAGTCACAGTCTCTACTTGTCCACCATTAGGAAAACAATGTCCCAGGGAGGGAATGAACCAAACCACCCATTAATCAAAGCCGTGGGAGCCCTTTAAGTGGCGGCAAATTTCCTCATTTTTCCCCCCAGACCTGCGTGGATACAGCTGCAGGCTGGCAACCCGTCACTATAGTACTGACTGTATGGTCACTTAACATGGTTACATCTGGCTAAATGTTACAGGCCTGCAGAGATGTCTTCTAAAAAAACTCACTTGGTAAAACAGGACAGGAAAACAAAAAGACTTAAAAATGTTCACAAATTCTTGTTTTTCTTTGAACATCAGCAGAAACATGCAGCAGCTTCAGCTGCACATCCATGCATGCTGCTAAATTAAACAGAAGCTAGTTTTGTTTGTTTTTTGTGTTTGTGCAGAAATAAAGACATTCTAACAAAATGACTGCTTCCAATAAATGACGTATAAAACACAATACATCCAGGTATCCCCACTCACATCTACCCGGGGGAACCCAGAAAATTTCTTCTTGAGGTAAAGCCTATGCAAACCTTTGATGCCAAAACTGTTGTGCAATGTCGGGACAGAACCATTTCTCATTCATTTTCTAACCAATACCTTTGACCGTTATCAAACCGCAAGTCATCTCTGTGCTGCTCATTTTACTAGAGGCTAGGTACCACATTCTCTGGCCTGTAACATTGGCATCTGAGGTAACGTGATGGAGCATCAGTTTCACTTGCTTTCTCCAACATGGAGTTCATGCGTCCTCATCCAGCTCAGTGTCTGTCGGTCACTTTGACAGAAGTCTTTGTGGATGTCCCAGGCTTACTGCAGCCTCCCCAATATGGGAACGCTTTTGTTTAATTGGCGATGCTCTTGGTATATCGAGCTTTGTTTTTCCTCCTCTCATTGCTCACAAGCCTGGATTAATCTAGGCCTCTTTTTTTTCTCCCTCCTTTCCGGGGTACCATGTTTCACCCCGTCGTAGGTGTTCAAAATCCAGAAATCAGGTGTTCAATTGAAACCTAAACCTGCCCCTTTGGGTCTCTGAGTGGCCCGGACGGGCTCGGTGATGCCCCTTCCCTCCGGGCCGAGGCCCATCCCCGGACTCCAGCCCATGCCCTGTAACATGCGGTTTCCCATGTTTGTGTCAGGGATGGGGGGCGCGTTCTCCCCGACCACACCTGCAAAGGGATCAGAGAACAGGGAGGCTTCAACATGTGTGCGACTTTGGTCAGACTTAATGGTACTTAGAGGCAGTTGATGGGGTTCATATGCGAGTTTGAAAGCAACAAAGCGATCGACAGAGTTTCAGGATTTTAGAAAATATCTACCGACTGTAACCTCGAACTGTGAGGCTGACACTTTGTGGGGAAAAAAAAGAAAAAAAGACAAGTTCGCAACGTGAGTCCTGCCGTGGGGATGTTGAGTGTCTTCGTACTGCATGATGCTAATTTAGGACCCTGCATTATGGTGTAGGTATCAGATGTTTGCATGGTTACAAACAGCTCCATTTTCTAGAATGCTTTTCCTGAATTTTAATAAAACTATTGAGCACTTGTGTGTTCCTGACACAGAAATTGAAACCGTGGCTCACCCCTGCGACCACCATTTCACTCTGGCTCACAAAAGAAATAGAAGAACGACAGTTAAAAGTTATGAGTTCCTCAACGGTTCGAACAGCAGCTGTCATGTGACAGAATAAGCCTTGCTGGCTGGGAGCTGCTGCAGCCTCACTGCTAATGCTAACACGCATCCAAAAGAGATTGAAGAACACACGGTCTTCTCTCAGACAATGGTCGTTTCCTCCACCCTTTTCCTGGAAGTTCAGATTGTCACAGAGCCCAACCAATTACTGTTTTTAATCCTCTTTTTATTGGATGGCAGCGAAGAGTAAAGCTGCTTCCCCTGCCTTTAGCCACACAGTCCTTCTGTAACCTATCAGCTGGTTTGCTGATATGAAGCCTGTTCTGATTAAACGTTCTGATTGAGTGGAACCCCCATTAATCAGTTCCTGTCCTTCATTACAACAGACTGGCCCCACTGAGCTCAACTAGTAGAACGAGAACAAGTGTGTGCCAAATATAAAAGGGGGCAGCAGATGGCCCGTTCGGCGTGGCTAGGTGTGTGTTTCCAGTACCTGAGGGTGCAGTGGAACTAAGGGGGGCAGCCTTCCGCCTCCGCTTGACATCCCCTGTGCAAAGAGATCCAAGATGTCCGCTGGTCTGTCTGCAAAATCAGACAGGATGACACACGCACAAAAACATGGCGGCATTAGTCTGACGTGCAACAACGTTCCACTTCCGGTCGCAGTTTTTAGTTCAGCTGTTCAGGCACCTGCTGGCTGTTTTCACAGAGCAGCTCCTCCGATGCCCTCTGTCTGTCCGTGGGTCCCAGTGCAACTGCAGTGTTGGTGAAGAGGAGACAGAGGAGGAAACTTAAAGTCTGGAGCACTTTCAACCCATTTGACGGGGAGAGGAAGAGCACGGCTCACCTGTCCGTGGTCTCTCCTGGATCCTGGGCTAAACCAAGGCCTGTACGAGACAGTGGAGTGCCATTAAAACCGTTAAAACGTATCACAGAGGGGATGGACGACAATTTTAAGGGTAAAATAAAAAGTGGATATGCAGATTAGAATTAATATGAGAGTAAACCAATAGAATTAAGAGCCTTGAGGAAGAACTCACTCGTGGGAGTCCTGTGCTTGCCTGCCAAGCCTCTCGTTAAAGCCCTGACTGGAGCTTCCCTGCAGCCCCACCTCAGACCCCTGCTGGTTCCCATGAAGACGACTCAACCTGGCCTGAAATCCTGTCAATAATCAGCACGTCTTCAGCAACAAGTAAACTCATGAAATATGCTTTCATACAATTAGCCTGGTTGGGTGAGTGATTCTTAAATGCAAAGAGGCAACTGAGCTGGTGGGATATAACTGAAAGATAGGCAGCTTTGTGCAATGAGAGTCACAATCAAAGCAGTAGAGAAGCTGTTTTTCCACTCCAGTCCTGATTATTGCCATTGTTTTTTAATTTTGTAAAGTGTTTGTCTCCCTCTGGTTATAAGTGAGTCTATTATAACAGGGGAAATGTCTGTGTCCTCAAACTATAAAATGTAACAATGCCGGCCCATTCCAAAGACATTTTATTTGGCACGACTGTGCACCCAATTTTCTAAAAATCAGCTTAGAGGTTTTGAAGACAAACATCCGCCCTGTCGAGGCTGCCTACCTCTCTGTGCACTCGGGCTCAAGAGCGGAAAGGATCCTGTGAGAATACTGTTGAAGACAGGGTCAGCGAGGTCCAGCTCCTCTGAGGCCGTCTCCCTCTCCCACCACGGTACCACCCCTGCTATCCCGCAAGCACCGCCAGGACCAGAACCGGACCCCGGCTCCCCCTCGTAGAACCAGTCACTTTGTTCATCATCACCTTGAACGAAAATTTAAAAGTAAATTTCCTCCACAGTGTTGGGTCTAAACACAAAATAAAACAATTCAATGAAGCTGAATCGCTGGAGAAACTGGGGACTTTTGCCAGGACATCAAACAGGATCATAATGAGAATGAATAGCGTTTGTTCGATATTCAAAAGGATTGAACACATGCCAGAGTGCATACCTTGTCTTCCCTCATCATTGGTATAAAGTCCCCCGTCACTGCTGTTGCTGACACTGCTCGTCTCACTGAGGAAAGAATAAGAGAATGAGGGATGGGGACTGCAATTAGAGCTTACCTATTTGTGAAAATATAGCTGAAAGCTTGAAACTACAAACGCAGGGGTGCCTGGGTGAACCATACATTCCGGGCTTTGAATAGTTTTTGGCAAAGAATCATTCTATTTGCCTTTCCACCAACCGGTTGAACTACAGTCTCAGATATACTCATCTTGACAATACAGAGGCACACAAACGGGCTTTCAAACGCAGCGGGAATTAGAAAAAGAAAAGTCAAAACACTAACCACCTGTCACTCATCTCCTCATCTGAGCCCTTTTGCTCCTCCAGCTCCATCTTGTCCTTGGAGCTTTCCACTGGGGAAGAGATGGGGTCTTCACTCTCAACCACCACCCCTTCATCAGCTGCCTCCATTCCCAGTCTGTGAGTCGTCAGCTTCCTCTTCTTCACACGGTTCTTCATTCCCTCTGACCCCATCAGGTCCCCTCCGCATATCTCCATGGCACCCCTGCCCTCACAGGTGCCCAGTCTATGTGGCCTGCCACCGACACGAGCTTTGGGGACGGCCGGGGGCCCCAGCATGATGGAGGAAGGTGGCTCGGGCTCTACCGGCGGGTCCACGGCCATGCGTTTGACCTTACGCCGCCGTCTGAGGCTCCGGGTTCCCTCGGCTGAACCCAGGACTGCCAGGTCATCGGGCCAAAGCGGCCGCTTGCTCCGTCCCAGGTCAGCTGCGTGGGGGGGGCGTCTTTTAGGGCCGAGCTGTTCGTCTGAGTCGCTGTTGTCGCGGGCATGGCTGTTGGTAGCAGAGACACCTCCTGCACTGGCGCGGTAGTCCTGTAAAGAAAAAGTACCATTCCGCTAAATAAAGGCACTTTGAGTCGGTCATGTACTAAGAAATGTACAAATTCAAACAAGATGGTGTCAAAGGTGTCAATTACCGGCATTATTCTGGCAAAAAGAAACAATGCGTCGTTTTTCGACATATTTTCAACCCTTTTCAAAAAAGATTTGAATTCACTTTTGATGTCTTCAGACCATCTCATACGATCAACTCAAGAACGAGGTCTGTTCATTCAGCCTCACCTTGTGCTCCTCCACACTGGACTCTGAACCCTCACTAAGGTGGCCGGTCTCCCATGGCGGATGCGGGTTGTCAGAGCGTCGCTTTCTGCCCCTCCGTTTGCGAGCCTGCCTCTTCAGCAGGCAGCCCACCGCCAGTGCGTGGTCTCCTCCGTCGCCGAAGCCACCACGGGCAGCTTGCTCTGAGCTCTCCTCCAGTGCTGACACCAGATCATGGACCAGTTCATCCATGGTCCGGCGAAAGTGCCTGTGGTCAGGCAAAAGGGGTAGGATTTTATAACATTTCTGGTGGAAACATCAGGACCAAATAAAGCTCACAGGGGTTGTTTTGGAGGTACACACATGCAAATCATTGTCAGGGTTAGATACAAGCATCGTGGTAAACATCAAGTTTAATGTACATGTAAACAGAATCATTAACCTCCCCCATTTGTCTAGACTGTCATGGTTAAAAACGCTATTATTCAAATCTTATTAAATCCATTGGTGTAATGTTGAAGCCAACACGCAATATTCATATTACTAAAGCCTCCCACCTAATCAGAGAGGCTAAGATTTCGTTAGTAAATCGATAGTTTTGGTAGTTATTTTGGTTAGCTTCATTGCTAACGTGCTGTTGCTAGTTAGCTCAGCTGACTCCAGCAAACGTCCAATCAATGTATTTTAAAAGCTCATCAGTTCTGCCCAGTAAATTTGACGCTATGTAAGTGGATTTGTAACGACTGTAGCCGACAAAGCTATAAAGACATACGAACTCTAAGACATTTAAAAGAGCTCTGATGCTAGTTTGTTAGCATGTTACTTCGCTATGTTACCGGCTGATGCACGAGAGTTTAGTGGACGTGAGCAATATGTTACGTCTCAGTGATTTCAAGACCACCTACCAGCTAGTTCCCGCTTTGCCGATGGTTTTCAAATTAGCTGCGCGGAACATTAAAGCCACCGAATGCCAAATACCTTCAGCCAGAAACAACGGACGGACAGTGACACATCGCAGACATCATACTGACACAAAAGCTAACAATCAGTTAGCTAGATCAATATGCGACAAGAGGAGGACAGTGAAGGCAGCAAGAGGTACGATGTTGCCTTCAGGTGCTACAGGAAAGTATAACTTTCCGGTTGTAACGCATACATATAACCATAAATACAAGCAACAACAAACGTTATGTTACGAAGACTTTTAGGTATATTTGGACAATTTCTAAATATATATTATGAGTGTATCAAAGCATTCATTTATGGACAAATTTATTATGATTTTTCAAAGTTACATTAGTGTAAGTGAAGGGAACTTCAAATTACAGTCAGGATGTATTAACCGATAATGAACGCCAGAGGGCGGTGTAGCCTAATCTAGCCTGAACCTGATCAGTGGCCGCTGAACTCCCTCTAGGCCTATCAAAAATATCCCAAATCAGACACATCAGTGATTATAGTGTCATCTTGATTACAGAGGTCACAGGGGCACCAGACAGAGGAATATTACACCCCACAAAACAGGTGTTCTTGTTAAATGGCAGCGCTGGTGCGGTCAGTTAGGGTGGCATAAAGCAACAGGTGTCAAAATCTCCCCATTAAGTAATGGTAAATTTGCACTTTGAAAAAAGACTGTCGGACATGCATCAACGAGGGTTTCAGTCTCACTGTTGTGAGATCATAAAAGTCCACTGACATCCCCTTGGACCAACATTCCATGAAACAACTCAAGCAGGTGTAATCTCCTCAAATGCTTAAGAAGTCAGAGGCTGTGTTGGATGACGCTCGCTCCAGGGCCGACTCGGGTTTCTAACGGGGGGCCCAGGTAAATTTAGCAAGACGCTTCTCACTTGCACTTGACAGTCATACAGTAATGCGAGCGGACAGTGAAGACCAATGCTCTTGAACTTGTGGAGATTCTGTATAGAAGTGACTGCTCAGGGACTGTGCAGACCAGACTCTTGTTGCGTGGATTTAAACACATTATGGAATCATGACATCAACAGGTGATGAAGAGGAGTTAGATGAGGTTGTTCAGCAGTATCCCGCTGACACCACTTGGAGCTGGGTAAAGCGATTTCTTCGCCATCTGCATGAGAGAAACAAACACAATGCATGAATAATTGCTGAAAGAGAATATGAAGTTTGTCTTCCAGCATGTGTTCACTGTTCTAATGCAGATATAAACACACATTAAATATTCACAGCAGCACTCAAAGAGTCCCTTAGCTGGTTTTCAGTATAGTGACATTGTGAGAAGGAGAGGGTGTTTTGAAAATCTTATTTAGAGATTCATAGAAGCATGAGAATGATGATATGGGCTGAGCAACAGCCTGATGGATCAAATTATTTTCTCATCCATTCTGTAGGTAGAAAGATCTCATTTGGTGGGAATTTTAAAGTATTCTAAAACCAAAATGAGTCACTGTAAAAGTGACAACATATTTCTATACATATTCTTTCATTCAGAAAATAATTTAAGATCTCAAAATTCAGAAGATGATTGTATTTTCATTTTCATGTTTAACTTTTATCAAACAACCCTGTTTTGAAACCTAAACTTTATTTAAACAATTCTTCCTTCCCTTTTTTCCCTTCTTTTCACATCCACAAATTAATTTTTAACATCCCAGTTTTGGAACATATTAATTTGAATGCCTGAATCAAAGATTACCGGTTCCAAAGTCTTTTGACTCTCAGACCAGAATAGAACGAGCCAATTAGAGGCCTTGATTGTCAACCAACCATGTCCTGACGTTATGTAACAATTTTGTTTAATGTGACCTTGCTTCGTCAACTCAAATGACACAAAAAGAATAACTAGTGCGTGTTGCACGTGTTTATTTTATGACCCGAGGCAAACAGTGTGTTGTGTAAGATCGAGGGAGTCCCGTAAGATGATTGTCACTGAATAGTTTGCATGTATCAACGTGGAAGAATTTTAAGAAATTATACAAAGTAGCAATCATTTCATGTAGCTTCTTTTTTTGGCTTGCTGCAGTGCAAAGAAACAAATGTATTCGTTGTAGATGATGAAAAAAGATGGACGCAAGGATGACTTGTCTGGGGGACATTACAGTGTAGCTCTCAGCTGGTTTATGAATGATTTAAAAAGGCACAAAAGCCATCACAATCCTCTGAGGACATTTGCTACAATGGCAAATAAGTTTAACCGAATGCCTGTTCTAATTATGTCTGAAAGCACATGATGGGAAGCTAAAGCAACCAGCAGCTTTGGTGTTTTTGCTTTAAACTGTTGGTGTGACTGCAGACAAACCTGTGCATGGTCAGGCATAAAAGTTCAATGTGAAATGGCCACCCACCAATTATTTTGGTTTTTGTATGTATGTATGTTTCTGTGCGTGTGTGTCTCCTCAGAGCTTCAGTACAGACCTCATTCTTAGAAAACTGTCAGTAAAGAACAGCTGTGTGGCTCATATATCCTGGAAAGACCCACTAACACTGACATCAATACTAATGATGGGTCAGTCTGCACAGGCAGAAGCTCCAGTGACCACTGCCATTACCAGAAAATAGTGTACAGGTACAATGTTGTGGTTCCTGCTTAGTGCCTGAAGATTAGCTAGATACATGCTTGATGATAAAGATGGAGGTTTTCCATTAAACAATTTTAACTCATAGCAAGATATTCAATGTAAACAGTGTTAATGAAAAAACACGATAGTTTAGCATGATATAAATTGATTTGTTGCTACAGGAAGATAAATGTTCCCATTCTTCAAATTAGATAAGGTCACTTGAGGTTGTAGGATGTATTCGGCTGAGGTGTTTAATGAGACAAAGTTCCCAGACAAGAAAACGGTAGTGAAACTAGTAAATACAACAACACATGCACTCACAGACATATTGACACACACCGCTGCAACTTTATTCAGTCTTCGTCATTTAGCTTCTGTTTTCTTCAATCTCACAACCAACTCAACACTTCGAAATCAACTGGAGAGACATGTGAAACATTTCCCCATATATTCTTTCTACTGACGGCTGTAAGAGGAATGTTCTTCTTTTCTGGTTTAGACTAGACAACCCCCACCTCACAATGTGGAAAAACAATTAGACCAGGTTAACACACTGCCCCACTCTACATGGGTTGTAAAAGCAGAAAAACAGCATTTCAGGCTGTAGCAGCCTGTAACCCATCCAAAATATGGGGTTATACTGGGAGAGTTATGCCAAAGGACTCTGGGAATCTTTCCATTTAAAACAAACACCCATTGTTGTGTAGCATTAGTAACTTCACATCCGTGATTATAAATGTTTTGTTAACTTAACCTAACTTTAACATGGCATTGTATCTGTTCTGTGTATCTGGGGAGATTGAAATTGTGTGTGCAAAGGAGATGTCTATTCATTATACTGGCGTACAAATTGTGGTTTTCTAATGTAACCTATTGCCATTTCCACCCGCTACCGACTCCTATTCATGCCTTGACTGTCTCACAGAGTCTCTGCTGAAACAGCCAACATGGCATGTGCAGCGAAGCAGCGCTCTGATTGGTCCAAAAGATCACCTCACTGCATCACACTAACTGGGTGACTTCAAACTCTGACGTAGGTCGACTGTTTCCCGCCGTCACGAGCAGCTTCGTAATATTAAATATTGGCACCAGGTAGAGTTGCGCTAATGTGTCGCTCAGGTTTCACGTGTAAAACTCACGTATGTTTTCGTCTTTAACTTGTCGTGTTCTGCGTTCCTTCGCTATTTAACTGTGTTTTGGTGGTTGACACTGACAAACCGTGACCCTACAAAACCCCGAGAAAACAATGCGGCTGTGCAGCCCCCTGTTTACTACCGTGTAAGAGAGGGGCAGCCGAAACTGTGAGTCCGGAATCTCACCAGCTCGACGCTGATTGGCCAAAAGGCGTCCTCTCTGCTGCATATGACGTTATTCCCCGACAGAAGACTCCGCGAGGAGTACAGGGCAGCCAGAGTAAGAAATGGGAGTTAATTAGTCCATTTCGTACTCTACGAGTAGTACACTGAAAGTTAGGACTATATGAAATACACTTAATTTCGGCCGAGAAACGGGAACTATTATATAGCCTCCTTGTTGAGAAAAACGCTGCACACCGTTTGTTGTTTGAGTCCGCCAGCGCATCTCATTTGAACAGGTACGTATCCGTCTGCGTGGGGCTGCACCTGTATCTACGATTTTATGCACATTAATCCTTTCTAATATTATCTTCACATATATGACACGTCTTATTTATCATTGTCATCTTTATTCTATGTTTACCTTTTGTTCCAGCAGTGTGGTAAATAGTGACTCAGCTATTTGGCTACATTCACGTCCCCTGATATTTCTTTACCTTTAAACGGTTATTTGGGAAGCCTTTGCTGTCGGGCACGTGTATTGTCATGTGACTTTTTTAAAAACTATTTTTTTCTACTTCCAGGCTTAGGCTTTCATATTTTGGGATGCTTAAGGATATAAGGGACGTTGACTTTTCTAGGGCTGGTGTCTGTGCTGTAAAACGAGACCTGCTGAACTCGCACTGAGCCCACACTCGGTTATTATCTGCTGAGTGGTCCTGGCAGATTCCTGCTCAAATGTAACTCTTTGAGTAATTATACTAATGGAAATCAAATCACTAGAATCTTTCTGTCTTTTTTCCTCCCACAGTTTATTTATGTAACCCAGAGCTGATGACTTCTTCCTTTTTTTGGGGTTGAATCTCTCACTCAATGTGATCTATTTTTGGATGAAGCTGCCTGGCACCATGCAGCAGCAGCAGTGTTGTAACTTGATGCCTCAGTGGAAAATTAAATAAAAAAATTATTACAGCACAGGACATTTACTCTGGGATGTTTCAGGATGTGACGCTTCCATCTCCCCTTTTAAAATGAGGTCCCCCTGCTCTTCAGCAAGGGCACCGTATTCTCCTGATCATCTGAAAGATGGAGCAGCAGGGTGTTGTGCTGGCATCATTCCATCCTTATTTGCCTGGCGATGTAGTCTTTTACACCCGCTGCCATCAGAATCAAGGTCAACACTTCTTGTCTGTTAATGATCACCATTCAAAAGGAGCCCTGTGAAATTTTCTGTGGCAGAAACCTGAGTAATCTAATCAGCACCTGGTGCCAGCAGTGTTATTTTAAAAAAAGAAACACCATTGATTTGATGGATTTCTACCCCATTCTTTTACTTCACCCCTTAGCTCACAACGCTCAATGAAACTGTTCATATATTTTTCAAATGACATTTAAATCAGAAGCAAAACTGTTAAGCTGTCTGCATACTCTTTTATATTTACGTTTAATTGTGACGTGGCCCCTTACAGTTTGTAATTAGGGGATTGAGAGAGATTTACAGACGGCATTGGGTGAACGATTTGAAGTCGTGACAGGATGCTAAGAAAGTAATTTGTTTGGCGTACAAATAAAACAAACTGACTGAATGTTCTGTATCTCTTACCCAACAACAAAACAGAGGCAATTGATCAGATTCACTCAGCCTGATTACTTCCACCACTCGTTCTAAATCTAGTTTTTGTGTAACAGTATCTTTCCATTTGTCTGGTGTTATTGAGGTCATGATTAGGCTCAGCTCAAAGAAAAGGAGGGATATGACACCAGTGTTACTTGAGAAGGGCACTCTAACTTTGTTTGTTCTCTTGAGTGGTGTTGTCTGGACTTTGCCGACTGCAAAACAGACAGATCGCATTTCAGGCTTATGGTAAAGGAGAGCAGAGGGTGGATAGGTGAAAGCTGCAACAGGTCACACAGTATGTGGGCTATGAGGGCGAGCTGGCTGAACAGGAATCACGCTCCACTCTCTCTGTATCTCCCACCAGAAATTTTAGGTCAAATTGTTGGGATGGTTCATGCCATTCCTAAAAGCCTTGATTTATTGGTTGGGTTCCAGCAAATTGTTTAATTTGCCACTTTTGCCCGCCTTGTTTTTCACCCTGCATTTAATCAGACACGTCAGACCATGAACTACGTGGGACAGCTGGCAGGTCAGGTGTTCGTCCAGGTCAAGGAGCTGTACCGAGGCCTCAACCCAGCGACGCTCTCTGGTTGCATCGATGTCATTGTGGTGAAGCAGCCCGATGGCTCCATGCAGTGCTCGCCCTTCCATGTCCGCTTTGGCAAAATGGGTGTCCTCCGCTCCAGAGAGAAAGTGGTATGTAAACACAGATGGGAGGTCTGTCTTATTGTCTTCAGGTTTGCTTACATCTTTCTCATCCCTCTCCTCTGCAGGTGGATATGGAAATTAACGGAGAACCAGTGGACCTGCATATGAAGCTCGGGGACAACGGGGAGGCTTTCTTTGTGCAAGAAACAAAAAATGATCAGGTAGTGATAAAGACAGTGGATTTTCTGTCTTTTATGACCTTTCCTTGCTTTGTATCAGCAGAACAATATAAGAATGTTTGCAGTTACCTGAAAGTGTCTGGGATTCAATGAAAAACACCTCAGGCTTAAAGTCAAACACACCCTTGTTAAGCATCGAGAAGAAAAATCAAAACTATCCTCCTGCTGCTGTGTAGTCGTAGCAGTTTAAACAAGGTCATGCTGTGTTCAGAGTTGGCATCCTGGAACAGCCTGATTTTTTAAACTTACTTTTTGAACAGCCTTTTTTGTGACTCAGTGAGAGTGATGAAAGAGTTATTTCCCCAACCCCACTTTCTGACCTCAGGCAAATAAAACATGCTTTTAAAAATTCAACATGTGATGTGTTTGGGTTCACTGCTACTGCTTTACACAAGTTTGATCCTCTGGCAGATAAAATCTTCCTCTCCTTTTAAACTTAATTCCAGCTTTCATATGAGGCGTATAGGAACCCGTTACTGCTCAGCTTTAAATGTTTGATGGAAGCTTTTTTTTTACCATGTACTGGAAATTTAGCATTTTCTGTGTTTTCATGTCATTTGATCAAATGTTTTTGCTTTCACCTTCACTCTCCATTCTATTTTTATAAACATGTGTACAACCGAAAATAATAAACAAGTCATAAAGTACTGAGAGTGGTGGCCGACTCTCTCAGGGAGGAGGGGTGATTTACCTTCCTCTGAGTGGTGTCAGATTCTCAAGCTTGGAGGAGACAAGAGGGGAGGAGTGTTGTGCTTCTGACCCCATTTTCTTGGCACAGGAATGGAAAACGTGAGGCAGTATTGTTAGACCACAAATCATATAGATGGCCACAAGTTTTCCTTCTTTTTTCCCTTTTCTTCACATCTGCACACATTTATACTCGAAGCCACTGAGAGCAGGGGATCTTCATAGAAAGCATTTATTTTTCCTAGAAGCAGAGTTTATGAATTCCCAGAACCGAGGAATATTTCTTTTACTGGACTGGCCCCTTTCATCCATTGGCAAGAACGTGGTATGGAACGGGTTTCTAGACCAAAATACAGTTATTGTTCATGGGAATTATTCCAAACTTTCAAACATAACTGTGAAAAGTGTAAATAGATGTACCAACAAAATATTTCCAGGTACAGATGTTTTGTTTGGCAAAATTATTCTCTACACCTTAATGCAAAAGACTCCCCTCACAAACACCATTTTCTACAACAAATCTGATTTGCATCACAATGAAAACATGAAACGTTTGTCTTGTTTTTCTGCTCCAAACAGGAAGTCGTTCCTTCCTACCTGGCCACTTCTCCCATCCTGTCTGATGGGGCCATAATGATGAGCTCCTCTGGGCCACCCCTACAGACTCTGGGCTCCCTGGGTAACAGCGGGGAGAACAGCAGCATGATGATTAAGAAGAGGAGAAAGAGGAGGAGGAAGAGTCGCACGGACAGTGCCAGGAGGGAGGAGAGCGGCGATTACTCGGCAGACGAAGACATGTTTTCCATTGACATCAGCTCCGATGAGGGGACAGAGATGGAGAGCAACAGGTAAGAAACAGTGGAAAGAAGTGTAGCGTGGGCATTAAAAAACACAGATTAAGGGAAACTCTTGGAATATGATGGAGGAATATAATGACAAACATCTGAGGCAAGTACAAGGGAGAGGCTTAGGGAAGAGGAAAATAGCATTAGAGAGTTAGATTTTAATGGAGCTGCAACAGAAAATGAGTCTCTTGGGTAAGGCTGACCAGACCAGCATCTGTAGTGCATGCACTGTGTGCATGTGCAGCAGCTCAGTATGTAGCCTAGGCATGCTGCTCTGTGTCCTCATTCCATTGACTCCAACAGCAGTTGTAAATAGCTGGTGAGTGACAGAGTTATTTTAAATCTCTTTGAAGGATACATTACATCTAAATTCTGACTCATCTCTACTGTATGCCTCTGTAAAGCAACACCAGGGTTATACGTTCCTCAGCGACTGTGCTCTTTCTGGTTTCCGTTTGCCATGTAAACAAATATTTATCTTGCTCTGTAAGAAGGTACAACACCTATACTTATAATATTTTCTATGTTTTAGATTTTAAAGAGTATGTTGGTAATGAAAGTTGTTGCTGAAAATGGTTGAAAGCAATTATGAATCACACATCTCACAACATTAACGCACGCTATGTTTTTGTTTGACTGCTTTGCAGATCTTTGTCTCGGGACGTCTTGAGGGAGGAGACAGGTGCTGGTTTGAGTGGCACTTTGAAACAGGCTGGCATCTATGCCCGCTCAGACGGGGATTGGAGCCCTGCCCATAGGTGATCAGCTCGTACTAACTTTGGACATGTTCTAAAGCATAGAATAGCATCTAATCATTGTCCTAATTTCTCCCCCCTCAGCCCAAGTAGCTCTCGCCCCACCTCTCCTAAGAGTGACTCTGAGCTCCTTAGAAATCCGTCTGATGCAGACAATCAGAACCCAGAAATGCACTGGGCCTGGGGGGAGCTGCCACAGGCTGCTACGGTACAAAAGCAACCACCATCCACACTTTGAAGCATGCAGTGTTGTTTCTTCTGCTCTAAAATCACCTTAATTTTTCCGCCTTTTCAGCCTTCCTTCCTCCCCCAAAAGCCCATCCTGCCGCCTGTTTATCCAGTGTCCATCCCCGTTTCTGAAAGCACACACTTTCGCGTGATTAATCATGCGATGTCCACGGAGCAGTGTGGACAATGCGCTGAAGGGCCAGCGCTCCAGCTGCTAGCACGGGAGGACACTTTAGTCAAAGAGGAAACGGTCGTCACAGTCACAGAGTCAGAAGCCATGGTGATGAGGGCCAACACGGAGGAGACTGGGCCTCACCCAGCCGGGAAAACCGACTCTCCCTCCAAGAAAAAAGGTAAGAATTGCCTTGGTTGTTATTGGTGATTCAGATATATGCTCCTGCTCTCTGTGCACCACAAACCCTGTGGTTGGACAGAAAATGTTTAGCAAAATAGTAGCCACTGCCCAAAATCAGTGGAATGTTTTAGATGATGAGCTCTACATCAACTCAGTTTCAAGCCAAATAAATGTACACCAGCAGATGCACTGAAATCTCTTTTTTGTTCGGTAAAAATGAACGTAAGGCAGATGTCTGAATTAAGCGCTATCATGATCGAGATAATGGTTTTCTGTCCTCTCTCTAATTTAATTTAAACCAAGCAGTCAGTAAATATTTTCGATAATCCAAACAGAAAAATAAACTCTGGAGTGCCCAAGAGTTGATCTGACCCTCGTCTTTTTTCGTCCACAGATAAAAGGAGCCGCCATTTAGGTTCTGATGGAATTTATCTTGATGATATCACAGAGCTGGAGCCCGAGGTGGCAGCTCTATATTTTCCCAAAAGGTACAGAGGGCAACATTCAGATTTTCAGCCTTTGAACGCAGCACTGCAGGTTTCTTCTCACAGACACTTCCACTCCCTCTCACGCAGTGACAGTAGCTCAACCATGAGAAGCATCTCCGACCCGGGTCTCCACAGCACCAGTCTGTCCCCGCAGTCGATGAGCTCAGGAGGAGACAGCGGCGTGGACAGCTACTGTGACCCGATGTCTGACCTGCCATCGATCGCCATCTCTCTGTGTGGGGGGCTGACCGAAAAAAAGGAGATCACTAAAGGTACTGTGTTGTGTTTCATAGATTCACTTCGTACTCAGTTTTGTGAGCACAAACTTGACACACTTGTGTTTTCTCCTTAACAGAGCAGTTTTGTGACAAGATTATCTCCTATCAGCAGTTCACAGCAAACCCATCCATCATCGACGACCCCAACCTCGTTGTAAAAATTGGTTCAAAGTGAGACAATGCTACAAAAAATCACACACCTACACGAAAATGGCTGTTTTGACACAATCTTCAATCCTCGTCAAATATATCTTTTGTACTGCAGTCCTTGAGCTGAAAGAAGTATTTTTAATCTTGTTTAGGTACTATAATTGGAGCACTGCAGCTCCACTTGTGCTGGCCATGCAAGCTTTTCAGAAACCTCTGCCAAAGGTAAAACATGTACCAGTGATGACTCTGTAGAGTGCTTGTTTTATGTGACTATCAAGTTCCCTCCTATGGCCAAAACTGGTACTGCAACCTTTACGGCTGTCAGTCTGCAAATAGTCTAAAAATTGTTTTTCCAACTGCAAAACATCCACTGAATGATTTATTTTCGACTCAAGTAAAATATGATCTTCCCCTTTGTTCTCCTCCCCTCTTTTTATCACTTCCTCCTCCTCTGCTGCATTCATTCATTAGTCATCCTGCCTCAGTTACATCCAGTCATCCTTCGAGTTCCTCCTCTGTTGTCTGTCTAGTTTCCTGGGCTACAGCTCTGTATGTCAGAGAAGACAACTAAACACTCTTTAGAGTCTCTGACTATCCCATTTTCTCACCCCAAGCCCCATTCTTCAGCCTTAATTGTCCTCTCTTTTCTTTAAATATCATTAATATTCTTTAACTCTGCAATTTTATTTTCCCTACCCCAGACAGAGAGACACGTTTGATTTACTGTTGTTTGATTTATGGTCTGCTTTGGCTTAAGTTTTTTAAGTTTTGTTTATGGTGTTGTGGATGTTATGGTTGTGCGTGGTCCTCTTTAGGCTGCCGTGGAGAACATAATGAAGGAGAAGATGCCCAAAAAAGGAGGGAGGTGGTGGTTCTCCTGGAGGGGCAGAAACAGCAACAAATCGGTGCGGCCCTTTGCATGCACTGTGGTCACTACATTTTAAATCTTTTTGCCATGACTCATTAAAAAAGAATTACACTGCTATTGTAGGATTCTGCTGCTGAGCGTGGAGCCTGTGGCTCTGATGAGCAGGTTGGGAACATAAAAGGCAGGTAAGAACAAATTTTACTCGAAAAATTACCCCCAAATCATTCCTTTGTATGTATATTTAAAAGTGTCACGGTTGGTCATCTGTCTGATGGCAGACATAAAGAAGAATCATCATCCAGTGATGAAGATCATATGGCAGCCAAGCAGAGCGCTCCCATCATCCAGTCAGAGCCTGGACTCTCATCAGGAGGCGTGTCTTATAAGAAGACACTCCGCCTGACCTCGGAGCAGCTGGTGAGGACACAAATTCTGACTAAAAGTTTGTCCTCCATGGTATTTGTTTAATGAGTTGTTTCTTATTCATTTTCACATCCTTTCCCTTCCTTACTCTCCAACGCATAGCTGTCTCTTCAGCTGCAGGACGGTCCAAATGATGTCATCTTTAGTGTGACCACTCAGTACCAGGGAACCTGTCGCTGTCAGGGAACCATCTACCTGTGGAACTGGGACGACAAGATAATTATCTCAGACATAGATGGAACCATTACCAGGTGTGTGTCTTTGACCCATACAGCCCATCTCTGGTAGTGCATAAGCACCCAAGGAAGAGGCAACTTGAACATCTTTAAAGGCGTCATAGAGGGGCAACATATACTTATTGGAGAACACCTTATATGTTTCAGTAACATGTTGATAAACCACACTACATTTATGACAACAGAATGGCTGCATGGCCTAAGTGGCTTTTTAATAGCTCTGAGGTTTTTAATATAACGAAAAAAGCATTTAATTTCCTCAATCTAAACTTTATGTTACACAGTAAGATTCTGCTTACTGAAACCCGTTCCTTCATATGTTCCAGACTCACTGGCTTGTGTTTGTTTCCAGGTCCGACACACTGGGTCACATCCTGCCCACACTGGGAAAGGACTGGACACATCAGGGCATTGCACAGCTCTACCATAAAGTCAGCCAGTAAGTCCTAGTTTGTTAATGCCCCACTGTGCAACTTGCTTATCTGAGCAGTGGTGTAAAATGATTTCACATACCCCATGACTGTGATGATTTCTGCTGTATAGTAATCTCTCTATGTCTTCATCAGAAATGGGTACAAGTTCCTGTATTGCTCAGCTCGAGCCATCGGCATGGCTGACATGACCAGAGGTTACCTCAACTGGGTCAATGAGAGAGGCACCATGCTTCCCATGGGCCCCGTCCTTCTGAGCCCAAGCAGCTTATTTTCAGCTCTGCACAGGTATGTCAGCTCCACAAATGCAAGCGTGTGTTTTTTCTAGCCACTCTTCTGTAGTGACGAACCTGTGAGGAAAAGCAAGAGAAACTGCCCTGACACGGGTTGTTCTGGGTTTTACAGGGAAGTGATTGAGAAGAAGCCAGAGAAGTTTAAGGTGGAATGTCTGACTGATATTAAGAACCTCTTCTACCCCAACATGCAGCCTTTCTACGCAGCCTTTGGAAACAGGCCAACGGTACACACACTCACACACACACACGCTCACGTCCTCACATTGTGTATGCGCTATAAATATTTTTAAAGAACAGATAACTGGAATATTGTATCCCTTTCTCTCTCTTTAATTTGCAGGATGTTTATTCCTATAAAGAAGTAGGAGTGCCTCTGAACAGGATTTTTACGGTAAACCCTAAGGGGGAGCTGGTTCAGGAGCACGCCAAGACCAACATCTCATCGTAAGTGGTGGACGCAGTTTGGATGATCTCAGCCATCGTTCTGAGGGAATCCATTTGACCCCGTTCACTCACATTTAGCTCCTTCTTCTCTTTAGTTATGTGCGTCTGGGTGAGGTGGTGGACCACGTTTTTCCCTCCTCCTCTTCGGACTTCCCCTGCTCGGACACCTACAGCCACTTCACATTCTGGAGGGAGCAGCTCCCCCAGGTGGCCCATCAGGAAACTGCACCCCCTCAAACTTCCAGCCCCAGCAGCTGACTAATTCCAGTGACCTGCTGAGCCTCCCCTGGCAGAAACAGATGTAGCAGCAGTTTGGACACTGATGATAAAATGTTACTGTAATATTTTATAGGCTAAGGAGCACTTTTCTTTGTGCGCACTAGAATCAAGCTAAAGGGACAATCTGAGGTGGATGGTCTAAAGGCACAAAATGAATACAGATGCACTATTATCCAGGGATGTGATGTGTATATATAGGGAAATCATGTTATTTATTTAGGCAGCTTGGCACAAATTCCTATTTTTGAAGGAGTGTTCATGTCATCTCATCAGCTAGACCACCTGTGTATCCAGACAGTTGCATTTAGAGGCATCTGTTCACCGGAGCTCTCCAACAAATTACTCAACCTGTGCCAAACACTGAATGTTGATTTATTTTCTTACTCCAAAGCCTTCCCTTCATGATTTAGACAGCGTGGAAACACGGCTTTGCGCAGGCTAGTGTGAATTTACAGTAGTATACTTGAATGTATGTGTGACTGGTGCTGTCTAAAGGAAATCAGTCATCAGAAATCAGTATTAGTAATGAAATAAACTTGTTCCAGAGAGCACAGTGAGAAAACAGACCTGTAGGTAGCTTTATTAGTGGGTTTGAAATGAATTGTTGAAACATTTTTACTGATTTTTTTCCAAACTGTAGTGAGTATACGCTTAGAAGAGGTGATTAAATTATTTGTGATTTGCTTCATATATATTATGTTATCTATTCAGTTACAGTTGTAGAAGACATTTATCAGACAGTGATTTATTCTGGGTAGCATGCGAGTGGTACAATAGTGCACAGAACTGATAGCAATGTTTGACCAGGTTTCGATGTAGCAAACACTTATTAAAGTATATTCATTTTCTTACAGTACCGCAAACAGTATGATGTAATTTAAAGTGTGTAAGCAGTAAACAATAGTGTTTAACCTATAGTGTAGTGTATGAGGGAGGATGTGTGGTTCCATAAACATGGTAATATTCTTTCCATGAAAGAGCTAAAACAGCTTGAAAGCTATTATTTTTCTTCCTCAACTGTGAAGATGACCTGATAACTGCTTTTCTTTTGTGAATCGATCATTGTTAAAGTAGTGACATCAAACTCAGTAAAGAAATGACTTTAGTATTTGGCAGAGTGTGTGTGTGTTTTTTGCATTTTTCTGTCTCACTTGCATTACTCTTCAGAACAAAAGCAGCCACCCAGATCCACAGGACCTCTGGACGGACCTAATGTTATACTGAAAGAACATCAGCACTGGCAAATGTTTCCTTATTTCAACACAATAAATATCCCAAAATGTTCCCAGCTCTCGTGACTCAGGGTTTTAGCCCTCAACTGTCGTCTGGGTGGATGGAAAGGTTCTGGGTGTCCAGAAATAACATTACCAGCTGTCAAAAATACCTGAAACTGTGTTTGTGTGTTTATTGTTTCAACTACAGGTTAGATTTCACCCACTGAAATAACAATAACAAATAACAATAAAATATGTGTTAAACTAACCAGGTTACCTGTTTATACTGTGTCTGAATATAAACCTCTCCCTTTTGTAAACATCAGATTTATTAATTTATTCTAAATTTCATGCCTAATTCATTTTGCTCCCAAGAGGATCTTTTACAGTGGTTTTGCGGGGGTTACTAGAGGGCGCGGAGCGGAACACGAGGAGGAGGAGTTTCCAAAAGCCAGACGCGCCATTGGTCGGCTCTGCAGGTTGCAGCTCTGCACACAGGCTCACTCACAGAGCTTTTCGTGCACAGACTTAGAAAAGAAAAAGAAAGCTCAAGAAAACGAAAGCCGATGAGTGCGACCCATTCTAGAAGTCGGACTTGTTTTTTTATGAAGAATGACGAACGCGGTAAGTTCTCGTGTTTTCATGCACTTGTTGCATCCCGTTAGTCCGCCGCGGCTCGGCTCGGCTCGGCTCGTCCAAACGGCTCACAACTTCTGTTGGAGTTAAACCGAGATGACGGTTTTGGGTCTGAATAATTCAGCGGGGCTCACAGTGGAGCTGGGGTCGCCTTAAGCCGGGGGGACTTTGGCCTACAAGCATTTTCTCAGTTTCTAAGTACTACTAAGTTAATGCTGAGCAATTAGGGTCATAGTTCAAAAGAGAACCAACAGAATGACCTGGAGATATGACACAGAGACAACCTTATCAAATGTTGCCTAATATGAATATGCACTGATATGTATAAATATGTGTGTGTGTGTGTGTGTGTGTGTGGCATATTTCTGAAAATTATTCGACTGAAAGTACAGTCTTCCAACTCTAAGCCCTCCAAATCCTCTCTGCCTGTGCCCATGTGATCATATTTTTCTTTATGGATACTTTTTTATAATGGATCCTGCTCTTTTGTGTACTGAAGATGTCAGACTTCAGCTTCACCAGTTCTGTTTTTCCCTCTCAGTATAAAGATTTAGGTGGAGCCGGTCTGGAGGATGAGGAGTTTCTGGACATATTGGAGGAGAGAAGGCAGTCCAGTGATCTGGGTTTTGCCTTCAGGACCTTTAACCCCAGTCCGTACAATGCCGCCCCCCCCAGCTCCACGGCTGAGCTCAACCGGGCCGTCCTGGAGTCCCAGTATCTGCGCTACATGGTCAAAGAGGTGCGGCTGTGTCATTTTGAGAAGACGTAGCACGGGCATCCAAATTTACAGCACGTATTGAGGCTCGTTCTCCACCTTCTCTCTCAGATAGCCACAGAAACCGGGTCGCCTGTGGAGCAGGTGAGGGAAGAGGCGTGCGGGATACTGAACGAAATGTCTCAAAACCTCCAGCTGGGGTTTATCAGGCTGATGAGCTACACACTCAGCAAGGTGTTCAAGAGACTCTTCAGCAGTATATTTGTCAACATGGAGGGACTCAACATGGTCAGTCCGAGTACATCTTTCAGTATTTTAATATTTACATCTAATAACCACAAAAATTAATTCAGCTACAACAAGCTGCCCAGGAGTGTCCGGTGATCCTGATGCCCAATCACCGGAGCTACGTGGACTTCCTGGTTATCTCCTACATCCTGTACAGCTACGACATTCCGATCCCTGTCATTGCTGCTGGAATTCGCAAGTATCTATTTGAATTCTGAAAAATTGGCGTTCCGAGAAACATCGAAATGATGGTAATCGTCTCTTCTCTTCTCTTCATGTTGTCTCTCTCTTTTGCGGCTGTGAAGCTCTGGCAGGGATGAAGATCGTGGGGGAGATTCTGCGTCGCTCTGGGGCCTTTTTTATCCGACGCGCCATCGGCTCCGACAAACTCTACTGGGCCGTGCTGTCGGAATACGTCCGAATGATTGTCAGAGTAAGGCGCCCTCTTCTTACAGGGGTTCATGGATGTGGCAGCGACATATTCTTTACAATCTTTCTACGTCACAATCCATCTTTTACCGGCTCTGCTGCTGTCTCCAAATGGAGAGTGGCAGTCTAACAGCTTATGTCTCATGCAGAGGGGGTTTGCTCCTCTGGAGTTTTATGTGGAGGGTTTCAGAAGTCGCACGCTGAAGTCTCTCATCCCAAAGTTTGGTAAGTGTCCATTGGCAGTTTGCTCGTTATTTTAGGTTACTTTTTTATTTTATTTTAGAGGAAATCTCACTGGCTAAGGAGGGTTTGGACCTATGTTGCTCTTATTTTACAGCAGATGAGCAGGACCATCCGCCTCCAATTCAGCGACCCAGTTATTATTTTAGGTTGGATACAATTTGTCCGGTTGTTCTGCTCTATTATTGTTTAACAATCCGTAGTGTGTCTGATTTGCTTATCTAACACACCAACAGCCATCGCACATCCCCACAGTAAGCTCGCAGTGGTCAGCAGAGGGACAGCTGTCGCCCTCGTGGGTTATTAATCAGAAAGAAGAATAGAAACTTTAGGGGTTTAATGGGAAACCAGCAGACAGCACTTCTCTACTGTGCCATGACTGCGGACCGCATAGTTACGTGCTCATAAATGTGTCTGCAGGTATGATGCACATGGTGCTGGAGCCCTTCTTTAAAGGTGAAGTGTATGACATTGCCCTGGTGCCCATCAGCATCAGCTATGAGCGAGTGCTGGAAGAGTCCCTGCTTGCACATGAGTTGCTGGGAGTCCCCAAGCCCAGAGAAAGCACCATGGTGGGTTCTGCTAGCATTACCTCATCAGAAATGTGTAGCTAAGCCTGACTGTTTAAAAGCATTCTACATGTGGTTCTAGTGTTAGAAACAATCTCATAATTGCTCGCAGTCTTTTTTTTTTTTTTGTTGCAAAATCTGTAACAAATGAATCAAACGTTTTAGAAATATTTTCAAATGAATTGGAAAACTGTCAAAAACTTGTGTCAAGGAAAAGCCCCATCTTTCAAGATGTGATACATTTTTACAGTGTTCTTATTTGATGTCGGCCTCTTTTACTTATTGCCTCTTTGTGTCTTTACAATTCAGCAAGATTAGAAAATACAGTTCAGCTTTAAAGATACTGAAATGTTCCTGTACAGTTGTAAAAACAGAGTCCCTGTGCATGATATGTATTGTTTGGGTTCCCTGACAATAGACGCCATCACGGTCAACAGCTCTGACGCTCGTGTCCCCTCTCCGCAGGGCCTGCTGAAGGCCAGCAGAGTTCTGAAGGACAATTATGGCTGCATGCACGTGAACTTTGGCCGTCCCTTGTCGGTCAGGCAGCTCTGTGAGGGCAAGATAAATCGCAGCCAGTACAACCTCATACCCAGGTGGGGAAGAATCAACAACACTTTGCATGCGCCACAAAAAGAGACTAACTTTCTAAGAGCTTTAACCCTACACATTTATCTACTCAGTAGTATAAATTGGATAAGTGTCTTCTGTGTTGTTCTGATACCTTTTCTCTGACGCGGATTTCTGGAGAAACATAAATAAGCTCTTAGTTTGAAGCATCAGCTACAGCTCTATTGTCTCTGATGTTTTGGCTCGACTGCTTCTTTCTGCTTCCACTCCCCCCTCTAACCCCTTATTTCTTCTGACAGAGATCTCCCTCAGAAGCCCACTGCGGAGGCCCAGGCCTGCGTGAGCTGGCTGGCTCATTTGATTGTGCGAGTTCAAGAGGAGGGCTCTCTGATCAGCCCCTGGTCTCTGATGGCCTCCCTGTTGCTCCAGGTTCCAGCCACAGTCTTGGCACAGGAGGGCCTGCTTTGGGATCAACTTACAGAAAGAATCCTCTGGCTCAGGAAGCTGGTGCTGGACTTTGGGGGTCGTCTGAACTGGCCTGGTGGGTGGTAATAGATTTCATACATTTGAAGGCCATTGGTAATTTTCTTTTTTAAGTAAGTTCTCATCAAAATTGGGGGGATTTCTGGGTCTGACAACGGTCTGGGACTTCCACCGCCTTTGAATGACCAGTAGGTGGCACTTGCTGTTTGCTTTGGAAGAGAGAGCAGGCAAAGTAAATGCAGCTGAGCTTGTCTGTCCAGACAGTGTCAGGAAGCTAAAGGCTAATTTGCCACGCTCTGAGGTAGGTCAGACAGATTAGGTGAATGGAAGTTGGCACATGTGTTCACATTCATTTAGCAGATGTCCATTGGATTAATGCACTTTAAGTTACTTACCTTAAGAGGAACCCGCTGAACTGTCTCACATCACACACACGTATCCACACACACGCGCGGGCGGGCCTGCTGTGAAGACACAAGCACACACTAGCCTCTCAATATCAAACCCTCTTCTCAAAGAGGAGCTGCCGATGGCTGTTTTGCAGAAGGTGTCCCCGAGTCGGAGGTGATGTCGTCCACGGCGGCCCTCCACCGCTCCGTCGTTCGCCGCAGAGCGGGGCGTGTCCACCTGGTCGAGGACGACCAGCCCGAGAGGAAGCACCCGGGCAGCCCCGAGGAGGCTGTGATGAGGACGGCATCCGCAGCTCTGATGCTGGCGTCCTACAGGAATCAGGCCCTGCACGTCTTTGTGCGTCCGGCCCTGCTGGCTACTGCCATGCGCCTCACAAAAAGCCGGCAGAAAGGTGAGGGCCTGTCCCCGCGTGGGCTCCGGTGTCCCGGGCGCTGATGCCTGTGTGTTTTTTTTTTTATTTTTTTTTTTTATGGTTGCTTCACTGGGATCAACTGTTCTGTTCACAGGTGAGCTCCTCTCCTTGTTCTGCTTCCTACAGGACGTTTTCTCCAACGAATTCATCTTCATCCCTGACAGGTCATCTCAGGTAACGGCTTCGTAACCGAGCCACCAGATCGCAATTTTATGTGGATCTGTTTTTTGCCACGGTGTGGAGTAATAAGAACTATCCCTGTACTCTATGTTGTGCCTCTGTCAAGTAGGACTTTGAGGAGGCGTGCTGCCTCCTGAAGAAGTGTGGAGCCGTTTGCATCAGCGAAGAGGAGCTGACTGTTTCGGACACAGGAGTGGAGGTGTTATCCTTCCTTCAGGAACTGATGAAACCCTTCATAGACTCTTATCAGGTGCTCTAACTTCTGCCTCCGGCCTAATCATATCACATCATATCATGTTTTGATGTTAAATGTTTGGCCTGAATGTGTCAGTGGGGCTTCTGTATGAGATAAATGGTTGTGATTGGGCCATTGTGGGAAGGATGGGGCATAGAGGTGGGCATGAGAGGTCGATTTTAAAGAGGCCACCACAATTTCCAGCTGTTGTTCAGCAGAATAGGAGGTTTAATTGACTGGTCTTATGTTCAGCTGATGCTCAGATACCTCTGTGAGGAAGGAGATCCTGTTTTCTCAGAGAAAGAGTTCCTGCCTGCTGTGCGAAACCTGGCCACAAAGCTCATCCTCTCAGGTGAAACAGAAAGTGGTTAAAAGGATTTCCAGCCTGTCCGGCCACCTCCAGCAGGCAAGAACTTATTCCTGTGTGTTGGCTTTCTTTTTTTTTTGGCCACTGCAGGTGAACTCCACACTTACGAAGCCCTCTCATCGGACACCCAGAAGAACGTTTTGGCGGCGCTGCGGAGAATGGAGGCTTTGACAAAGCTGAGCTCTGACAGTAAATACAGAGTGAACAAAGCATCTGTGAGAAGAAGTGAAGAGATCCTCTGTAAGTTCCCAGAAAACCTCTTTTTAGATATTTCAATGCATTGCTTTATGCTTTTTGTCTCTGCTTTTGTTGACCATTCCAATTGTGTTTCCTTTGTTTAGCTGGAAAAATCCCTCCGCAAAATCTCCAGGCCACGCCCGACGCCAGGCTGTAGTCTCAGCCGGGGCAGATCCGTCCACAAGTGGTGCCTCGCAGTCAGGTTTTCTCCTCTTAGAGGAACCTATCTCGGCCTTTTCTTCATTGTTTTTGTCCCTCTGTTCTTTGGCAACTGTTCTGCCTTCACTGAGCCACCTCGATTCTTATAGGTCATTGGTCAGATTTAATCGGACTTTCTACCACTCGTGCACGTTGGCTAGCTTTGTGCCCTGGCTCTCCCAGCTCAGAGAGCTAAGGCGTAAAGCTAAACCACCCTGACATGGTGACCTGAATCTGGCAGCGTTACTTGTTTTTTTTGTTATTGGCTTAGTGAAAATGGGTACATAAACAAGAAGATAGTACCACTGAAGGACAGCATTTTTTAAAGAACATAAAAAAAAACTTGGAAACATAAAGAGGTATAAATAAAAGATACAGGTAAAGAAGGTGGAAATAGGTTAACTGTATGGTCACTATGGATGCCATAGATACTTATTTTTCTAACTTAATCTTTTAACAAAATATAGATTTGTATGAAGAAATTCAGGAACAGCTATTTTTTTCTGTTAATCAAAACATTTTCAAGTTATTTCTTAATTCCATACATTTTTTCAAATATCAAAGCTGAAATAATACTGGAAAGAATTAACATACAATAGCAGGAAAAATGAATTAAGTGCATCTTTTTGGAATTCAGAATCAAACATTGGAAGACTTTTATATACATAGTATTTTTTACTTGTGTGTAAGTAAGTAAAAGAAAAGGTTGAGGAAAACATACATTCTAATTATTCTTCCCTTGTCTTTCTATTTGGACATTTTTCTTTACATACATTTGTTTAGACCTCTTTCTTTCCATATTTGTTTAGTTCTTTTTCTGTTTTTATTTTTGACCCACTGACCTTAATATGATGAAACAATAGCTGATTAATGTGATTACCTCTAACTACTGTTTTAAATGGATTTGATCCTTTTCAAGGTTTGTGTTAGATTTGTTGTTGATTCTGTGAATGAACATGCCTGCACTTTAAAGACACTTGATCCCTTGCAGCTGAAATGAGCAAAAACTGAATTATGGCCCTTGGGTTGTTCATGAATGTTGCAATCCAGAGTTTAAAAAACATTAAATGGCATGAATGATGTCACATTTTGGTTGAGACTTTTTTTATTCTTTTTTATTTCTTTACATTTCAATAAATGCAAAACAGATGTAAGAAAACCAAGGCTGGATCGTTTTACCTTTACGGTGTTTAAATACATTTTTCTTCGATTTCAGTTGGTTCTATTTCCCTCAACAGAGTAAAACCAGAGGTAAAAGTTCAGCCTCTTGTCAGATCTGCCCCCCAATCAGCTGAACCTCTATCCCGTCAGCAGTCAGAAGAAGGCCTCTCATGTGCCAGTTGACCGTGGGTTAGGGTTAGTCTGGTGGACGGCGCCTATCTGTACACGGGAGGCACGTCGACCTTGATGCGTAGCGCGCTGACGGGGTCCTGGCAGAAAACCGAGATGTACTCCAGCACTTTGGAGTTCAGCTTTTTCTCGCTCTCCTTGGCTCGGAGCCTCTCTTTGTCCCATCGCTCCTTCTCGCCGTTCATCTGGGAGAAGAGGTTGACCTGGATGGTGCGCAGCGTGGCCGCCAGGACGTAGAAGCCCCCCTGCAGCATGTGGCTGAAGGCGGCGCCCACGCTGAGCGCCGCGCCCATCAGGTTGGGCACCGTCTCGCACACCACGCACACGCCCTCCAGGAAGTGCAGCGTGCTCTTCTTGGCCAGCGGCTGGCCCGGGCTGCTGTAGCCGGGCGGGGGCGGGCTCTGCTGGGCATGGCTGAACAGGTGCCGCGCGCAGTCGAAGAAGTGCGAGGCGGCCCGGCGGAGCGGGAGCAGGGCCAGGTACAAGTGGCAAGCGGCTTTGGTCAGGGCGTGGAAGAGCAGCCGCAGCTCAAGCACGGCATTGCCTGGAGATAAGACAGTTACCGGGTCAGCTGGAGACCGGTTTAACACCCTGGCTAATGTCACAAACTATTACAAAAGGTGTCTGCCACTGGATTAAAGTCCGCTCCACAGCTATACGTGGGCGGCAGGGCAGTCCAGCACGCAAGCAGACCCCCCTGATTTAGTTTGCACGATATACAAAATAAATGAACAGAAACAAAAAAACACAGGCCCATGTTTGCGATTGGAGTTTAAACTCTGCCACAAGGTTTTGTAACATTCCCACAAATGATAAAGACCAATATGAGCAGGAACTAGTCACGAGACACATTAGGTTGTCTAATCTCTTAAGATTTAGTTACTGTTCCAGTCAGTCTTCCAAGAGGATGACGTGTTTTACTACACCTATTCCTGTCATCTTGATTTTGTTCACGTGCCCTTATCTAGTTCCTGGACCCATATTTCCCCGTCTGCTTTCCATCTTCTCAAAATGTCGAGCCACTTCCCAAGAACTACGGTCCTCTTTACTTCACATGTAATGACAAACAACACAAGCTGGTTCTAAGTCAATCGGAACAAAAACTGAACAAGTTGATTTTTCTTTTGTTGGAAAAATCCCAGAAACGCTTCCAAAACTCCACGAATGCCTTATTCTTACCGTCTATAAAGCAGAAAATCCACAGCAGCGCAATACACGCAGCCAGCGACGTCCACCAGTCCATGAGGCCTCCCCCCTGTCCCGTCCCGGACCCTGCAGCGAACAGAAGGACAGCTGAGAAGATGAGCTATGACCTGGCCCAGCCCTGCCCCGCCCGCCTGCCTGCACGCAGCTAATACCCAAACATCACACCTACTCGGTTCTTCCGAAGGTGTCCCAGCAGTCACCTTAGAGCACCTCAGCTGTCGGTAGGCTCATTAGTACCAAGCCTCAGGCCACAGCTCCACCGCTCCTTATTACCCACAGAGGCTGAGGCCCTGGCCTTGGCCTTGGTCCAACAGCTTTTTTATTTACTCCTAGTCTATGCAGACTTAAAGTTGGCAAGCTTAAACGTTTCTGTGTTTAAATGCATTTAACCTAACCAACAGTTTCCATGCTTGTGGTTGTCTAAGCAAAGAATTGGTGTCAGTGTCTGCAGGGAAATCTAAAAGATGAGGCATTACTATTCCCCCAGGTACCGTTATGCACTCTCTCAAACACTAAAAACGATGCCACATAGTCGATCATACTCACACAAATACTGCCATATCATCACAGATGTACAATAAATCTATCTATTATTAGTCTGTCAAATATAAGCTGAGTGAATGTAAGTGACAGTGATGTCTGTGAGACAGCTTGATTGAAACTTTTGGCAATTTAATTGAACAGGATTAAGTTCTCAGATTCTGATGGGTTACCTTTGATGAGGAAACAGGAACCTTCCAACCTGGGACAACCAGAATGCCTTTTTTTGTAATGGTGGAATTCTGGAATTTAAGAGATCTAATTGTTTAATTGCTACTGATCCTAAACTAAGGCGTGTACATTTCTAACCCTTGTGTGGCCTCCTGGGGTCACTCATACCTCGGTTTCACTGAATCCGGGGTATGAGTGACCCCAGGGCGCACAATGTTGCTACTTCTTTCCAATTGTTGACTCACTGAGAGAAGCAAAAATTGTCAGTGTATATCCAGTAAGCTCAAAGATGTAGTTGTCCACCATGATGCTTTTATCTCCGTCTTCTTCAGTTTCCCTCACGATGCTTTGAACACACCTCAAGGCATCACTGACAAAAATCAATGCTTTCTCCTGTGGCCTGTGCAGCAGATATTTTTCCGTTGTTTGAAACTTTGCTGTGTTTCTTACAGGTTATTTATGTTGATACTTCCAAGTTTTCGTTTGACTTTTCCCTGTGCTTATTTTCTACAGTGATTTTTAGTGTACCCCCCCCCCCAAGAATCTCTGTTTCTTATCTAATAAATATTATTTTTCGATTAAGAGATGCTTGTTTTTTCCCAGGTCAAGTGTCTGCACGTGGGTCCACGCTCCACCACACATAACACACATATCTCCGTGTTTAGGCAGCAGTTTGAGCAGTTACAGAACATACAAAAAAAGAAATTTAGAGCAAATAATAAAACAAACGGTTAGAACATGTTTAACCTGTCATAACTCATAGGTATTTAGACATTAGCAAATAAAATAAAAAATAAAGTTAATCGTTGTTCCATTTGTTGTGTTTTTTCAGTTTAATTAAGGACGTTTCCTGGTGTCGCGTGCTGAGCTGCGCGTGAGACCCGGCAGCTTATTCGTTCTCTTTGCGGCTCGCCTGTGCGGGCGTCAAGGCAACAGCAACCCTCCAGACGTTAGGACACCTGGGGGAAGGGGAGGAGAAGGGGCCTCCCACCTTCTATCACGGTAAGTTACTGCTTTTATTGAAAACTAAAGCCAGTCTTTCAGATGTTAACTGTACAAAAGTCCCCACGTGAGCAATTCATCCGGAATCAACAAAACCCAATATTGACATGCACTTCACAAGCTCGCCTTTAATCTAACTATCTTTAAATGAGCAGAATTGCGCTACCGTTATAATTTCTTTTTTTTTTGTTGCCAAACTCTTGGTCTAACATATAAAGTCGAGTCTAATTCTACTTCTGTCGCCATTCGACAATCTTTTATTCAGTAGACGTACATTATCACTAATGTTTCCAATGTGTGTTTGTTTTTTCACACGCAGAAATGGGTGACGTGAGGAAGAACAGTCCCAGAGCTGAGATCAGCAGCCACGTGCCTTCTCCTGCCTGCCTGTTGAAATTAGAGGTAAGAAACATGGGGATGAATTCAGAGTGCTGTATGAAAAATGCTAGTTTACGGATCCTGTCAACAGCCCTGCAAAGTGTCCACAATGTGGCCCTCTGTTGGGCCAAATAAAAAATGCAGACACTTTGTCATCACTGTCAGTAGTTGAAAACAGAAAAATATGTACTTGGAAAAAATTGAAATCAAGAACACAACAGTTTGAAAACACATCTGACAACATGTAGTAAAAGAACACTGATGGACTTTCCTAAACGGCACAAATTTTCAGTACACGAATAGACTTATTTGTCATTTGAAGTGTTTTTATCCCATAAATTTGTTCCTTGACTTCGATATCTTTTGTGATAAAGAGATTTATTGTTTTTTTTGTAATGTATTTTACCTCTTGTCACAACACGTAAAAGCACCACGCAGTCTGCAGTGTTCTCAACTCACAGAAAGAGTGAGACTATGGACTCCTTCCAACTAATTATTTATCAGAGGTCTTTTCATGTCAATGTGGCTGTGTGGGTGCAGGGTGACTTCTTTGTCAAATTTGAGTAATATCTGAGTGTATGATGCCGGAATCTCAGGATCAAAGTGAAAAGAAATAGAAATGTATCGGCCTGTTGAGACACTTTGCAGCAAATGTTATTCTGATAATATAGAGACCAGCAGAAAAAAAAACTAATGGATCAGGTTGGATGCACATTAATACATTGAGACCTGAGGCAGCCTCTAGTAAGCAGTTCAGCCATTCTAATTTACTCAATGTCCAAACTTGTTATTGTTATTTTTTGTACGCTTTGTCGTGCTGGTTGCAGTCTAGTATTTGAAAAAGGAGCCTTCTGTGCAGTGAGATGCAAATTCTGCGGCATGTATATGTGCAACAATTAGAAGCTGCTCAGGTTTCCAGGCGGCAACAGGATCTGCCGCAAACATGATGATGTCTGGTCTCTGTGAACAGACCTAGATTTACAAGAGCTCACCGTCAAGTTTTCTAATAGGAGTAAAAAAAAACAACAACAACCTTGATGTACAAGTTCAGCCATTTCTTCTAATCAAACATGATGTTGGCAGACCCATCTGTTCATTAATGGTCTAATTTCTCGCGTAATGAAACATGCTTTAAAATAGCTACAAATAGAAGTGCTGAGTTCCCACTGTCCCCCTGTTTCAGAAGCACACGGCTGATTTCAAAGATGTCATAAAGAGCAGAAAGAGTGTGTCTCAGCCAAGAGGGAGGATGTGGAGCGCTCATCCATGTGTGCGACCAGGGAAGAGGAACAAGGCCTCCTCACCTTGTTGGCAGAAGCAGGACTTGGAACACAGCAGGCTCTTTCACACCTCCCTCAGACAACTGCAGGTACTACGTTCTCCTGAGCTCAGTCTGTACCCGCGTTAAAAGATGAGGTGTTTTCTTACGCTCAGCATTATTATGTAGGCTAAGCTGGAGGCTGAAAGTCAGCAAGCACAAGAAATGATCCATCATTTACAGGACACAGAAAATGGTTTAATGAAGGTAAGACCTGGCTGTGTTTCTGAAACCTGACACCGCAGTCATCCTGTTTTTATTCGGAGTGTTTGCTCATCTCACTCATGTTCACTGACCCATGTCTTATTGAGGAGTTGGAGCTTTTTCTGCGTCAGCGTGAAGAGGTGGGGCTGAGGAGGCGGGAGCTTCTCCACAAGCACTGGACTGAGCGGGTGTGGTTCCCCCTCCAGAAGACAGTGGAGGAACATGCGTCCAGCCGTAGTCCAGCTGAGGCCAAAAGACTGCGGAACTACTACAGCCACTACCTACATCACTGTGATTCTAAGGTGAGGCGTGAGTCTGTGTTTTTGCAAAGTGAACTATGTTGTTGTAGGTAGATGTGTGTTAATCTATCAGCTCAGTCTAACCAGGGTAACATCTTTCATTTCAACAGGGTTATATCTTTCTAGAAACCTACGATCCCAGAGAATACAATCCTTTCCTTCTCAAAAAGCCTCCCTACCTCAAGGTGGTATTTACTTTGTCAAAAATTCTCTTAGAGCTTCCCAAATGTGTTGGTTAATGCTTATAGACGCTCTACTGTCTCTCCAGCTGAAAAAGGTCAACTCCACGGACACATCGTACCATCAAAGGACACCCCTTTCTTGTGAAACAGGTATCGGATGGGAATTATTTGATAAATCATATCTAGATAAAAGAACTTAACATTTGTCCACGCTTGGGGGGAAAACTGGAGCTAATATGGAAAAAATACAGCGATAATATGCCTTTTCATTCCTATTTGCATAATTTTGACTCACCCCTGAGTAGTCCCTTAAGTGGAATGCAACCCTCAGCTGAAACGAGTAACAAGTCACTTTCCCTTCTGTTGTAGGATGTAAATACACATGCAAAAAAGCACTGGAGCTGTCTCAGGACTATCAGCTTTTTATTAAATCTGTGCTGTCTCAGTCCAGCCAACCTCCACAAGCCTCATCTCAGCACACAGTGTCAGCACCTTTCACAATTTCAGTAAAGGATAAGAGTGATCAAAAGAAGTCTGGCAGGTACATAAACATTTTGTTTTAGATTTAAAATGTATTTGTGCTCCAAATTTCTTCTGAATTCCCAGTGGCTACGTCTCTTCCAGGCTCGATGCCTTACCACGCCATATTGCTGCAACCTCAGCTCCAGATGGAAGGTGCCATCAGACCAGCTGCTGGTTCTCCAGGTGTAAAAGTCAGCAAAGACCAGCAAATGTGCACCAGCTAAGCTGGCCTCTGCCTCCATCAAAATAAACCAGAAATCCTGCATACAGTTACGTATATTCTCAGCTAACTACCACACAGTTTCAAACCAAAAATTTGAAGGTTGTTTTGGTGAAATTATGGTGAAACATGGAGCATTTCTCTCTGCATTTCCAATTTATTTCTACATTCTCAATGTTTAATGGCATATCTAAAACCAGACCCAATATTTACACCAGAAAGTAAGCCTTACAGATTACATCACACTTTCATGTGCAGAGACGTGCCCGGCATTGGGAATCTTTTCACAATCATGGTGTTTCTAAAATGTGATGGATGTCGTCCTCATTCTCTCATGTCTGTGCTAAAATAGTATATACATCAATGTACTTATATGAATTTCATAAACTGTATTCATGTATGTTTATGTTAAGATTTTTGATTCAGTAGTGAAAAATATCGGCAATAATCTTCACATTTCAACAAGACTTCAAATATTTTTTAAAAAGTCTGGATTTCTCATGGCAGAACCATAAAAGGAAAGTAAATCCAGGCTATTCTGCTGCATAAAGTGGGACCCATTAATCAGGCACTTTTGGCATGTGAGTCTTTTCTAACTCATTTCTGTTAAACTAAGCAGCATATGCTGGGCTCATTTGATCGGCTCGTAAAGCTGGAGGTCCAGTTTGACCCACACTTCCCCTGTGGGCACCTCGTGCAGGAGCAGGCGGCGGTTGGCTGCTCCTTTGCTCTCCATGTCTTTCTTTATAGTTGCGACGGGAACCTCAGTGCGACCGAGGAAATCTAAAATTAAATGAAGCATCCGTCATTCTAGCTGCTGACATTAAAGTGTATTTTCAGAGACAAGGAATTAGGAAAATACAAACAGCGTCCTTCAATCCGAATGCTGTGTAACGAGCCCCGGAAAGACACAGACATTAATGTGTATTGTGCTTTTGTGTTTCTTAATTACTCTGGAATATCAGTTGTGTTAATTTAAGAGCTCCCACAATAAATCACACGCTATCAAGCTGTACTGTGTGCTGTACGACATAAGCTGGTATTGGCTGATACAGCTGTAGAAAAGAGAATGTACATTGATTTTAAAAAAGCAAGTGTAACCATTACAAGCATAAGAGATGGTTTTGGGGTCTCTGCCCATGCAGGCAGGGCCCCGTAGACACAGAGATGAGTGATCTATAACACGTTTGTTGCTGGCTCACTCACCATCTGGGGAGAACTGGTCCTTTTCAAACACAGTGATGCACAGGACGTCCTGGTAGAGGTCTTTGATGAAAAAGTGGCAGTTGAAGTTCCACTTGGGACTCAGAGTGTCACTGATTGGCCGCGATGTGTAGCACTGAGCCCCCATTGTCAGCTCACAGTACGGATTACTCTTTCCTGAGAAGGCAAATCAGGTTATTTCTGATCATTGATTGAAATGCTTTGGTTCTGAGACGTTCTGTGCAGCACAGATGACTGAACTTTGAAAACCAGGTTGGTCCTGAAACTGGGTCTCACCGTTGGGCTTGCAGGCTTTAAGCTCCTGGGCTTCGGTGACTGTTACCAGCAGCCGGCCGATTCCACTGGTCTTCGGAGAGCGGGCTGTAATGAAGATTGAAAAAAAGAGGAAAACAAAAACAGCACATATTTGACCATTGACCTATACTTAATTTTAAGGAGTTATAAGTTTATCCTTGAAAAGGATTTCCATCAACTCCACTCTCCATCAAACGATCTGTAATTTGGTGAGAACAGGTGTGAGGTGTTTAATTATTAAACCATAGAAACCGCACTCATGCCTCACACACACACACACACACACACAAAGCATAAAATATGCATGTGTTTACCTTGATAGGCCTTCTCTCTCTTTTTCTTCTCTGTTTCTATGAAGTGTTCAGAGGCTGCTTTAATTTTCTGGACCCACGCCGTCCTAGAGCAGCGATAACATGTAAAAATCACTCATAAGGTTAACGTGCTGTGGTCCTCATGGTTTCCGTGCACGCTTACCTCTCACTCAGGGTCTCGGTTTTGAGCGTGTAGACCCGATCTATGTGCGAGACATGAAAGAGCGGCTCGTCACTCGATGGGTCTGGTGGCATTTTCACCAGAACCTCATTCAGGAACAGTGGCTGGAAAGGAACATGGATGTTCATTTGCTTAAAAATACACTTTTCTTCGCCCTACTTCCCCGCTGTGCAGGGTTTTTCTGCACAAGTAATTAGTTTCCCCGCTCAAGGAGAGTGTTTTGCCTCTGGCTTACCGTTTTGTACATCTTAAGCTGGATGCTGGTTTTGGGGCTGAATAATTTGTCGGATCCTGAGGAGGAGAAAGGTTTGGCACTGTGTGTGAGCAGGAGGAAATCATTGAAGAGGAAGGCCCACAGCTCTCTGCTGCTTTTGGTTTTGTACAGTCGGCCGCTGTGGAGCAACTTGCGAGGCCCCAGGCAATTAGTCAGCGAGTTGAAGGCCAAGTTCTGGGGAAAAGAGAGACAGAAAGTAAAGACATGACTGAGGAAAGCACAGTGAATAACAGTAATTTAAAAGAGAAATCATCTATCTGCGACTTTATCATTATAGCCCAGTAAGAAACAAAACACATAACATGAATGAAATTCTACAAATGTATAACTCATTTCTACTCAAAGATATGAGGGTTATGATACATGGTGGTTATGATACAAAAGTGGATAGATGCATGTTTGTCTGCCAGATTTACAAAGCAAGATTTGGTTCCCTTTTACATAACTCAGCTACTGGAAGACAACACGGAAGTACACAAACAAGACAAAAACTGCCTCACCATGAACAAGAATATTGCGGAGAAGAATGGAAATTCGGACAGCTTCTGTTCAACAAGTGGCAGCTAGGAAAACCCTGAATTAGCTGTTGAGTAAATTCTGCCCTGCCTTTTACCTCTATGGTCCCCTCACACTGGACGTGGTTCTGTATCCACTCAAGCCGGTCGGAGTTCTCCTTTTCCCTGACCCCCTCGTTAACCTGGGAGCACAGCTCCTCGGCCCGCTCCAGAGCGTCCTGCAGGGGCCTGTGGTCAGCATGGTCATCGGGAGTGTGCTCCAGGATCTGGGAGCAAGAGCAGATGGGACGATGCAGAGTCACAGAAGACAGAGTCAAGAAAGGAAGGCGATAAAGGTGGACGGTAATAATGATTATAATTGCTAACAAGTTTTTAACATACATTCTTTATGAGCAGAGGGTAGCGGGTGATCCTTTGCATGGGCTTGAGGAGGAAGCTGGACAGGGGCATGCCTTTACATCGGTAGTTGGTAGCTATCTTCTGCTCCAGAGAAGGCAGAAGGCAATGTTATTTATTGCACACAAAGAACAATAACCTTTTTCTAAGGCTAACCTATACATTAGCCCTACCTTGAGGAAGTCTTTAAAGTCGGGGTGGTTGTGGGTTTTGCTCTGAAGCAGAGCAGCAGCGTTAAGCTGGCAGGAGCAGAAGCGGATGTAGGGCTGCATGTGAGCCAGCTCTGAAGCCAGCAGGTCTCCTATGAACTGAACAGGCATGTTCTCGCCCCCCGTCTTTTTACGGCCACGCAGGGCTCTGAGAAGCACATGTGATGAAGATATCCCATAATAGATTGATCTTTTCTCCACCTTTGTGTGTAAACAACTTAGATGTTATAAACTAGATGAAATTACTCCTGACAGCCTCAAACCCTTCAGAAAACACAGGTTGGAAGTGACTGTGTGCTCATTCCACATCATGACATTGTTGCCTTTTCTTTGAAAGTTTTTTAGTGAATGCTTCTTTTTTTTTGGTCAAAGGTAAAGAGGGTTTTAGCTTTTATATAGACGCAGCTCACAAATGACACGCTGTAGATATTCCATTCCATTTATGACTTTCCACGATGGATAAAAGCATTGTGGAAAGTCACAAAGCATTTTTTTAATGTTTTAAATCAGAACTTTGTGTGTTTTCATGGATGAACATAGTATATAAGAATTTGACAGACAAAATGACCACTTTGGTTCAGTGAATTATTAGCCGAAACACAACTGTACACATGAAATCAGGGTAGTTTTTACAAACTGGACCTACTTGAGCAGTTTAGTGTTGCACATAATCAACTCCCTCCAGTTAACAAAGATCACTGCCATCTCAGCTTCTGTCAGGCGGCCTGATTCCGACATGGGCTTGTGGAACACCTGAGTGTGCACAAACAGGCAAAAAGAAAGGAATGTAAGTGCTTTTGAAACGTCAGGTACTTCAAATGCGAGGAAACAGGTCATCTCTAAGTATGCCTTTAAATGTCTGTTTGTACCTCCAGCACGAGCTCCAGATCCTCCACGTAGGTCCCCTCAGTCTGGATCAGCTCATGGATGTAACCCTGCCTCTTCCTCTCCTGAGGGGTCATTGTGTCCAGCGTAATCAGGTCCGCGCACCCTGCAAGCGCGCACACGCCCCATGCACATGCAAACACACATGCAGCAGGCATGCGAACACAAACACGCACGACCATGTGCACAGCAAACACGGGCACAAACACTTTCCTTTTAATATGATCGGTGGGAAAAGTACAGGAATCAGTCAAAAAGGCTACATTGGTGAAGATGTCAGAATCTCCCTTTATTATCAGTTCTGTGATGGTTTATATACAGTTAATGCACAGTGAGGCACATTGTAGTTGCAGTGCATGAACATAAGGTACCAAGCGATGCTAATAACACTGCTACCAAGAACAAAAAAAGCACCTTTCATGTCGGAGCGCCCCTCCATATGCTTGCATAGGTGTACATGAAAGCAGCTAATGCTTAAGTGAAAGAGCAGAGGAAGACTCAGCTGGTAGTTCAAGTCTTTGAGGTTCAAACCTGGCAAAAGGTACATGTAAATGTAATCAGTGCGGTGGCGGTTGCTCTAAATCTACTTGGTTGGATTGTATGGCAATGTCTGCATGTTTTTTTTCATTTTTTATCTTATTTTTTATGCTGGTGATATCACAAGTCAGTACAGGACGAGTCTCAGTTTGAACTACTATTTCTAAAAACAAGAGTGCATAAAAACTCAATCATAGAATCACAATCAGTTAGTTTTTTAATTCAAGCAATGTGTTAGCAAGCATCAGTCTAAGTGATTTAAGCAACAGTGAGTCGTCGCATTGGTCCATTTTAGCAAGGTGTAACGTTATTAGTGCAAGATGAGTGACCCTGTTAAAATACTATTATTACACTGATTTATAGTTTAAAAAACTAAATGACTTCAGTTTGAGCTGCTTATATATTGTATTTAATACTTTGTAACCAAACATTTTATATTAATAACTCATTCTTTTTCCAGTTAAATATAAAATTGTTCATACACACGTCAACATTTTGATTAATGTCCATTTTTGTTTCCATGACAAGGTCTTCGAGACTGGAAATGGCATAAAAAAGAAGGAAACTGTAAGCCATTCCTTCAGGAGACAATGTAATGCTATCTCTTTATTTGTGAACAGGGCAGGCATTCAGCCATTCTCTACATGTGCTGCGTCCTCTTTAGGAGCAGAAAAATGATGACAAAAAGAAAGAAAACAACAAAACACCCAGACCATTCCGTAGCCTGGTATTTGTATTATATATAAGCCCAATATGGGCGGTGGGCTGCGGAAGGGACCCGGGCAAGATGGAATAAAAAATTAAAAAAACATGCCGAGAACAGGACAAGAGAGCAAACCTTTCACTTCTCACTCACGAGCTAAGTTCGAACTTCATGCTGTGAGCCTTGGTGGTAAATTCTAGGTGGCCACTTAAAAATGTTTAAATACTGATAACCTTTTTCTTTGTATTATTTTGCCTCTACTTTTCTCTTAACCTGTCTTGCTCGTGGGTTTACTGTTGCACATGTTGTTCCGTGTGAGGACTGTGGTTATCTATTGGAGTTGCCCTCTTTTTCAAGGATAGTCCAAGAATAACCACAGAGAGCAGCCTGGTGAATTTCAACATCTCAAAGCATAAACGCCATCACAACACAAAACTATGCTAATATCTGTGGTTTATCACAGTGTAGGAAGTCTCTTCTCTACAACTGTCACATACTGTGCATTGTCACTAACAGCCCCCAGGCCTGAAACTGAAATGGGCCAGGAGTTTTTTCCCAACAAAACCAAAAAATCCTATTAGTTTATCGATTTTTTTCTTTTCTGCTTGCTGTAAAAATGGAGCTTATCCAGGAAATATCTCTCTAAAAGACACGGTCCCCGGCAAAAAAAGTCGCAGATAATGAAATAGGTTATCTTATTATAAGGAGTTGAAAGATAGCCCAGAAGACCAAAATAATAATCTTTGAGTACTGGTCCAAAATCCAAATAGTTACACGCATTAGACTTGTTAGCAATTCTAAAAAACTGCTTGACTGCTTTGATGGTAAATAAAATCTGTGCCACCAATAACTAATAAATCATTTTGTACACAGTGATATGCAACTTGTTTATGCCATTTCAACCCACGGGAAATCTTCCAAGTCACAAATGATATGTAGATCAAAACTAGGCATTGATATGAATAGTTTTATGCTTAACTGCATCTTTAGTAGATCCACACTTTCCATCCTTTTGTATCAGAAGTACAAAAAAACATCTTAAACTCATGTCTAGCTGCCTCTGCCTCTCACTCGGTTAATTAGTTAGTTGAAGACACATCAAGGAAACACAGAAGAGGAGAGAGGGAGGGGATGGGCGGGAAAGATTGAGAAATCAGTGCCCAACAGCCAAAAGAAAAGAAAAAAAGAAAAAAAAAACGGAGAAGGGGGAATGTAAAGAGGACAGGGTAAAAAGAAAAACAAGGAAGGAGCAAAGAACACCACAGTCCTGATCATGTGAAGTGGACAGTGCGGAGCTGGGCTGTTCTTGCTGGCTGCAGGGCTTCCTGTTGCGACAGGGCAACTCGCTCAGACAGGAGGGGTAAGACAGGAGAGGAGGAGCAGAAAGAGGAGGGGGGAAAGAGAAAAGCCAGCATTACTGTCCTACAGGAAGAGAAAAAATGGATGAACAGGAGTGGGAGGGGGAAGGTGAGTGAGATGGAGGAGAGACGGAGAGACAGCAGACATTAATACCGTTTTAATATTAATGCTGGACTCTTACATGCAGGTGCATTAATAATGCATTTCTGGAAATGTAAATGTTATTACTAATCATACCAGCTGGAGCACGGTGGTCATTTCTTACATTTCAGCTCTGTAATGAGGCGCAGACCTGTTTGTACCCAGTGTGCGTGCAAACTTGTTCATTTGATAAAATAAAAACAAAAAAACCCTATTTAATTTTCTGTAAGCAATGTGGTTTTGACGGCTTCAGCCTAATTAAACATCCAATATGTTTGCTCTTGTCACAAGAAATTAGCTCCTGGATGAATGTGCAAGCTGAATATTAATTCAAACGCACACCTCTTAATTAACAAATAGACTTTTGAAACATTTAAGACCAGCAATTTGCGAATGTTGCGAATCAGCCCCTGATTCTGAAAGTGATTCATATTACCTCATTAGTTAAATCTGGAACTTATCCGTGATTGTTTCAGTAGGTTGACTCAGTGATTTGTCAGATTTTAAAGGAACAGTTTAGATATCTTTCTTTTATTTATTCCTTTTTTACCAACATGATCAGCATTCTGGTATTGTTCTTCAAAATTTAAACCTAACCGACTCAATGTGTGGTCCTTGGTCCTCTCGTATGAGGAAACGCAACAAGAAATCTTAAACTCTTCCTTTAAATGATTTTAGACCAGAAGCACAGACCATTACTGTATACTTAAAAGGCCGGCTCCATTTTGCCTGCTGAGATCAAAGGAAGTGATTAGATATTAGATTTTCTCCTGCTGAAGACAGATGGTGACCTCTTTTTCTGTCAGCATGGTTTGAATGTGCATGGATTCCAGCCTTTTAAGTATGAATGCATGTTCACCAAATTTCCTCAGCAATTAACAGGACCAGTAACTTAGGGCTTACCATGAGCGTCTCCATGCTCTGACATGGATAAGGAATCTACAGAACCTGAAGTAAGACCAAGTTAACCCATCAGAAAGCAGACAATTGGTTTCCATAGTTGACGAACGTGTTTAGTGTGTGTCTGTGTGTACTTCCAGTCTAGTGTTCTAGCACAGGATTTCCATCAAATGCTCTCGAACATGGTGCGATTTAAAAACACGGTTCCTGTTAGAGAAGCTGTTACGGCTTCAAAGAAAAGGCTTGGTTTACTCACATTGCTGGCTGGGATCGGACTCTGTTGTCATTTTGACGTAATTTGTCGGCAGCAGGCCTGTGACTCCATTGACGTCTCCCTTCCACCAGTCTGGGTTGGTCTTGTCGAGGATGCTGATCAGCTGACCCTTAGAAAAGCTCAGCTCATCCTGATTGGCAGCTGTATAGTCGTACATGGCGATAACCTGGCAAACTGAGAGATCAGGGGAGACACACAGAGCGTTCACTTAGGTTTTGGGGACACCTCTGACCTGTGTTGAAGACCATCGTCACAAATATTTCCAGATGCATTTTGTGAGAATCTAGTGTATTTGGCGTTAAAAAAAACATGTTGACTATAAGGACAAAAACATTTGCTCTTTTTTCACCCTTTTCAGATTTTGAGATGCTGTGTTCTAAAAAATTTTCATACATTCATGACTCATTACAAATGATTTCCAAATCAGATGTCATGTGAATGAATAACTTTGAAATAAAACAGAATACGATGACTTCAAAACAATTTCTGGTTAGAATTTCATAGGACAATATCAGATGCTGATAGCTACATAAAAAAACAAAACTCAGAGATGGATTGCAAACTACTATATAAAAAAGTTTTTAACTTAAAAGACACTGTAGAGTCACTAAGATTCTGTATAGCACTATAGCAAAAAGGAAGAAGCTTTTAACTTTCAAAACTCGACAGACAGCAAACAAAAGATTCCTGAGGGAAGCCACCAGCGGTAAACGGACATGAAAAAAATAACTTTATTGCCTGAACAAACTTTTCTGAAACATGTCAACATTTCACTTTCAATATTTTCAGATAAATGAAGAATTGAGATGACTTCAAATCACTGCATCCTATATTAAAATCAACATTGTGACAGATACTCTGTCAAATCTAATATCTGGACGAACGAAATAAATACATTTTATAGAAAATTGAAATAAATAAGCATTTATTAGCAAGAATATACAGCACGTGCATGTGAAAATATGCAAATAAATGAGGCTAAACTGATGGATGATGAATGTAAACAGAGCAGCTATTAGATATGGGGTCAGAGTGTGTGAGTCCTCACCTGGAAGAGGGGAGGGAGAGGATTTGCTGCTGGAGGGACCCAGGAGCTTCACATGAGAGGAGTGAAACCAACCCCTCTGCGGCTTTTTACCACGAGCCTGAGTGGTGAAAAAAAGAGAAAGCCCATCAAGCTTCTGCTAAAATGACCTGTTAAAACTCCCTGGTGTCTTTTTACATGGAATACGTAAAAACAGACAAAAGAACAAAACAAAACTCAACTGTAGTAATATTCAATATTTCACACCGCCTGAGCTAACTTTATAGAGAAAAAAAAAAGAAGTGAACACTCATTGTGCTCATTGATCAGCTTGACAAACAGTTGCTAATCCTTTGCATTTAAACAGTGTTCTTTAAAAATGACTTCAGTTAGCCTCTTCCTACAGCTACCGCTGCTGCCTCAGCACAAAGCTGACAGATAAGCGCTGACCTCTACATGAAGAAATTCCTAAACAGTGCCGTTCATGCTCCTGTAGCATCCTCTCCACTTCTCACCAGCTCCACATCTACACAGCCCTGCTTGATTTGTGCTTTTTCTGTTGTAATAGCCCACTAACTATTGGACGAGCTGTTTGTTATGTAAGAGTAATATCATGAAATTGGCTTCTCAGGGCTCTGTGATGGACTGGGGACATCCCCAGGTTGTACTTCCCCTTTATCACTTTAACAACTGGGACGGGCTGGAAGCCAGTGTTTAATAATCATTATAACAACAGAAAGGATTCCTGCACTAGCCATCTGTCTGATCACTTAGTTGCTTCACATCTAATTACAAGATTTCTTCGCTGAACAATAACTTGGTAGTGATGCTTGTTGGCTAATTAATTCAATATGCCACATTACCATTAATGAAGTGGGTTTAATACAATGATACATAATTAATTATCCTCACACGAAGCCCCAGGGCTCGGCTGACCTTGAACTAAACATCTATAATCAGAGCCACTGTCTTTCTAAAAACCATTAAGTTTTAGAGAGAACTGTGTTGCCATACATTAGGTAAGTCTTCAGGCCCATTAAGTTGTGTAGTTAAAGTGGTTGGAACTGTTGTATGAATCCATGTTTGTTTGTATTTAAAACTAACACTGAGGTGGAGGGAGCTGATGGAAATGGACTTTCCCTCTTAAGTAAGGGTAGTTTTTATGTATTTATGGTTGTTTAATTCCGTTTTCATTTAACACTTACTTTCTTTTTTAAGTGATCAACAAAAAACTGGTTATGCGGCTTTGTTTTCTAACCTGCAGCTCACCAAGCCACCAGCCAGAGGAGTTCTTGGCCCTGACCACGATCAGCTGTCCCGGACACAGTCGCAGCTGATACGCAGTCGGGGCCTCGCTGGACTCGACAGCCCGAGCCACCTCTGTTGACCAAACAGCAACAGATTTTGGTCAAGATAAGTAGATGTCATAGAGAGAAACAGCAGAATGTGACCATCAGTGTGTGTGAGTGTGTGTGTATGCGGTTTGAGGGTCACTATTTCTCACCTGGCTTCTTGGTTGGAGCTCCAAGCCTTAAAGCCTAAAAATGGAAACAAACAAACAACAGAAAGTACTGCAATAGACGAACAGAGAAAAACTAAAAACATTCATTTTGCTGAGTCAAGAGAGAAATCTTAATGTGAATTTATTTAAAAATTTAGTAAAATATCACGTTGCTGATTTATACAATAGCTGTATTATTATAATAGATCAGAAAGAAATAAACTAATCCAACAGTTAGAGAACTGTTGGATCACCAGAAGCTCTTCACTCACCTCTGGCTCCACAGGTCGGATATAGTTGGAGGGAAACACTCCAGTCTTATCCCCGATGCATCCACGCCACCACTCTCCTTCTCTCTCCGTCACCATAACAACATCTCCCTCAGCAAATGTCAGGTCACCCGCCTCAGGGCTCTCGTAGGTGTACAAAGCCACATATTCTGGTTGGGGTAGATACATAGCTTTGATGTTAGGACGTAAAGCCATTAACGATAACTTATCTCTGGTTACAGTAAGATGTGCAGCGTTTACCCTCAAGCTGGGCACAATCGGATGAATCCAGAGCGTCCGCCCTAAGGGTGGAACAACACACACTGCATTGAGTGGAAGGATAAACTCCAAATCTGGTGCGAACAGACGTGCGTCTCTTCGTACTCTGCATTGCCTACAGCTTCCACTGTGACGTAGCTTTTGGGGAACCATCCCTGCGTCCCGTTGAGCTGCCCTAACCACCAGTCCTCCTGCTGCTGGAGCACCATGATGACGTCGCCCAGCGAGAAGCTCAGCAGCGCGCCGCCCGCGTCAGAGCCTCGGCTGAGGTGGGCGTCCGACGTGGCCGACCAGGCGGAGATGGCCCGAGCGAACAGAGGAAGTGTAGACTGGAGGGTAAGAACAGAGTGAGGACGGAGGGCCTTCAACGTTAGGATCGATCCAGCTGCTGCATCAGCCCCAGCAGCTCCCCCTGACTCTTTCCCACCACGACACATAACCTACAAATGCTAGACCTACTAACACTGATGTTATCTGCTGTGAGATGGACAGAAGCAAGAGCCTGTGTGACCTGCAAACAGGCGGAGAGAGAGAGACCAACTCCCGGAAGAGAGGCGCTATAAATATACAGCCATGCTGCTGCCGGGGATTTGAGTCTAGGTCTCATCTGTGAGTCGACCACAGAAGGACGGCTTGTGACCAAGTTGTACAACAGCATGACACATTACCTCAAAAGCAAAAAAACCCTGCAGGATAGGCAAGCGAAAACCTTTCAAAGTGACATAATTGTTTAGCCGTGCATTCAGGTAGGTTTTTGGTAATTACACAGACAAGTGGCGAAAGGATCACCTTGAATCTGGGTTGAACATGACTGCTTTCACCTGGATGATTTATACCAAACGCGGTCCTACACCATATCTTAAGCTGCAACCTTTGTTTACTGTAAAGTAGTGCAGGTTCCCAAAGGGGCGGAAAACAACAAGATTAGGGGCGTGGGCCAGACGCGTTTGCTTCACAAAACACTACAGTGTTAAACCTAATAATTAAACAACTTGCTTAACACTCCACATCACAGTTCATGTGTTCTCCAAACCATCACCGTTAAGCTCCAAACTGATGAGGGTTGTTAATATTCCTGCCACAGAAGGTCAGTGAAAAGTCAATCTGTCTTAGACCTAAAACACTGTCAGCCTGGAACTAAAAGCAAAACCCAGTTAGGTTCTCCTCACCTGCGAAGCATCGGCCACTTCCGCCACATCTGGATGTCTGTGTAAACAGAGAAGAAAAAGCATAAAGAAAGAAAACAACTACAGGAATGACACAGACATCCCATAGGTAAGAACGAGGAAATAAAGACGAAAGTATCCAAACTGCCACGTGCTGATGCTCCTCTGCTTTCTTACCTGGTGTTTCGTGTAGGTGTGAGCGGGGAACCTTTCGCGGGTGAGGACGGGGGCCTCTCGGAGACGGAGTCCGTGGGACACTTCTCGGCGTAGCTGTGGGGGAACCAGCCCCTGTTCCCGCGGTAGTTCCCGCACAACCAGCCGGGCTCACCCACCGTGTGCTCGTCCACCTGCACAGCCATTCCACCAGGCGTCACCACGAGATGGTGAGAGGACACACAGGGCGTAAAAAGGTAAGAGATGCTTATAAAAACTTAATTGGGATCATCGAAAAAAACTAAAAGGCAAGAATGAAATGGAAACTGTGGCGTGTGTGTGTCTTACCTCTATGAGGCAGCCTGCGTCTATGCTCAACTCATCCGCGTTGCGGGCGACAAAGGAGTACAGGGCTCTGTACGTGGTCAGCTGCTGTCTGGCTCGTTCCTGCTCCTCCTTCCTCCTCCTCTGCTCTTCCTTCTCCTTTTGCTTTGTTGCCTCTTCCTCTTCCCTCCTCCTCTTCTCCTCCTCCTCCTCTTCTCTCCTTCTTCTCTCCTCCTCCTGTGCTTTCTCCTGAGCCGCCCTCAGGCGAGCCTGAGCCTCCCTCTCCTCCTCCTCCCTCTGTCGGGCCCTCTGCTCCTCCAGGAGTCTTCTCTGCCGTGCCCCTTCTTCTTCCCGCTCCCTCTTCTCTTGCTCCCTCCGTTCCTGCTCTCTCTTCTCTTGCTCTAATTTTGCCTGTCTGTGGAAAACAAACCATACTCTGTAGCGGTCTTAAGTGTGAGCTACACAGGAAAAATGGGAGTGGACTTTGGAGAGTTGGATAAAAGCTGCCGCATGCCGCAAACACAGACAAATAGAAGTCACATGCTCGTCCTGATTCACCTTGCAGCTTCTTCTTCCTCTCGCCTCCTCCTTTCCGTCTCCTCCTCCCTGCGTCTCTGCAGCTCCCTCAGCTTCTCCTCTTTGACTCTGTGCAGGTCGTCCAGCACGGCCTGCTGCTTCACCTGCTTCTCCCTCAGCTCCTGATGCAGTATGCAGAGTTTTAAAAGTGGTTTCGACATCTTAGAAAAGGTAAATAATGCAACAGCCATTACAGATCCCTGACAATCAATACTAAAATATGAAAAAGTTACTTTTACATTTCCATAAGCTAAACCTCTTTTTCACTTTTTAAGACATAAAGTGAGTTGTGTATGTGTGTGTGTGTTTTACCCTCCACTTGGCATCCTGTGTACAGAAAAAATAAAATCCCATGGAGGGAAACAACAGCAACAAAAAGACATGGTGCCAAAGTCGAGTTTCATGTAATGATTTTTAACTATATGAGCAACAAAGACAGACTGGAGGGAAAACTTGAGAGATGAATAAGAAAAATACTTAAAATTTTGGCCAAAGGGTGGTGAAATGAGTAAGGTCAAAATGGAAGAGTGGTGAAAAAAAAAGAAAACAAAGTGAGGAGGAGGAGGTGGGATAACCTTGATGAGCATGAAAAGCTGGCTGAGGCAGGCCAGCAGGGACAGAAGGCCTCGCAGGACACAGTCATCCATATCCCCAAGCTATAAAAACACAAAAAAAAATGGGGAGGTAAGGGGGGGGGGGGGGGTAAAAGGAGGAGATGAAACAGGAGGGTACGGGATGGGGTGGACAAGGGGGAAAGTAAAGTTAAGTTGAGGGGCAGAACAGAATAAGCGTCACAAGAAAAATAAATCAGTTAACAAAATAGCATGGAAAAATAAAGCAATGCAAGAAAACGTCCAGGTTGTGCAGAGAGAAAAGATAAAGAGAAGAAAAGAAAGACGGGGATTAAAAGTCTTACAAGCAAGTTTACAAGCAGCTGATAAGCTGAAAAGAGCAAAAGTGACAGATAGTTAGATAACAGGGTTTTCTTCTCCCTGAGGAGACACACTTGAGTTAATATGAACAAGCTTTAAAACCTAAGAGTCAGGTTTGGCATTGTCATGTTGGTATAATCAGTCTTTAAGTTATGCATTCTCAGTTTGTTACATGCTTGTTTTAATAGCTTAAGCTTAAGCTTAACTGCTTAGGTTTCCAGACTCCTTTCACTGTGTCTGTTTTTCATCAGAACATCAATGTTTCATTGATAAAGCGGGAATCAGTGGAAGTCACATTTTCACAGAGCCTTGGTTAAAGTGTTTCATGGTCAGAATTAAGTGGATTTCTGAAAAAATACATATCAGGTTTGTTTTGACTCCACTAACAAATAGGCCGTGCATTAATGAATGCTCGTTGTATTTCTTTTCTTGTTGCCATGAACAAATTCACCAAATAACACACACTCGCTTCCAGAGCTAAAGCCAGTCAATAAAGAATGGTTGTACTGTTGTGGTTTGCGTATGTTTTCCTACATCTGGGAATGGGTGGATTGTCTTCATGAAGTCTACGTCATATCAGAGACAAAATGCCAGAAAATGAATTTAAAGTGTTCCGTAGAAAGAATGGGCTGAGATAATTTGGTGTTTTAAGTCATATTTTCGGCAATAATAGAAAGCAAAAGCTAGAAGGTAGAAGGCTAAATTCCATAAAGTAACTGACTGTTTTCAAAAAATTTGTGATTAATACTGCAGTGTTGTTTTGTCTCCTATTTTTCCCAGAACCAGCCTCCCGTGGCATGATCGGGCTTGTACTGGAAGAACTAATGATGTTGTGCTTTCAGACCCTGAGCGTGCTCAGTGAGCGCTGACCTTCAGCTCCTTGTTGTACTGCTCCATCTCGGCCAGTTTGTCTGTCGTTTCTCTTTCCAGAATATCAAGCTGGTCCTTCAGCCTGCGGCAGTTCACGCTCTTCTCCGCCACGCTTCCCGTTAAGGAGCTCACGGTCACCGCTAGAAGGCAAAAGTCAGTGGTCAGAAACCTGTGAGCTTATTGGATGCCGGCGTGGTACGGTAGCAGGCGTTGGTCACTCACAGGAGAGTTTGTTGAGGCCGATGCTCCGCAGCTTCTCGGTCAGTCGCTGTTGTTCTGGAACCATTTGAGAGAGCTTCCTCTGCCATTCCTGCAAGAGACAAAGAGACACACTCAGAGGACAGTAAAAAAATTGCCGTAAAATAAAAACCACCCATGGAAACAAAAGGTTAGATGCGGTGGAATCGTAGGAAAACCTTTAACCTCGAATTCAAGTTGAAGAGCGTTAATCTCGGTAATACGCGCGTCCCTCCTCTGATTGATGAGGTCCACCTCTGCCCTCTGAATCCGCCTCTTGCTCTGAGCATCACGCAGGCGGTCAGATATCTGCTTGTGCTTGTTTCCCTGTGGGACACGGCGCCCGGCGTCACAGCGTGCTCACGTTTTTGGATGTAGGCTCATCGTTTATGGATGCTAGTCTCACCACGGCCTCCAGCTCCAGCTCCAGGCTCTTCTTTTTCGCCCTGAGTCGAGAGATCTCGTCCTGCTCCCTGTCCTTCCTCCTGCCCAGCTCCTCTTTCCTCCCTCGCTCCCACTCTTCCCTCCTCTGGCGCTCCATCTCCTGCTTTGCTGCCTAAAAGTGCAAAAGCAGATGGTTAACGTGGGCAACAATACTGACCCTCTGCATCCCATTGGTGCTCCCTCTCACCTCCTTCCTCTCCAGCTCTCTCAACCTCTCCTCCTCCCTTTGCCTCTCCATTTCTCTCTGCATCTCCAGCCGCCTCTCGTCCTCCAGTCTCCTCCGGTTCTCCTGCTCCCTGGCCTCCCTCTCCTTTCGCTCTTGGGCTTCTCTGTCCTCCCTCTCCCTTCTCTCCCTCTCCTTCCTCTGTTGCTCCTCAAGGGCCAACCGTCTTTTCTCCAGCTCTGCGCTGCCTCTCGCAAAGTTCTCCTTCAGCTTGTCCTCGTAGGAGACTGAGAAGAGGAGACGTGTGACACAGGATGGCGAGTGCAACAACATGGCAGGAAAGGAAAACAGGGAGCATGCAGGAAGCCACACCACCGCTCTTGTTCTTCTGTGGGGGCTCCGTCTCCGTGGTGTCTATCAAACAGGGAGCCGTGTGGGGCCCCGTTCCATTGACAAGCTCACTGGGCTTGATGCCTCCTCTGAAACGAGAATGTGGGTTGTTTGTGATTTGTGTCCATAAACCTTTCAAATGCGCACCTGACTCGGTGGGTTACCTGAGAGAGGGAGGTACCAAGTCTTGAGGCAGTGAGAGGGGTAGCGGACGTCCAGTCTTAGCCATATCCACCAGGTGCATGGCCAGAATGAACTCCTCTGCCCTCAGCTGACCGTCCCGGTCCACATCTGCCAGGCTCCTGCATGCAAACGCCACAAAAGTGTGTGTGAGTGTGAACATAACAGTGAGGATAGAAAGGTTTCAGAGTAGTGTGCACCCATGTGTCACATGCACAGGGATTCTAGTAGCATACAGCTGAAATATTCAGCGGTTTAGGAACAACAGAACCATAAAGCTAAAGCAGCTTGCTCTTTGTGGGCACGAGAAGGGAGAGAAGGAGAGAGAAGGAAAGAAATAGCTACATTTCAACTTTGTCTGGCATTTGGTGATAAACAGGTGGAAATGTCTGCTGTTTGATGGCAGTGAAGCAATCAAGCTTAATTGTTCAACTTGTTATGTAATATGACTGTGCAAATATCAGTATAGTAATGCCCCATCCGCTGTGAGAGCTGATGCTTTTTTTTTCTCTATTGTAGTGACTATACAACTGGTGGATGGTTCGATCCGGGTTTTTTTTTAACATAATTTAGATACACCAAAATACTCCATATGGCAGAAAAATGTTTTTTTTTTTGTATAGGTTAAATTCCAGCTATTGAAGAACTGGAATTGAAGAACATACATCAGCTGTATGCTTTAATTTTAATCATAGAGAAAAAACAGACAAAAAAAGGAAGAAAATAAATGCCACTTCAGCTTCTTTGATGTCTTACTTTACGACCCATTTAAAACTGCCTTTCCATGCTCGGCAGCAGAAAGCGAGTGTTAAACATTACCTTGATCTTAAATTAAATCCACACCACTCGCGTGCAAATTAGTGAGTCAATTTTTAAACTCACTAATTATTATGGAGATTCTTTATAACTTGTATTGAACTGAACAGGTTTCACATAATTTGATTCTTAATTCATGAGTCTTTCTGGCATATTACAAGCTACAAGTCTTCTTCATCTGCTTCATCCACCAACAAAACAAAAACATAAAATATGACTTATTGTGACATGGTATATTGGTATTTTCTAAGATGCTGGTAAATTGCTTTAAGTTAGTCATGTTTAGCATGGAAATTAATGTTACAACATTCAACAGTGAAGAATTCTACAGACTGACATAAAAAGACACCCACAGGCTGAGGAGTGACACGTCTCATGCTTACCAGATGGTAGCTAGCTGGGTCTGAGTCAAATTCGACGCCATCAGCGCATTTCTAACCTGAGGTCCTGCAAAATAAAAATCACAGCAGTATTGATTCACACTGAAACTGAAGTGGATGTATGTGTGTGTGTATTTTATTGAGAGGGGTCAGGGCCAATCACAAGTGCATTAGTGCTTGTGTGCAAAGTGAAACTGACCCAGAGTGTGCTCTGTCAAAGTTTGACAAGGCCCCTCAGGAGCAGCCGAGTGATGCTGAGTATCTTTTGGGTTTGGTGTGTGTGTGTGTGTGTTTGTGTGCTTGTGTGTGTGAACTGGAGCCACCTGACAAATAGCCACTCATGAGCTTGTCGAGCGTGTTGAACTGCTGACGGTACTTGAGTCTCGCGGTCTGTGGAACGGCCCAGTCACCTGCACCCATCTTTGGAGAGTTACTGGCCAATGAGGTGGTGGAGGACGAATTTGAACTACGGGACGAAAGCAGAAGGGATATGACCGAATGGAAAGTGAAAATGCAACATGAGGCGCTCGGCGTTTCTCCTTTTCCCTTGTATTTGAGCTCCCAGTTAAAACCACTAATTGCTCGGAGACTCCCTGGTGTTATTTCTCAGCTCTTAATTAGCTGTGGAGGAGGCTGGTGTGAACGACCACATATACGAGGACTCTCTGCTACAAGACAGCAATGCACTCTGGCTATCCGACTCACCCATTCTGTTTTTATTATAAGCAAAGTCTGTGCGAGTACAGCAAATATGTGGGCTGGGTCCATAATGTTCATTTGAGAAGAATGTGCTTTTCAAACTGTTGTTATAGCTGGATGGAAACTTTATCTGGATCAAAAGAATGGATAAATTGAGGGACAGAGCTGGGATCTCCCTCTGCCTCTCCATGTCTCCGTTAATAAGTGTGTATATTAATGAGTATTTGCAAACTTTGCAGAAAAAACTTCTTCCAGATTTGGAAACAAAAACCCAGCAGAATGATGAACTCTTACTGGAAGTGATCTGGGTGGATCAACCTGTATTTACTTCCCAGCACACTGATTTACTCACGACTACCTCACCACCTACACCTGAGGTGGTAGAAGCATTATTCTAAACACTGAAATCAGATCTCATCCCTCTCTTTTTGTATGCCAAGAGGAGTATCGGGGTTACAGGATACCCAAGGGAATCTGGCTCTCAGTGAAACAGCACAAAACCTTCCAGTCCCTGGTTTCTTCTTTCTTTGCTTCTCATTACATCCCTCTATTGGAACTATTCTGGACACAGAGTAAATCCTCCACACAAGGGCCTCGTTGGAAATATGACTTTGCAAATATGTCAAACTATGACCCCTTTCATTCACTTGCGCTTCCTCTTCCCTTTATCTGTGTGTCATAGAACCCAGAGGTGGAAAGTATATGGGATTGGTAATGTTAGTATTGTGTTTATATATCTAATTGAATCCGCCGTTTGAAACGTGTTTGTTATTCATCCAATATTCATTTCCCCCCCTTAAAATGATAAAACTATCTGGGTTAAACAACAACATTTGATTTCAAAATGTCCCTCCTGCTCTCTCACTTATCTTAGCGTTTCATCTCTGCCTGTGTTCAAATTTTCAACCCCTCCCTCCGAAATTCTGCCTCCGTCTAAGCAGTGAAATAAAGGCTTGTTTTTCTTTGTCTCTGTATTGTAGCCAGGGAAATATTCAAATTTATATGTAAAACAACAAACCTAGGACTAAATTAAAAATTCAGCACTTCTCCCCTCGCACAGCATTGACCAATATGCATACAGAGCCCCGTCGTATTCATTAATATTCATGATCTGACCTGCTCGATCCCAGGTCCAGCAGAGAATTGGCCTTCGACATGCCCGCGGATGGAGAGAAAGCCACGGGGGATGAAAAGCCAGAGAGAGGGGTCCCTGAAATTAAGTTTGGAGGCATATTCAAACAATTCTGCATAATATTTCAAAACATAAATGAAGATAAAAACATAGAGTGATATTGCTTTTAAAAGACACACTCTGGACACTTAGGCGAGTGCAGCTGCCCTTGAATGTGTGTACGTTTAATCTTATCTGCTTGTCTTTTACAGTCGCTGCACACACAGCTCCAGCAGAAAGGTGACTGACACCTGGCAAGAAACAAAGAGACTGCATCTGTTTGCTACACCGCACCGAGGAGGTTAGCCTCACCAGCTTTGGAAGTGACACATATTCATAAGCAGAGGCTGGAATAAAGAGTAAAAAAGCACCGGATTAAAGAGCACTTTCGCTCTTGCTCTCATTAGACTGCTGGACGAAAACCGAGCTTGATTACGCTGAGACTGAAGCGAGCAGACGAGGGACAGATGGAGGAGGTGAGAGATAAAAGATCAGCCTAAACAAGGTTCTGCAAAAATGAGAGCATGGCATATTTTTACACACATTTAGTTTCTTTTGACTCGTCTCATCTCGCAGATGCAGCGACTGTGCCACTGTGATGTTAAAAAGCTGACGCTCAAAGTACGGTTTGGTTCCTTTTGGATGACTTTTGGATGCATAGTGCTCATTCTTACAGTAATTCTGCCTAAATGAAGCCCAGGACAAAAGGTGAATGTACCATAAAAAGATCTTCAGCTGTCAGGACTTTCATAATATTTCTCAAAAAGAAGCTGAAAAAACTGAAAATATCATATGAAAATAATCAACTGCCCTAAATGGTTGGTAGTGACTAGTTCACATTCAAATATGTACACATAGGGTTGATTAATTTTCCTAAGTGCATTTTTTCTTTTTTCATGTTTTTCTTATCTGAAAGCATGCATAAAAAATCTTGTAAATCTTGCTGAGGAAACATAACACAAAGTCAAGAACAGTTCCAAATACGAGTAGGGGGGGACTCAAGTTTGAATGAACGGACATGAATCCACTGATCAGAATGGTTCTATAGCAGAACCAACCTGCATTGTTTGGAACCAGTGGTGGGGTGAGGAGGCTGATGTTGCCGTTGGGGAGCCCAGAAAGTCCGAATGAGTTGATCAGGGGTAGAGTCAGAGGTGTTGGCACCAGGGGTTGCATGGAGGGCAACGGTGGGTTAGCTGGGATGGGTGTTAGGATGGGGATGACTGGCATGGATGACAGACCAACTGACAGGTTTGGCATGGATCCCATCCCTATAACACAAATGAAGATGAGGAGATCGTGAGTTCTGTTTAGAGGACACGTGAGGTTAGATTTAAAAATAGATTACCTTCATTTGGTGAACCTACTGTAACTAGTATGGAGTACCTTTGAAAGACTTCTGCTCGAATCATTTAGCAAAACAAGGTCACTTTCTTAAACATGCTATCATGGTTTCTTAAATAGAATTTACCCCAATTTGCAAAGGTAGTTTCTTAAAAAAAAGTGCAATTTTTGTTGACGACTGACTAAGTGAAGGTTTTCCATTGCAAAAACGTTTTTACCAAATCGTGCTGATGAGGGTATGGTTGAATTGCTGTTGGAAGAGGGAAGCTGCTTCATGATGACGGGCAAGGCAGACGGTAAGTTCCGACCTTGAAGCTTGAGCTTAATGAGCTTCATAGCGATGGAAAACTCCAATCTGTCCATCTTTCCATCACCGTCTATGTCAGCTAGGTTCCTACGGGAGGGAAAATATAGAAATCTTACTCATCCCAGGATGTGCTCACAGCAGAGTTACAGCAACTTTCCTTGTATTTCTTCCTCTTTATTGAGAGAATAGAAATTGCGCATTACACAAGGGACAAAGCCCTGGTGGGGCAGAATTCCAGTGACATGTTTCACACAAAGGCCTGAACACACTGTGCTGTAATTACAGCACACACACACACACACACACATAGAGTTCACTAGGTGTGGCAGGTTGTGAAGGAAATGAGGACTCAACAGGAAGTGGGAAACAGGCTGATGTACTAAACACGACTAACACAAAGCTTGTTCAGACTGACCCACTTGCTTGCACTTCATAATGAATGTTGAAAATGATTCATTAATTTTTTATAGTTACCAAATCTCAGCCAGGACAGAAGCAGACAGGCCAGACTGGAGAAAAAAATTCCTTGCTTGTTCTCCTGCAGACAAACAACAACCACAGTGTCGGAGAGAGCTGAGAACCAGATATGGCTTCACTATAGTAGCTAAATGGCATTCAGGGGAATCTATGCAGCCTGTTTGTTGTGACAACAGTCTACCTGAGACATATCCGAGGATGGGCGCCAGGGAGTCAAATTGCTTGTCATATTTCCCCCTCTCCTCTGGAGTAATGGCCCAGATGTTGGCTCCACCTGGTCAAAATAAAGAGAGAGAATCAGAACGAGGCACCAAATGCAGGACACACACGTGCTACATTCAAATAAATCATAAAGAACTTTGGATCAAGAGTTAGCACCAAAAATGTGACTTTCAATTGATGACATCATATAAAGATTATGGCCAAAAGAAAGTTCTCTTATCCATAAATTAGCATCATGCAGCTGTCATGGATGAAAACTTTGAATATTGAACCATCTAATTACATCATGAGGTAATGTAATGTTTGAGACAGGCCATAAGGGCACACACAATCAAAGCCCCAGTTCCCAGCCTTTTTGGCTCTTGGCCAAACAAAACAACATAACCTGCACTGACATCCCCTCCACAACGCTTGAATACAAACTGAGCAGTCAGATCCCGCAAAGAACCGCAAAGGAGAAATGCCAAAACACCAAATTAATCTGGGTACTTTTTATCTAACCATAATTTCCATCTCAAATGAGATCTTCCCCTCAGATGAGACATTGCTAAACCCGTTCCAGAAGATGACTAATGTATGTCCATTCAGCTACTTTTGCCCTGGCTCTTCACTCACATCATTTCATGATAAGTTCAGTACTGGTCATGAATTAAATATGAAGCCAACCATGCCGTGCGAGGTATGAAACTCAAATTCTTAATCAGCTTCACAAGATGTTTTTTTAATAAAGGACAGGGAAAGAGTATAATCAATTCATCAGCAGGGATGAAATCCATTTATCAAATCAGAGCACGGTCAATGCATGCATTAAACCTTTGTTTTAAGTTGTTTGTCTAAGGAGAATTAATTTATTAATGATGAAGTGACAGCAATAAAAATGTAATGAGAGTTACAGATAATAACATTTAAAACAGAAGAAAGCATACAAAAGAAGAACTGAAATCAGAGTCGCCGAGAAATGGAAGCATGCATTACCTTAATATGGTAATAAACAGCTACAGATTTTATATATTTGCCTCACATTTTCCTGTCCAAGCATCAAAATATTTTCTTCCACTGAATATGCTCTTTGTTTTATTCAGTTGTTTTCACAATACCACTGTAGTTATTTTGAGCTGCATTCCTATTGTTTGCTTCATGGACATAGATGGCAGTAGTCATGGAGCCAGATTCTCATCCCAAATTTCCCAGAATCTCTGAGCATTTTGTGCCCAGCCACATGGGCCAGTCTTCAGATCCTTAGGGCCATTCAGAGAACATATTGGCAAATGGTACTATACTTATAATTTGTGATGATTTAAATATTTCTCTGTGTCTCTGGAAAACACAATAATCTTAACGCAGTGCTATTCACGCAGTAAACACCAGTCAAAAAATCTTAAACAAGACGTTTCCTTGAAACCTTTCACTACATGTACAGTAATTATGCTATGAAAATATTCCCTTGAGTGGTAAACAAAATCTTGCATGTGAGGATGATATCATGTAAATAGTATTTTCCAGGCCGTTGTGGGTGTAAGTCTTTATAGATATGGAATCAGGGGTGTAATTTATTCAGAAGGCTCAGGAAATACCACCCTGCCCATGATGGAACTTCCACCCCGGCACTAACCCAAACAATCCACCGGCTCTTGCTGACCGCACACACATACCTCCCATAAATCTCTGAGGAATGGCACAATGCACTGCTGAGCTTGAGTATCGGCCCAGTGTGCAGTCAAAAGATGAAAGTGGAGCAACTACGGAGTAGAGAGGAATTTTCTAATATGTGGGAAAATATGTGATCTGAAGCTGGCTGTGACGTCTTTCCGTAAGAGATTCCGGAGAACGCAGAGGGCCAATGGCTTCAGCCGCTTTCACCGTCCACACAAAGTGCTCGGATCCACCTCCGCGCGACACCTGTTGGAGTGTACGCCTTTCCCTCCCAAAGATGATGTGTGCAGCTCACAGTGCCTGACCTACTTTCGGCATTGTCAGCAAAAACGCAGCCGTAAAGAAAGTAGTGCAAAGTAATTAATCTCACACAGAGATGTGAGTATTCTTCTCATTGTCTCGTTGCCTGTGTTTAGAGCCACTGTAAGAGAGAAGGGGAGGGGATATTTAGCACAGGACCACTGGGACATGTAGCTAGCATGGCCGTATCCACAGCCTGTCAGTTAAGCCAGTGTGTGGATCTCACAGAGAGCTCACTGCCCTGTGAAGAAGTGGGGCACGGCAAGCCTCCGACGCAGCAATGGCCGAGTCCTCGGGGGACTTCTCTGGCTTGACTTTTTTTTTTTTTTTTACCGGCTGGAATCATGTGTCCGCTCAAAGTGAGGCCAGGCAAAAATGTGCCAGAGATCTGATTTGATGTGAGGAGGCTAAAGGATTATGTCTGAACTCACACACATTTGTGTGCCCAACTCCAGGGTTCCTGCCAAAAAGTCAATGCCACATTAAGCACTTCTGTACGCGTGACTAAACCCTGCTCGCTGACAAATGAGCACTCAGTCTATCACATTGAAATGACATCCTTTAATGTGGCATGTCATTGCTGACACCACTGAGGTGTTACATGTCACGGAGGGGATGAATCTCTCCCATAGAGGAACAACCGCTGCACTCACTTGTAGCCCAAAGCAGCAAAAAGCTTGATTATGTATGAATTTAAGCTTTACAGTAATATCTACCTGGAACACTTATCATAAGTGGGAGGTAAACAAGACATGTGACACGGCCGAAGGGCCAGGATGTACTTCTGATTGAGGCATTTCAATATGAGAGTCTTTGGGTGTTGATGGAAGATCAATACTACTATATAACCGCATAAATCTGTTAAGTGTATGTTAGGTGGTGTTGCATGAAATGTGAGGTTGCCATCTTGTGAAGGAACACCCCTGTTACCTGTCCTGCTGCAGGGCCTACCTGGTTACTCCCTGCTTTGACTGGCTACAAAAAAAACCAAACTGGTCAAATCCGACTTAGTCGGGAAGAGGAACATAGGCGAAGGTCGAGACAAAAAATAGGCCTTATTGTGTGGAAAATGCAAGCACGGTGCAAAGAAATTATCATTTAACAAATTAAGGAAAATTCATATATTGCTGGAGGCTGTGATCAAAACAACAACACAGAGGGGTGCAAAAAAACTATCTCTATGCAGCAACCTGGAACACAAAGCCTCAGAGTATACACAAGAGCCCTTCAGCCAATATTGACATGATATAACGTGGAGTCCTATCACAAAAGAAGGAAAAAAACACTGGGGAAAAACACACACACACACACACACACACACACACATGAAATAGCTTCCACAGCAACGTCACCTGTGCAGAATTTAAACCAACTGTGCCACATCTCGCCTCGGCGGCACCTACTACACAAAGAGCCTCTGCCTTGTGTGTTTTCTTTTCCTTTTGTCGGCCTGCATGCTGTCGTCTAGGTGCTGCCAAGTCCTTAGTCAGAAGGCGCGCGAGCCAATCCCCCAAACACCCAGCTCCAGTCTACTGGGGGAGGCCATATCTCTGATTTCTTAACTATTTACATATCAAACACTTCGCTTGAGGAGGGCAGGCTGATATTTAAAAAAAAAAATGTAGAGGCTGTAGTCTGTGCAGACTATGCAGTGTTTTAGGCCCAGTCCCATTTCCTGCCATTGGCCAAAACCCTATTATTTTCTTTTGTGGATCAAGAGGTAGTCTTCTGGCCCTTCAGTGAGGATTTAGGAGTCATGTGGATGACTGTTTGATCCCTGAAAGAAAAAAGGGCACCATAGCTCAGAAAAAGGGTTTGGATAAGCCCAAGCAGTAGGGCCAGAGGGAGGAACTGGGTTGGACCTTAGTCTTCACAAACCAACACATACTACTCCTTTTTATGAGGATTTGTGGATCCAAACCACCTGGTCGTGTAAATCACAGAAAATCAGCTTCAAGAATGCATTAATGACAGCATAATCCAGACTCTCTTTCTGCCCTCGTGTCACTTCAGTTAATGGAATTCACAGAGACTAACTGTGTAGTCTGGCACTTTGGTTAAACACAGAAGTAGACATGTGGACAATATACACCCAACACACTTTAACACTAGGCATTTCACAAGGAGGGCATTGTAGAACGAAGATTACGTTCCATCTGGAATGGAGACAGATCCAAGAGCATAAAACCAACAGCTTATGTGTTAAGGATTTCTTTAGTATTAACGATTGCATTACATCTCTCACACACCTTCAGAGCCCCTTTTCCCGTATGAAGTGTAATATAACTTCCAGCTAACAAAAAAGGGATTAAAGATGGACTTAGTTAAAAATCTTATCCTTGTTCTCTGATGGCAGATCAATATCCTATTCACATGATTTCACACCTCACACACTGAATTAACCATTTGAATTCAACACACAAGTGACAACTCCAAAATGACATAGATTTAATCAAATGTTATAATAAAAAAAAAGCACAATAGATGTTCGGCGGCCTTTGCTCTTTGTCTCGTTAATCTGCTCTCTTCCTCCACTCATCCACCAGAAATGAAGACTATTTTCAGCCCCAAGTGGTTCTCGCGACCAAATACCCCATTCATTTTTATCAAGCGCGCAAACTTGCGCACACTGAGGACACAAACGGCGTTTTCTTACCATTCATGGCTGCAGGTGGAACGCACAGGCAGAGAGGGAAGTCCTCTGCTCAGCTGGCTAGCTCTCAGACATCTGCAGAGAAAGAGAGAGAAGGACCTGAGTGTGTGCGCGCACCACAAAGCAGTGGATCTAAGTGAGGCATGTGTGTGTAAATCAGGAAGAGGACGACATGACATAAAAGCCAGCCAGAAAAAAAGAAGAGACAGGACCGGTACAGTGAACGGCTAACGTGGTGGGGAATGACAGGAGGGACAGAGGGACAGGTGGGAGGGGACACAGACAATGCGAACAGAGCGGGCTGAGCCAGAGTGGGACAGAGACGATGGAGAACTGAGGGTGGTCTGACAGAAAATAATCTTTTTTTATTGCTTTACATCACAGATGGCCACTCCAGTCTCTGCAAAGCATATCTGTACACCAGTACTGTCTGCTGTATTCGACTTACAGGGTGTAACTTTTATGCTCTGAACACAACCGGAACATATCGGATAAATAAATCTTCCTGTGGTGGCGATGTTGGAAATCTTTTGAAAATCCACCCAATTGAATTTCTGCTGTTTCTCCACAAAGGTTGATTCTTTCGATCATTAGACAGCTTTGCCCTTCAACGCATACAGTTTTTGAGTTTTGACATATTACGTCATTTATTTAGTGGTTTTGCTATTGAGAATCCACCCCAAATAATATCTGGGGTGTTGAGGTTATTAAGGCATGTGTTGTGAGCAGAGAGCTGATATTCTGCAGCAGAGGTACTCAGGTGGATGCAGGATGTTGTGTTGATGGACTGTCGGCCGAAAGGTAAACCTACTTCCAATCTGACAGCCAGTATTCAAATGCATCTTCCCTATTCAATCATTCTGCCATTCTGCTCTAGACACTCTGAGCACTTAAGCAACGGAGGACGCCCAAGCCAGAGGAGTCTCCAAACGCGTGGCTTCCCAGAGAGGAGTGGTCAAAAATCTGAATTTTAATATGGTAAGCAAGTGTTTCAAGAATAATGGCAGCGATTTAGCAGAGACCACAAAGGGGAAACAAATACAGATCTATGGGAGCACATTTTGAAATGTGAGAGGGAGCCTGGACCACCTGATGAGATAGCTCCCAGATCTGTGACAGATTCTCAGGAGCTGGAAAAGATATGGGCCCATCCAGGGAATATATTGGAATTTGAAAATGAACCAATAGTCTTTTGTGGGCTTTTTCAGAGGTTAAAACTCCTCTGTAGTGGTTCCATCTTCATTTCTTTTCCGTAAACATGGAAATCCGCTTCTTTGTTTTGCTGTTATTCATGAATCCTCTGCTGTTATTCATGAATCCAATTGCTAATAAGCTGGGTTTACTCTTCATCATTCATGCCTGTTACAACCTCAGATTGAACACGTCTGAATATCAGTTTCCCGGCGGCTGTATTTATGCAGATTTTAATAAAACCCCACTAACAAATCCACCTACTAATTCCACCAGTTTTAGAAATCTATTTCTCTTTGTACAAGACAATAACGTAAAAAAAACAAACGGTTCATTGGCTAGGGTTTCTTTCAGGTTCAAACACAAATTCATTTTTTCACACCTATTTCCTCACTTCCTCAACCGTTTCTATTTGTATTCATCTATTTTCTTTAACATTCCTCAGTCAGACACACATCCTTTTTAAGACGGCTCACAGAATTTCTCCTCTCCTTCTGTTACTGTTACACTGTGGCTCCATGACTGCCCCCCTGTTTTTGTGCGCATTCCTAAAGGGAAAACTACACCTATGTTCTAGTATAGATAATTGACTATGCATGCAAGGACTGCGAATTAGTTCTGCAGAATAAATGCTCTTAAAAGAGTTAGAAAAAGACATGACAAATCCGATTTAGCATGGATTCAGAAACTTTTCCCACTTTTGTGTTGTTGAATTGCTGTGAATATTTATTTGTTTTCGGACAAATGTATTAAATTCCCAAAGCTGAATTCTCCCAGACAATACAATATCATGTGAATTCCACATTATAAGCAATTACAGTCTATATAACTGCTTTAGAGTGTTGTGAATCCTCTGTGAATGCCCTGCAGCTCAGACATTCTGTATGTCAGAATGCAAATGTCTGCAACATTCGCTGCTGTCTTGCAAACAAAACGCACCAATTATCTCTGCTTTCCTCCACTTTTTGCATCGCACCCTGCGTCCTCTCGGCTCTGTCCAGACCCCACTCTGCATCACTTCACTTGAGAGAACACGTCTCTGGCAGAGAATCCCTCACTGTCAAGCTCATGTGTAAACAGCAACTGGAGAGGAGGTCCAGGCCTGATTCCGGGTATGAAATGTAAATATAAGTGATTCCCTCGCTATTTATACCCAGATAGAGAAATTAAAAACAACTTAAGCCGTGCGGGTATTCGTGTGTACACGGTTCATGCGTGCCTTCAGCTTCCTTAAGCAAACACGCATCCGCCCTCATGCACAAATACTTAAATACCCTGAAGTGTGTGTGGTTTTAAATGCAAGATGGCAACTTCTATTGGCTGTTAGCGAGTCTTCACTGTTCAAACAGGACACGTCCGGGAGGGAGACAACAATGAATCAACAGAAGGAACAGAGGACGCTCTCTTCATCAATACTAAATGTGCAACAAAAAACATGTTGTCCTCAGTGTGCTCCAGCCACCAAGAAGTCTTTGGCTCTCTGCCTCTCAATGAGACAAACAAAAACAAAGGCTTTCATTTCTTTACGATGATATGGATGGGGTCTAATGTGAAGAAAGATAATCTGAAATGTAGCATGCCAGGGTTTTAGATGAAGGTTTTAGCGTGTGTCGCTAATAGGGTCAGGGGTTCGCTCTGCTCACCAGAGGTAGGAAATTTATCAAAGAACCTTTGGCTCTGCACAGCATGCTGATTAACACCTGTGAGCTACACGTAGGCCCGGCTGGACGTGGCGTATCAATGCGTCAGCCTGTGTGCTGGAGTGTGTCTCACATGAAGTCCAGGCACAGAGGACGACCCTGTTCTGGCTGACACAGCCCAGGAAGCTCTGCGGAGCCCGGGGAAGAAAGACCTCTGTGTGCTGCAGGTGAAAACTGGGGACATTTCCACCATAAAAACCCTTCATAATCTTTTGATGCATTTGCGGGTCACTTCAATAAATCAGCCTCTTTTCCTTCCTGTTGACACCCAGCCCATGACACTCAGCAGCATGTCCTAATTTATTGTTTTGCCTCCTTAACACATTCTTTTTCTGACTAACCTCACGAGCAATGCCGAGCCTCCCTAAGAGGGTCAAATTATTACCACTTCTTGATGTATGAATAAAACCCCTTTAAATATGACCCACCCCCATTTTGACTGTCTCAACAGTGAAAGTGCATATATGTGTTATGCAATACTTTGTCTTGGCAGGTGAATATGCAACAGTCCCTGCTGGGATGGGGCCAGATGTCATAGCAACTGCAGTTTAGATGGACTTTGCCACTTCAGCAAAGAAAACCTCCTCTTACTTTTTTCACTTAGAGCAGCAGAATAGCGTGTGCGGACACACAGATGCACACACACACACACACACACACACATTCTCACACTATGCAATCTTTATAATTAGTCTACACTGCGGTGAATGAGAGTAAGCAAATCCAAACAGCTTAAACCGCCCTAGTTGACAAATTCAGTAAAGTATTTGTGGCCCACTGGTGACTGGTAAACACCTTTTCACGTGAAGGGTTGTAAAACTGCAAACGGTGAGATAACCTGTGCACCTGCCACACTTTACATAACAGGACATGGTTATGTTGCATATTCTGGGTTTAGGAAATCTGGGCCTAAATGACAGGGATTTTTATTTGACAGGGAATCCCAGAAAGATCAGAGTGACTTCCCTCTGTAGAGGAGGGCAGCAGCCTTTAAGCACATCTTCATCATTAGTAGATTTACTCTGGGAAACAGGACAAATATCCTCTGGAGTGACAAAAATCAGCATTACGTTCTTGCTATTGCCCTACACCGACTAAAGAAAATTGCCCTGAATGCACGTTTCCATCCTCCATACCACTGAGCGGTGAAGACTCAGGATGCTGTCACCGACAACACAATGACAGAATCTAACCCGCAGCGGATTTTTTCTTTTTTTCATTTTCAAAGGAAATATGTTTCTAAATGACAGTTTGTCTTCAACAAAGTCACTTGAAGACATTTAGAAAGTAAACTACTTTAAAGAGAGATTTTTTTTTTCTCCAGATAAATGGAGCGTTTGTCATCTGTGAAGCAGACAATGGGCAACCAGTCAGTGTCCAGAGACAGGTTTCAAAATCCACAGCCTGGATTCTCAGTCTAAGAGAAAAAAATCAAACACCGCTGCAGAAAAACCAAGACAAGGTGTTTAAACCCCAACCGCATCACGTCCGGGGCTTCGTGTTAAATCTAGTAGAACACATCATCCCACTTACCTGAGCAGAAGAGGTGAGAATAAAATGCATGAAATCAATGGAAATAAGAGAGCAGGATCTGGTTCTCACAGATTGGCCCGCCTGAACAGGGCAGCACCGGGGTTTGCGGGGGTTTACCTGTTGCGGTTCCACGGCGGTGCGGATCCACATCCAGGCTGGCCGTCAGGCTCCAGAAGAGGGAGGACCCGCTCCTGCGGCCGGGGCGGGCGCGGACTGGAAATGGGCGTCTCCAGCTCCGAGGTCAAGTTACAGTCAGCTACGCCGAGCGCTTCCGGTTGGGTTTATCAAAATAAAACACACCAGGGCGGAAAAGGGGAAGCAGGATTCCATCCTTTCAATGCACACTTTTAAGTGACTGTAACGACAGAGTGAGATAGGCATCTAAGACAGACATGGATTTCTTATGTACTGTTGATATTTACACTGTAAATTAGTAGGAAATGGTGTTCAGCAGGCCTAATGGTCTGCTTTCTTTGAACAAATTTCCTTTAAAATGATCATTTCATAGGTGCATTGGCTTCACTTAAAGCAGTCACCATCTTCTGTTGGACAGGGAGGACCTACAGACATTGTTCGTTATTTTCATGAGTATCTAACAATTAACCTGCCATTTCATAATTAATCAAAGACATTATAGTTCATTTTCTGTCCCAAATACAAACATGCAGCATAAAACGTGTTTATGAGGCTTTTCCAATGGAATGAAGTATGTATGAAGCTTTCTGAGTCGCAGATTAATGATGAGGATAATGTATTTTTTGGACATTGAGTAATGTCCAGATATTCTTTGTTTAGACTGATTTCTATTTTCCTTCATCCACTAATGACAAAAAACTCTTTATTTCTTGTTTTTCTTACCATTTTTAAAACCTATTTTCATATGGTTTATTTAATTTCAGTTACCCGTTTTGTTGTGTGGTTTAACTTGGAATTTGTTTGGTCTTATCTAGTTTTTGGTTAGATTACTTCTACAATTTTGCATTTCTTTTATAATCTTTGATGTTTTCTCACAGAAAATGTACAGAGCCAGTGAAAAGCATGAAAAAAACCTATTAGGCAGGACACCCAAAAGAAAACCGTCAATAGGTTTGTTTTATGGAAAATGTGCAATATTTACCTTTAGCCAAGTCTTTTTTCTTTCCTCCGAGATGCTGCCATCTGTGATTAAATGTGTTTGTCAGGCTTGTGGTCGTGAGTTTTTTCCAGAGGAAACCAGGTGTCTGCTGGTCTGGGGCACCCCCAATAGCTCAGTTTCAGTATTGCATCTGTGCAGTGTGCAGTGTGCAGTCATTTCCTCTCTAACCAAGTAACTCTGACAGGTAGAGCCAAAGATACGATAATAATGTAAGCTACCAGATGGTTTTCAAAACCTTCTAAAGTATTGATGAGTACGGTCACACACAGAAGGGAGATGGTTGGGATGCTTTCAGTACCTGAAACATACCATTACAACATAAACCAATAATAGATTCACAAATAAGATTAAGACAGTCTGATGTTCACAGAATGGGCTGCATTTAAGAGATCTGGAAAAAATAAAGGCTTGAAAATGACTGCAAAGTAAGTATAATCTCAGAGAGAAAAAAAAAAAAAAGAAACAGTCAGACCCAAGATGTGCTCTCATCTTACAGTATTGTTAAAAAAACAACGCACACGTATTAACAAACCACACAGACAAAAGAAAAAACAAATGACCAGGTCTAAGCAGTTTATTTAAGGAAAAAAAATCAAACCAATGCCATTTATTGACTTATCTTAACAAAATAAATTTTAAATTAAGTTGAACAAATAAGGATTTACCCAGCAGGTATCAGCACCCTGCACCGTTCTCATAAACTGCTCAGCTGGAAACCATTACAGGACGTGAACTCAAGAGGTGTGTGCTAACAATTCCACTCTGAGGCCGCCTTGCTAGCTACTTTCAGAAGGCTTTGAAGAGCTGGTTTGGCATGTAACCCAAGTGGAGGAAGGACATTTGAGCTTCGCTCTCCAGGGTGGCAAGCTCCTGGACTGTCGGGGCCAGAACGTCCACATGACCTTTGTAGCTCCCCCCTGTGCAAAGACAACAAGAAGTCAGGGTGAAGCTTGACAAAAAAAGTGGCAAAACTACTTTATTTTGCTGACGCTGACCTGCCAACGCTCTGCGCTGTCCGTAGGTCACTTTTCCATCGAACTCATCCACGGGTACTTTGATGTCTTGCTCACACTGGGTGATGGTGCACTTCAAATGCTCCTCGATTTCTGACAGGAGCTGTTGGAAGAAGAGAAGGACAGGGGTGGCTTCAAATCCCGGACAAAGCCTCCGGCTGGACCGACGAGACTGCGGTCGTCTTCGAACGGCCCTGAAAGCGTTTGTTCACCTCCTTCTCGTTGTACCAGATGGTGCAGCCGCCGTCCTCCTTCAGCTGGGTGTTGTAGCAGCCTCTGCCTCGATTCTGGCAAACATGGTACCACACCTGCACACGTGGAAATGTCAGCTCCATAAAAGAGTACATTAAAGAAAAAGACAACTAAAAAGGTGTAAGGCTTTCACTCATGCCTCTTACCTTCTCCTTTTCCATAGCAACCAAGGAAATAGCCAATCCCATTCTGCAGTTTAAGGAGGAAATGACTCATCTTTAACTGGCTTTATAAAGGTTATTCCAATAAACCAATAAAAATCGGGTATGTTGTATGAGAGTTTCAGGCTCTGAGGACTATTCATTTATTTCAATAGGCATGTAAATCATCCGAGTATCAGCGCTCACCGCTCAGCTCGTCCAACTCTGCCGATGCGATGGACATAGTTCTGCTTCTCATCTGGGAGCGTGACGTTAATCACTAGATAAAAAACAAAACAAAAAAACATGAGACTGATTGTGCACACATTAAATAAAGCAAAGGTGGCTTCAGTAGAGCAGCCCAGACGGCTCCTGTACCGTAAGGAACTCCATGGATGTCGATTCCTCTGGCAGCCACATCGGTGCAGATCAACAGCCGCACTTCTTTTCTCTAGAGCAGGATTATTTCAAACTCTCTGTGAGCTGGTTCTCCTTTTCCAAACAGCAGTAAAAGGTGTCCCTTTTTTATATTAATTTTTTGGGATATTCTCTTTCTACCTTGAAGCGTTCCAAGTTGTTTTTACGCTCATGCGGCTTCCGATCGCCGTGGAGACAAACGCAGGAAAACTGGTGACCTTTACTGTCCGGACCTTAAGAGAAGGAGAAAACCCAACCATGCAAATTTAGTTGAAGTGTAAAACTGTTCAGGGCTTAAGCAAACGGTGTGGCAGGTTCATTCACTTTGAAGGAAGAACAAAAGCAGGCGACACTACACTGAACAGTCCGCTCACCTCCTCCTTGCTGCATCAAGTACTGCTCCATGTTGTCGCAGTCGATCTTGGTGCGGCAGAATATTATAGCCTGGTCCATTTTGTGCTCTTTAATGGCTCTCACTGTGTACTCCCCCTTCAACACTTTGATGGCCTCTGACCACATTTCTAAAAGAATACACTGACATGTAATTGCTCATAGAGGGGAAATGCCAACATCTGTGTCGTAATTTAAAAAAAAAAACATTTCTAACCAAAGCCGGGACAAAACCACACGGCTCATCAAGTCCTACCTGCAGTGTTGGTGCCTGGCCTGGTGTTATCTTTGGCGTGGACTTCATCCGTCTGCACAAAGGGAACGGATCAAAGCGTAAATTCTCCTTCTTTGTCAAGAGAAGCATGAGTGCATTGGCTTTTTGTCCACTGGAGGGTGAACCTGCCGGACAGACCCACCCGGATGTGGGTCTTGCCGACGCGCTCCCACAGACGGTCAGTTTTAGGATTGACAGGCACCACGACATGGTGGACGGTCTCTGGAACGGAGTCCTCGCCTTTCAGGTCCACCCAGGTGGGGAAGTGCATGATGCGCTCAGACAACTTCTTTACGTCAAATGAATGCAGCGTGGCTGAGCATACGATGACCTGGGGAACAAAACATGACCTGAGCCAGCAAAAACTACAGACTCTTGCCAATCAAGCACAACCGGAACACTCATAGCTGTGGTTTGTAGTGAGAGGGCAGAGAAAAGGGTCATACCTGCAGTCTCTTGCCATCAGAGGTGACTTGAGGGATCTGGTTGTGGATTCTGTTGATAAAGTCCGTGTAGCCTGCTGACAGAAGCCCATCCTGAAGACACAGAGAACCCCGAAAAGTCATTACTCTCAATCTGTCCCTTGTTCGTTAAGCAAACTTAACCATTTTTAAATGCAAGAAGATGCAAAAGTAGTTGCACATACACACTCATCCATCACCAGGAAACGGACTTGGCCCAGGCTGAGCTTCCCTGTGGAGATGAGATCATCCAGCCTGCCAGGCGTTCCTACCACAATGTCCACCTGGATGTGAGATGACACAGTTCGTCTTTGAGCGTGTTGTGTCAAAACTAAATGAATATTTGCTTGGACGTGGGACGTGTCGCCTACCCCCTGCTCCAGAGCCGCCATCTGCTCTTTGGCAGGCACACCACCAATCACCAGGAGATCCCTGTAGGGACAAATCTACACATTACTCTCCATGCTGATATGAGTTTTAACACTAAAGAATTGGCTCCATCTAATGGTACAAAAAGAGAATTACAAAATAGTAAAAAAGCATTTGAACCATGCTGCATGACTCAGCATTTAATGGATGGATAAAACACAGAATGGGAAAGAGGAAGTTTTCAACCTAAGATGATTATTTAGGTCTATATTCAGCCTTAGAAAAAAGCCAAAAATTACTTATAGGTTGTTACAAGTACTCGGCCCTGAAAAGCCCTCGTCCTGTATGACAGAGAGCAGCATTGTTAACTCTTTTATCATCACCGGACGTTTGTGAAGTCTGCTCCATCTCTGGGGAGTCGTACCTTACTTTGGGGTTATCCACATATTTCTTAAATTGCTTTACGTTGTTGAGGGTCTGCTCAGCCAGTTCTTTAGAAGGCTCGATGATCAGGGCTTTGGGAGCATTGGAGGACGCCTTCACCTGACTCACTTTGGCAGTGCCTGTACATTCACAGAGAGGAGGCGAGATATTTCAACATACGTGTCAATGGGGGTTAAACAAAATCCAGATATTGCACCGTGTTTGAAATCAGCACCTGAGATACACACACACACACACACAAACAGACAAACCTGTCTGAGGGGACTTCACGGTATGAGCATCAGCTGCCTTGTCCAGCGCCACAAACCCATCCTTAGGGGGGTGTTTAAAGTCATCTCCTCCAAAGTTGAACTTGAGCTCTGCATTCTGGAGGACATACGTTGATAAAGTGAGAAAACTGTTGTTTTTATTTTTACACCATAATTGCATTGTTATTTCTGGATATACCTTGAGAACACATGAGGCAAAGAAAGCCTGATTCCTCAGATTTTGAGGGATTTCAAAAGCCAAACCCAGGTCAATACCTTCAGAGAGAAGACCACCAGAAAACATTAAGGTAACGCAAGAAACTTTTCTCTTTTCCACCAACCACAAATATCATCTCTGTATCAACAGTAATTTAAGTACTGACCATTTTTAGAGTAGGAAATCTCACTCTTGTCCAGATCCAGGTAGCATCCGATGGTGTCATGCATGGTGAACTCCTGCAAAGAGTCCACATAACAAGAAGCCATTTTTAAACTATCCTTACGAATGGTTTAAGATGTAAAACACTGAGGGAATTCACTGATACCTCTCCATAGCTGTCAAACTGCTTGTTGTTGGATTTCTTTCCAGTGCCGCCAAAACCAAATCCATGCTTATCCGTTCCTTGAAGCAAAACAAAAATCAAAGGCTGAGTTACCAGCTGATGCACTGCTGTGCTCCATTCAGGATTGGGACTCTGAAGTCAGAGGTACACACCCAGATCCAGAGCTGCCTGACTGGTGGACCAGCCCACTCGGCACAGACCTTGGTCATGGCAGGTCACCTCATAATAGTACTTGCCTGCAAACAGAACCGGCCAGAAGAACCGACAGCCTCTAAACAAAATGTGGAAAAATGTGCGAAACATATTTTGAGGCGCTTCACATACCTTTACTGACCCCTTTAGTGGAGCGACAGCCATGCCACTCTTTGAACTCTCTGCTCTGGCAGCACAGTCCATCAGGGCCGATTGCTTTGCAGACGCAAATGTAAAAGACAATAATTACAAACTGGTCCATGGTGCTATTCTCGGGCACTGCCCCCCTCCCAATCATCTCTTACCAAGGGCTGTACTGCGATCATATGGATTCATCTGCCAGCTATTGAAAACTGAGATAAATAAAGAACACGTTAAATATCTGCACCGTGTTTTCCGTAATACATGCTTACCTGCTGGACTAAAAACAAAGGTTTCTCACATTTGTTCTCATCAGAAAGAGGGTAGATTGTAAACCGAGTTCTTTGCTGAGCAAACAAACAAATAATCTGAAACAAAACAAGTAATTCTCAAAAATGATCTCACTCGTTCCTCCTGTTTTGACAGAGGCTCTGCCCTTCCTCCCCTCCTGCTGATCATTCAGCGTCTCGTATACAATCTGGATCAGTGGGATACTGAAAGCCTGGGGATTTAAATGGACAATGGTGAGAAAAAACAAGCAGCACACCTAAATTTAAACAATGCAATCTGCTTTTTTGTGTAATTTTCTGCCTAACCACAGCACATATTGAATTCCAAAAATGTACAATTATAAAGGACTCACTCCCGTTTTCCCACTACCAGTTTCTGCAGCCTGCAATCGAGAAAAAGAGAGAAGAGAATAAGTCAGATGTCAAATGTGCAGCTGCCAGAAATTTGTACATTTGTGTGAGGTATGTCACAAAAAACAAAGCTTACCATTAGCACATCTCCACCACCAAGAATGAGGGGGATAGACTCTGCCTGAATGTCAGTAGGCAGCCTGAAGGTAAACGATTAAAACCGTGAGAGGAATCAACTGTATCATTTACACTGTGTAACAAGGCAATAACATCCTGCATGATCTAGCAGATTGTTGAAAAACTTACAGCCAGTCCATCTCCTCCACAGCCTGAGCGATTTCAGGCATAACTCCCATTTCTGAGCACGAAAAAACACATTCAATGAGTCAGCCCGCGTTTCTGGCTTTTTCAGTTAGATAATTTAGCAAATTAACGGCCATCATGAGTAAATAAAAAAGAAAAAGTCTTACCAGAAAACGCTGCCATTATTGCTGCTGTGTAGGCAACCTCACCGGATGTAACGTTTTCACAATTTACGGCTCGGTGCAACGCGTTTAACGGAGAGACACCAGTCGAATAACAAAGGTTCCGCTTTAATCCCTTGTAAAATATGCCTGTCGAAGAGGATGCCACAGAAAGTAATATTTATGCCGAAGTGTTACTTATTTAATGCATGATGCCTATTCTAAAATTAAAGTCTAATGAACAAAATCCCTTTGTCAAACGCGGTCAGTTCCAGCTCCAAACAGCCTTCTGTCTGATTTATTTTGTCCCGTGCGGGGGCCCGTAGGTTTTCTGACAGCTGGCTCCAGTAAATATGGCTGAGGAAAGCTTAATTGAATGCGAAGATGAAAACATCTTATACGATTTACTTGTTATTACCGAGTGGCCACCAGAGACGGACACCCAGGTTAGTCATTTTTATACTTGTGGTTACTTATCCTTGGTGTAGGCCTTAAAAAAACACACACACACCAGTGAAAATGGACCCTGAAAGTGAACTATCATGAGTTGAATGTGATCAGCCGCGAAAAGCCACGTAGCAGAAGCACTGCACAAGTAATGTTTGCTTTTCGTGATAACAAAAGTTTGTGTTTCTCAATTGTCAAAAGTGATAGAAAAAGCTATTCCCTGAGTAGTTACGCCCTTGTTAATCGAGATAGTTGTTTTAAGTTGGCTTAATTAGCTAGCTTAATGTACAAACGACTATGTGTTTATGATGCCACATCTAAGGAATTTATTGCATTTTTGAGTGTCCTTGATTTTAATCTTTGTAATATCTGTCCTTAAAAAAAGCGAAAACCCAGCATTTGTGTGCATTCAAAGAAAGCGACGGAATCATAACTCACCTGATTCTCATTACTGATTTCAGGCACGTGGCAACAAGGAGCACAACACCTCTTTAGTTGCAAAAGCCGTCACTGGTAAGTTCCTCTGTTTGTGGTCAGTGTGCCCCAAAACAGGGTATTTCGATTGGGTGAAAAACGTTTTATTTTTGCAAAAAAATCTGATGGAGAACTTTCTTAGTATTAATTTTTCCCGCTTAAAACTTTACTGTGAATGTAGAATGTCCATCTATGGAAACCTCCCTTTTCATAAACAGTTTTGGTGTTATTCCACCATGTGATGTAATTATGCATTTCTGAATACTCATGATATCTGTGACCATTTTCCCACAGGACCGTTTTGCTTAATCCTTCACTATCTGTGGTATAGGTAAGTTTGGCCTTGTCTTGCTTGTTTCACAGTTGTCTGTAAACACTTTTCCTTGCTTTAACTGGCATTATTAAAGCTGTAATATACACACTGATCAGCCATGGGGTCATGCCCCCCCCCCAGCCACCAGCATAATTTTCAGTAGTTTCTTGTCTTGCCACCACTGAGCTCTGTCCTGTCAGAGAATGGATCACTAGCATCTGTCACTGTGTCTGGTATAAAGATGCAGGGAGCAGATGCTTTTCGCTCCAAAGGTTAATATTTACGGATTGGGTTTTGGGTCATGTTTATTTATGTCATCAGAACAGATCAGACTGGTATCTGGGATGCGTGACGGCTTGATAAACACTAAAGACTCTGTTGCGTTCTTTGCACCCTTCCTTATTTGTCGTGGGGACCCCTGCTGTCCCATTGGTGGAAGCAGCTGCTTTATGGAATGCTTTTGCAATGAGACTGTGCATGTTCTGTACAAATCTTTAGATAGGTGGCAAAAGTCAAAGTAACTCTTTAGGGATTACCAGGATGTATGTTTTCCCAAACAGAACTTTTAATTTCAACAAGATGAGCTGCATTTCTCACTCTACCTGTCAGTAGTTTGTAATGTTCTGACTGTTTACAGTCAGTCGTAACATAATGTTATGAGTACTTTTGGAATAAATCCATTATTGGATTTTGAATGGATAAATCAATCATATTGACTTTGTAAATTCATGTGATTTCAAGTCTCACTGAAAATATGTGTTCAATCTGTTGAACATATCTGCCATTTTCAGTAGTTTAAATGGGGCTACGCTCAGTGTTGCTGTGCACTGTCTGATGGAACACGTAAACGCACTCCTCAGTATTTCTGGAGGTGGAATCTTTAATGCTTTAGCCTCAAGCCCTGCTTACACACTCAGCAGGTGGCTTGCTTGCAACATCAATAACCTCATTAGATATTCAAGAGCTCATCCAGCCATATGGAAGTCGTTATTTCTTTTTATGGATCAGAGAAGACAAAGGATTTATATAATAAACCCAGCCTGCCCTACTATTATTGTACACAAGGTGCATGTTTTTGCACCAGTGTTGCTTATTGGTCTCAGGGGACAGGAAAACTGTCAGGAAATGGAAAACGCCTTTTGTACCTCAAAAAGAACAGAAAACTAAAAAGAGCAGAATGATGTGCTGATGAAATTGAATTAGTCTAGCTGTACCGTATCATACGTAACATTCTACACTGCCTATTTGACATTAGCTCTACCAGCAGTTTGAGAAACATCATCATTTTTAAACCCCGACTTTGGCAGGTGTCAGAAAAAACAGAATTGTGGAGAGACATTTGAAACAGACAAAAATTAGCAAAAAAAAGAAGAGTATTTGATTAAAATTATTTCTTAAATAATTGCCACTTCACTAATTAGGGACCCGTCTTGCTGATTAGATAATCATTAGTGGTGAAGCTCTTGAGTGCAGATAGTCCTGATGTTTTCATGCACAGTTCGGGGGAACTGCGGCTGGCGTTCTGCTGGGCAATACAAATGTGGGGAGACTCGCTCTGTTGATGAAAGTGTCTCAGACTGTACTTTGATATATAGCAAAATGCTGCAGTTCAGCTTGTTTGAATTTAGGATTTAGAAATGTTCTGTTGGGAAAACCTACATCCCAGCTGACTAACGGTTATAGTTGCACAGCATTTGAGGCATTTCTGTGAACTGCATACTTTTTTGCAATAACTTCTCAGTGTATGTCATTAATCTCTTTCTAAGAAGCTCATTTTGGAGCATTTACTAGGGAAATTTGCTTGTGCCAAATACCCAGGCCAGTTTATAATCAATTCAACAGGTACACAGAAGAAATGTGACCTCCGTGTGGATTTTTGAGTTGTGTTGGCCTGACATGTACAGATCTCTGCATTCTTTGCATTTTGTTGTTGACCAATATTCACTCTGTGTGCAAAAACAGCACTCAGCTGGGTGTGTCACAGGGATTCTTAGCATCGATCATTTTAAGATCTTAAGTATTTACTCACTCACTGACTTTGGGTGAATATGACTTTGTGTGGTTTTCAACCTTTCTGGGTTTGTAGCTTTTTCTAATTGTCCTGCTTTACGCCTCAGCCCCTCCAGCTCATCTCTGCCTCACGGTCTTGTCCGACTGGCAAACAGGCAGATCAACTGGCAGCTGGTTCTTTCAAGGTACACAAACACACACACACACTTTCATTGTTGTTTTATTGAACTGTCCTGAGTTTATATGACAAATGTTTATACCAACGTGATTGCGTGATGGATATTGATTTGATTTGCTCTATCTCTGAACGCACTGATACCTTCTTCTCTTTGTTTAACTCCCCTGAACAGCTTTTGGCTTCGTTAGATGTCCTCAAATGTTATTTAGTCTCTTAGTGGGACAACTAACCTGGACTTTGATTCCAGTCACATTTTTCCATCATCAGACAGACTGTGTAAAAAACACATCTTTTCACTTTTCCTGGTTTGCTTTTTTTTCCACATCTTTATTTACTCTATTATAGAATCAGCTTGATTCTTTTCAATTTACTCTATGGCCATTATTTCCTTTTCCTTAATAATTTCTGACCATTCTCCTGTTTTTCAGTAATGGCAAACTGTTGGCAGTGGTTCAAGACCAGTGTGTGGAAATTAGGTAATTACAGAGTTCTAATTTGTCTTTCAAAGCACAATGATTGTGTGTGTGTGTGTGTGTGTGTGTGTGAGAGAGAGAGACTGATAGGTTTTTAATTAATGAGGTAATTTATCACTTTTACTTTAAAAAAAAAAAAGGAAAAAAAGGCTTCCACTTTTACTTCTACTCTTATCTAAGAAAACACAGTTTTGTGAAAAAACAGTTTTCCAAGCCCCAGTACAGTGACCAACCGCACCAGAACTCACAAGCGAACATTTGAATCAAATAAGTATAGATTTTGTTGGCTAATTCAGATCCACAGAAAAATTAACTGCATCATGGCTAAAATTTTTATTAGTATCATTATTTTCATATGACGGTTTATGCACCTATCGGAGTGTTTGTTACCATTTTCAGTGGTCACAATTATTTCCCGACGCAAATCCAATTTTCAGAAAGAATTTTTCTCACTCGGGAATCTGCTCCATTAACATAATGTGATACCTGAAACCGAAAGGAATCGAAATGAAAATCAATACCAACAAGCCAAGTAAACGGTAATGTCTCGCTCTCCAGAGACTTACAGGAAGCCTGTTGTTGTTTATCGTGGTGCACTTGCTCCACTTGACCCCTTGTGTTACTGGAAGCAACTTTTATGTGCCAGCCACTAAAAAGTGGCTGGCCCAGTGTTCCTGCTGTTTATTGCATGTTGTCGGTTGTGCTGCTGTTCTTACTTCTCATTATTCTCAGTCAATCACAGTGTTTAATAGCCTGGCTACTTGACATTGATTGAATCTTGCCAAGGCGTGGGTGTTCAGTCAGTTCAAGGCCCTATTCTCAGAGAATCTGCAGAAAAAACGCTGCTCTCAACTTTTGGCAGCTTGATTCATGGAGCTGCTTTAGCTGGCAGGCTATCATTGACTGTTATAACCTCCTTTATCGCAGCTTTTATGCTGCTAAGTGTATATGTATCCTTGTCATCCAGTATAATGCCAAAGCTTTTGATGTTTTCAATTGTGCATTTCCTCCTCAGGTCTGTGAGAGACGACTTTGGCTCTGTCATTGGAAAATGCCAGGGTAAGACCCTCTTCCTCTGCGTTATCAATCTCATGCTGTAGTCTGTGGAAAACAGAGGCTAAATCACTATGACTGACTAAGTAAATGCCCCTTTGGTTTACAAATGTGATGGTTGTTGTCGTCTATTGCCTTCTCTGCAATCTGTGCGTTTGTTGTAAGCTGCAGGCATACGGTGTGGGTATGCATACACAATATCCTGTAGCCTTGAAGGACTCTGACTGTTAGAATAGGATGTAAGATTAATGTCCATTCTCAAGTAGCAGTGAGGTGAGCCTACGCCGATCATATCTGCGTTGTTAGCATATGTTGACCTCAGTCAG